CCTCTTCCAGGCCAGCTCTCTGCTGTGGCCAGGGAGTGCAGTGGAGGATGGCCCAGGTGCTTGGGCGCTGCACCCCATGGGAGACCAGGAGAAGTACCTGGCTCCTGCCTTCAGATCAGCGCAGTGCACTGGCCGCAGCGTGCCGGCTGCGACTGCCATTGGAGGGTGAACCAATGGCAAAGGAAGACCTTTCTCTGTCTCTCTCACTGTCCACTCTGCCTGTACAGAGTACAGCAGCAAGGACTCAAACTGGTGGCCATATGAGATGTTAGCATTGCAGGTGGTAGCTTAACCTGCTAGCCACAGCGCCGGCCCCAAGACTGAGTTTATTAAAGAGAGCCTCTATAGTGGTGTTCTGTAATAAGGGAGGAGGTCAGGTTCAACTCTGACTACAACAAAGTCAGGACTTTCAGCCAAAGAACAACAGGGTAGGGGGCAGTGGGCAGAAAATCATTAAAAGGAAAAGTCCAAGTTAAGGGGGGGCATTTCTGGCTGAAGTGGCCTGTGATTCTTCCTTTTTCCAATGTTGATTTATATATTTGAAAAGCAGAGTGACAGAGATTGAGAGAGATCTTCCATGGGCTGGTTCACTCCCCAAACACCATGACCCCAAACTTCGTCAATTTTCTCTCTCTCTCTCTCCTTGAGGTCCCCTGTACTGCCTCCTAAGTGTGTATTTTCCCTTTTTTTTTTTTTTTTTAAGATTTGTTTGATTTATTTGAAAGACAGAGTTATAGAGAGAGGTAGAGACAGAGAGAGAGGTCTTCCATCCGCTGGTTCACTCCCCAGATGGCCGCAACAGCTGGAGCTGAGTCGATCCAAAGCCAGGAGCCAGGAGCTTTCTTTGGTCTCCCACATGGGTGCAGGGGCCCTAGGACTTGGGCCATCTTCTACTGCTTTCCCAGGTCGTAGCAGAGAGCTGGATCAGAAGTGGAGCTGGGACTAGAACCGGCACCCATATGGGATGCCAGTGCTTCAGGCCAGGGCTTTAACCCGCTGTGCCACAGTGCCAGCCCCAGTGTACTTTCCCTTTAAGCAAATCTTGTTACACCTCACGTTCATCTTTGTATCCTCCCTGGTTTCTTTCTGGAGTGGAGATAAGAACCTGGACCAAGCCTAGCCGGGGGGCCTCCCTTATTGCAGCAGAGTACTTGAGTCATCATTTGCTGACTCCCAGGTGCCTTAGCAGGAAGCTGGATGAGAAGTGGAGCACCTGGGACATGGGAGGTGGGTATCCCAAGCACGGCCCAACCCGCTGTGCCACAACGCCTGCTCCCCTACTATGATTCTTGTGTAAGGCAGACCAGAGCGATCAGATATCCCCCTGGGGATGGCAGAGGAAGAGGAACCTGATCAGATGTTGGGGGTGATCAGATATGCAGGATGGGGCATTCTGGGTATGGTGACTTACCAAGCCTCTTGCTACAATCAGACAATATAGTGGTGAACACCAAAAACAGCCCGACTAGAGGTGGGTCAAGGAGAATCCGTGTTGACGATTTGACTTCATTCAATGTCACCAAGTTGTTCTTTAACCTTTTCTTTCGTACACTCACCAACGCTCGAGAAACTTTAATTCTGCAATATGATTTTTTTTTAAGATTTTTACTTATTTATTTGAAAGGCAGAGTTACAGAAAGGGAGAAGCAGAGAGAGAGAGAGAACCATCCGCTGGTTCACTCCCCAAATGGCTGCAATGGCCAGAGCTGCGCCAATCTGAAGCCAGGAGCCAGGAGTTTCTTCCTGGTCTCCCATGCGGGTGCAGGGGCCCAAGCACTTGGGCCCACTTGCAGGTGGAGGCCTATCTTACTATGCGCTGGCCACAGACATGACGTTTTGAAATGACATTTCCTTGTTCAATTTGCATTTACTTGTAACTAGTGAAATGTACACGTTTTCCTGTTTAATTGTTCACCCGGGGCTGCTCTTTGGGTTAGCTGTATGTTTACTACTGCATGTTTCTATGCTGTATTCTTTCTTTTTGACAAGCAGAGTTAGACAGTGAGAGAGAGAGAGACAGAGAGAAAGGTCTTCCATTTTCCGTTGGTTCACCCCCCAATAGCTGCTACAGCCGGCGCGCTGCGCCGATCCAAAGCCAGGAGTCAGGTGCTTCCTCCTGGTCTCCCATGTGGGTGCAGGGCCCAAGGATCTGGGCCATCCTCCACTGCCTTCCACGGGCCACAACAGAGAGCTGGACTGGAAGAGGAGCAACCGGGACAGAATCCGGCTCCCCGACCGAGACTAGAATCCAGAGTGCCAGCACCGCAGGCGGAGGATTTATGCTGTATTTTTTTTTTTTTTAAGAATTTGATAAACAGGCATCCCAGATATAGTTTGGATATTGGACAAAGATTGACTCCCAGGTTATAGGCTTGGACAATGGGTGGATTGCGTGCTGTTTCTATGAATGAAGAGGGGTAATGAAAAAAAAAACAACAAGTTTTAGGAAGAAGATCACGAGCCCTTTTAGACCGACTTGAGACGCCTTTGAGTCATCCAAGAGAATGAGTTTATGCTTTAAATTTGTTCTTGGGAGCTTTCAGACCATACGTGGCTTTTTTTTTTTTTTTTTTTGACAGGCAGAGTGGACAGTGAGAGAGAGAGACAGAGAGAAAGGTCTTCCTTTGCCGTTGGTTCACCCTCCAATGGCCGCTGTGGCTGGCGCGCTGCGGCCGGCACACCGCGCTGATCCGATGGCAGGAGCCAGGAGCCAGGTGCTTTTCCTGGTCTCCCATGGGGTGCAGGGCCCAAGCACCTGGGCCATCCTCCACTGCACTCCCTGGCCACAGCAGAGAGCTGGCCTGGAAGAGGGGCAACCGGGACAGAATCCGGTGCCCTGACCGGGACTAGAACCCGGTGTGCTGGCGCCGCTAGGCGGAGGATTAGCCTAGTGAGCCTAGGCGCCGGCCAAAAAAGTGGCTTTTGAAGGACAGCAATGCACACGGTTATTCTCTGAGAATCTAGAGGGCGATGGTAAGAGCCCTGCAGGAGTTACACATTGAGGAAGGAGGATTCAGCAAAGGCTACTGAGCTGAATGACCAGAAAAAAAAAAAAAAAAAAAACAACAGAGAAAAAAGCAGAGGAGTGTGCGTCGTGGAAGCCACGGGAGGAATGTGCTGCTTTCTCAGTTTTTGTAGTGACTGCGTATATTTTCTTTCCAAGATTTATTTATTAATGTGAAAGGCAGAGCGACACAGAGAGATTCTCCTATATACTGGTTCATTTCCTTCTCCAGATGGCCAAAACCACCAGGCCAGGCTAGCTGTGGGCCGGGCCAAAGCCCAGAGCCAGGCACTCCATCCCAGTGTCTCATGTGGGTGGGATCCAAGCACCTGCTGGTTGCTGCTTGTCCAGGTGCATTAGCAAGAAGCTGGATCCCAAGTGAGGAGCTAGCTGGGCCTTGAGCCAGCGCTACGCGGTGGGAGCTGAACCTGCGGTGTCACAACTTGGGCCCCCTGTAAGTAGTAATGCCTCTTCTGTTTGTCACATGGGTTTATTTCATCGCCTTTCTCTTATACACTACACCTTGATGAACAATCTTTTGGATATACTATTTACTATGGTAGCTCAAAGAGAATGTTAATTTACAACTTCCTAAGATAAAGTCTTACTACAAATTGCATCTTCTGGAATGTTTGTTTTCATAACAAACACCCACCAGAATGAGTTGCCTTTTTCTCCTTTTGGTTGGTTATCCTGGGAATTTCCAGAGAAGGCAGGAATGCGGTGAGGACTAGGCTTTGCCTACCGGTATTTTTAATGCCTGCCCAGTGTACTGTCGTATGCACGTTTGTAATTTTTAAAATCAAGTAATATTGGGGCTGGCACTGTAGCTTAGCGGGTAAAGCTGCTGCCTGCAGTGCCAGAATCCCATATGGACTCCAGATCAAGTCCTGCCTGCTCCACTTCTGATCCAGCTCTCTGCTGTGGCCTGGGAAAGCAGCAGAAGATGGCCCAAGTCCTTAGGCCCCTGCACCCATGTGAGAGACCTGGAAGAAGCTCCTGGCTCCTGGCTTTGAGCAGTGCAGCTCTGGCTGCTGCAGCCATCTGGGGAGTGAACCAGCAGATGGAAGACCTCTCTCTCTCTCTCTCCTTCCCTCTGCTTCTCTGTAACTCTGCCTTTCAAATAAATAAATTAATTTTTAAGAATCTAGTAATATTGTCTTTCTTGTGGTAGTGTCATGACCGGCGCCACAAAGCACAGCTTTTTCAATTATATTATTTTTATTCCTTCTAATCTGTTTTCATTAGGATCAACTCCTGAAGATGGAATTGTTGGGTCAGAAGTATTTGCATTTTTCCTCAACTTTGTTTAGTTCTTGAGGTATTTGCATTTTACAAGCCGGGGCGTGGAGACCTCAGCAGACACACCAGGGTCCCCGAGGCTGCGCTCTGCTCTCAGAAGATCCGCAGAGCACGGAGGGGGCATCCCTGGCCCCTGGAGCCCTGGCACCTGCGTGCATGCGCTAGGAGCCTCCCGTGGAGAGCGCATCCACACACCAGCAGCTTAACCAGTCCCAATGCCACACGTCTCCCCGGGACGGCGAACACGCCTACTCGGGCCACGTTACCGCGAGTCCCCTAAGAATGACTTTGCGACAACGTGGTGCCGGGCGACACTTTCCCCGCCAAGGGGCGGGGGTCCGACTCAGGAGCCAGCGGCCCCGCGGGCAGGGGAGGGGTCGCGCACGAAGCTCTCCCCACGGCGGACAGCGCGATGACCGGGAGCCGCCGCGGCATCCTCAAAGGGCCTGCATTTCGGGGAGCCTCCGCGGACACCCGATTCTCACAGCGTGACACGTGAGGGCCGGGACTCTTCCGCAGAAAACTCAGGGCCCCCACCCCCGGGGGTCCTGCGTTCGCCCACGTCCACCCCGAGACCTGTCCAGCCCACCTGTCCCTCCTAGAAGGGGACGGGGGCGGGGCTCGCGGCAAGGCCCGCCCCCTCGGCAGCCCAGCTTCCCCGGCTGGGGCGGGCCTTCCGCTTTGGTGAGCAGCTACTTCCGGGTCGCACGGCGCTCGCGACCCGGACGCGCGAGGAGGCGGTCCCGGAGTCGGGGAGCTGGCGGGTGGGCTGTGGTCCCCGCATTTGCGCGCGCGGGCGCCCGCGCGTGACCGGCGATGCTGGGGGGCAGCGCCGGGACCCGCGGGGGCGAAGCCGAGGGCGACGGGGCGGGGGCGGTGGGGGCGGTGGCCCCGCCGCCCGCCATCGACTTCCCCGCTGAGGTGTCGGATCCCAAGTATGACGGTGAGGGAACCGGAGTGCGGCGACGCGCGGGCTCGTGCGGGCCGTCGGGGGGTCCCGGGGCTCGCGCGTGCGTTTGCGTGTCCCTTCCTCGGTTTGCTGGCCGCGCGGGGTTGCTTAGGGCTTTGGGTTGGGCAGCGGGGAGCGGAGAGGCTGAGCCCTGGGCAGCTCGGGAGTATCCAGATTTTGGTGAAAAGTACTGAGTGGTCTGTGCTGAGTTGCTCACGCCGGCTGCTAAATCACGCTGGGCGGTCGCGGATTGCATCCGTGGGTTCGGGGCGGTAGCCTGGTTAGGGAGCGATGCGTGGCCACTTGGAGCGCGACACAAACAAGCGGTGCGATGCCATGATTGGCAGGCGCAGGCAGCGCTGCAAAGGTGTTTTTTTTTTTTTTTGTTCAGATGCGATCAAATCAGCGGGAAAGTTTTTTCGCTTTCTTCGCTGACACTGGACCGCCGCAGACAGACTTGGTCGTGCAATTCGGTCAAGCGGTTCCAGAGGAGGGCTTCAAAGTGGCCATTTTATGATTATTATTTTTAATAGGCGCTTTTTTTTCCCCCCTCTCCTGCTACTTGTAGCAACTTGTTACTAGGGAGATTGTTAAGTCACGGGAAAAGTCTCAGCCGTAAACATGCACGCCTGCCTTTGCTGTGGCATTGCGATAAGGGCGGCTGCACGCCAGCGATTATTCACGCAGGCAGCGATCCTAGATAAGCCTTTGGACTGCTTCCCTTCCTGGTTGCTGATAATACCCTCGGGGTCCTGTGTTTTTGGCCCTTCTTCCAAAGGGGCCCAGAAACTGTTTGTGTCTTCCAGATGAGGAGTGAGGTGTCTGAGAAATGTGCGCTGTGAACGGACGGGAAGGGGGAAGGCAGGAGGTCGCACTGCCAGGCTGCGACCCCAGGGGGTCAGGCTGCCGGGTCATGGCAGTCAGAAAACGCGGACCCTGACCCCGGCCCCGGCCCCGGCCCCGGCCCCGCAGTGTGGGGTCGTACAGCCAGTACCGGTCTTTGATGAGGTTGTGCACGCTTTCCTTCCTGGAGCAGCGTGGGTTAGAAGGGGGCCAGGAGGGACCGGTGCTGTAGTGCAATAGGTTAAACCTCGGCCTGCAGTGCCAGCCGTGTGGGCGCCGGTCCAAGTCCTGGCTGCTCCACTTCCGATCCAGCTCTCTGCTGTGGCCTGGGAAAGCAGTGGAGGATGGCCCAAGTCCTTGGACCCCTGCACCTGCATGGGAGACCAGGAAGAAGCTCCTGGCTCCTGGCTTAGGATCAGCTCAGCTCCGGCCTTTGCAGCCATTTAGGGAGTGACCAGTGGAAGGAAAATAACTCTCTCTCTCTCTCTCTCTGTCTCTGCTTATGCCTTTCAAATAAATAAATAAATAAATCTTTTAAAAACCGAGTAGGGGGGGACCAGCAGTAAGTTAGGATCTCTATCTCTCTCTCTCTCTTTTTTTTTTTTTTTTAAGATTTATTTATTTGAAAGGCAGAGTTAGAGAGATCAGTCTTCCACCTGCTGGTTCATGCCCCAGGTGGCTACAGTGGCTGGCGCTGGGCCAGGTGGGAAGCTTGAAGCTACATCTGGGTCTCCCCCACCAGGGCCCAAGCTCTTGGCCCATCTTCTGTTGCTTTCACAGGCGCATTAGCAGGGAGCAGAAGTGGAGCAGCCAGTGTGGCAGGTGCTGGCTTAGCCCATTACTGGCCCCAGGGTCTGTATCTTTTTATTTATTTATTTTTGCTGCTTTATGAGGAAAATTGACCTCTTTTTTTCCTTTAGCTACTTTTTCTCTTCTGTTCTTTGTTTACAAAATAATATCCTGCCTCTTTTTTTTTTTTTTTAGATTTTTATTTATTTACTTGAGAGGTAGAGTTACAGACAGTGAGAAGTAGAGACAAAGAAAAGTCTTCCATTGGCTAGTTCACTCCCCAAATGGCTGCAACAGCCGGAGCTGCGCTGTTCCGAAGCCAGGAGCCAAGTGCTTCCTCCTGGTCTCCCATGCAGGTGCAAGGGCCCAAGCACTTGGCCCATCTTCTTTTTTTAAATTTTTTTTTAATTTTATTTGACAGATAGAGTTAGACAGTGAGAGAGAGAGAGACAGAGAGAAAGGTCTTCCTTCTGTTGGTTCACCCCCCAAATGGCCGCCACGGCTGGCACTGTGCTGATCCGAAGCCAGGAGCCAGGTGCTTCTTCCTGGTCTCCCATGCAGGTGCACAGGTGCAGGGGCCCAAGCACTTGGGCCATCCTCCACTGCCCTCCTGGGCCACAGCAGAGAGCTGGACTGGAAGAGAAGCAACCAGGACTAGAACGTGGCTCCCATATGGGATGCCGGCACCATAGGCGGAGGATTAACCAAGTGAGCCACGGCACCGGCCCCCTTGGGCCATCTTCTACTGCTTTCCCAGGCCATAGCAGAGAGCTGGATTGGAAGAGGAGCAGCCAGGACTAGAACCAGTGCCCATATTGAAGCCAGTGCCTCAGGCAGAGGATTAACCTACTGCGCCATGGCGCCAGCCCCTATCCTGATTTTTTAAGGATAAATTTACAAAAAAATATTTTTTTGTTTTTCATTTTATTTGAAAGAGTGGTCTTCCATCTGCTGGTTCCCTCCCCAATTGCCTCTTTATTTTTTTTTTAAAGATTTATTTATTTATTTGAAAGTCAGAGCTACACAGAGAGGGGAGAGGCAGAGAGAGAGAGAGAGAGAGAGAGAGAGGGAGGTCTTCCATCCGATGGTTCACTCCCCAACTGGCTGCAACAGCTGGAGCTGCGCCGATCCGGGTCTCCTACGGGGGGTGCAGGGGCCCAAGAACTTGGGTCATCTTCTACTGCTTTCCCAGGCCACAGCAGAGAGCTGGATTGGAAGTGGAGCAGCTTGATCTCGAACCAGTGCCCATATGGGATGCTGGCGCTTTAGGCCAGGGCATTAACCCACTGCATCACAGCGCTGGCCCCCAAGATGCCTCTTAGAACTATTACTGGGCCAGGCTGAAGCCGGAAGGCAGGAACTCAATCCAGGTCTCCCATGTGTGTAGCAGCGATCTAAGGACTTGAGCCATCACCTGCTGTCACCTAGAGTATGCATTAGCAGGAAGCTGGAATTAGAAGCAGAACCAGGACTTGAACCCAGACCCTCTGATATGGCATACAGGTGTTCCACACACACCACAGTGTTCACCACTGTGCCAAAGGCCTGCCCTTCTCTTCTGCTCATAACCAGTAAGATAAAATGGGAAATTTTGAACTTAAGACTTACTTTCTCTTTTACTACATTTCAGTACTGGTTGTTTTTTTTTTTAAGTTGTTTTCAGGGCTGGCATTGTGGTGCAGCCATTGTCTGCAATGCCAGCATCCCACATGGGCACCGGTTTGAGGCATCCACATCCCATATCTGGTGCCTGGCTGAGCGGCTTCTGTTCTGGCTCCCTGCTAAGGTACCTGGGAAGCAGCAGATGGTGGCTCAAGTACTTGGGTTCCTGTCATCTACTTGGGAGACTTGGATGGAGTTCTTGGCTCCTGGCTTTGCTGGCTGTTGCTGGCATTTGGGGAGTTGGGAGATGACTCTCTGTCTCTGCCTTTCAAATAAATTAGAAAAGAACCTTTTAAAAAAATTATGAATGGGTTATAGACTTCCACCCAATGTTGTCCAGATACAAGAAAAAAATTGAGAAATCATTCACAAAATTCCAAAGCTCTAAAGAAAAAATGTGGGGAGATGCGCAGGGAGTTGACCGTACTCACATCCCAGGGGAGAGTTCACTGTTAACAATTTGACAAACTCATCTGTAAAAATTTGAGAGCTGCTGTGTGCCAGGCGCTGTCCTAGGTACTGAGGAGCAGGCTAACTCTATAACACAGCACAGAAAGTGTGACTTCATCTGGCTTATAAATTCTCTGTGTTAGCAGAAGCGGAGACTCGTAGTCTGTTTTGTTCTTTCCAGGTTAAAAAATAATTATGTAGCCTTAAAGCAAAGATATTTTAGATAAGAGCCAATGGGTTTGGTATGTAATGGCTGTAGACTAATGTGAAGAGAATGTAAAATTAGGATCCAGAGGCCGGCGTAGTGGGTAAAGCCGCCACCTGCAGTGCCAGCATCCCATATGGCACCAGTTCAAGTCCTAGCTGTTCCACTTCCGATCCAGCTCTCTGCTATGGCCTGGGAAAGCAGTAGAGGATGGCCCAAGTCCTTGGGCCCCTGCACCCACATGGGAGACCAGAAAAATCTCATAGCTCTTGGCTTTGGATCTGCCCAGCTGCAGCCATTGTGGCCATTCGGGTAGTGAACCAGTGGAAGAAAGATCTCTATCTCTCCCTCTCTCTGTAACTCTGCCTTTCAAATAAATAAATACATCTTTAAAAAAATATAAAGCATTATTTTAGGGGGCCAGTGTGGCAGTGTGGTGTAGTGCATAAAGCTGCTGCCTGCTCACTGGCATTGTATTATTGGGCACCGGTTTGAGTCCTGGCTACTTCACTTTTTTTTTTTTGGCACACTCCCATGTGGGTGCAGAGCCAAGGACTTGGGCCATCTTCCACTACTTTCCCAGACCATTGGCAGGGAGCTGGATTGGAAGTGCAGCAGTCTGGACTTAAACCAGCACCCATATGGGATGCCGGTGCCGCAGGTGGAGGCTTAACCTTTTACTCCACAGTGCTGGCCCCTTCTGCCCTTGGTTCCTGACTTTGTCCTGGACCAGACCTGGCTGTTGCAGCTATTTGGGGAGTGAACCAGCAGATGGAAGATCTCTTTCTGTCTCTCCCTCGCCATTGGCCACTCTACCATACAAATAAATCTTCAAAAAATATATTTTCCAAAAAAGTACATGGTTATCAGTCTATACTTTATCTATTTAATGTTTATGTCATTAATTACTAGTTGTTAAGTTTGAATTTTTAATTGTGCCTCATTTTCTCATTGTGAATGCTCTATATTAATTTTATTTGCTTTTCTTGTCATAATAGACAAAACTATATTTGAACTTCTGCATTTTAACTTAAAATTTTTTTTTAAAGAATGATTTTTTTATTTGAGAGTCAGCGTTACAGAGAGAGAAGGGAAGACGAGAGAGGTCTTCTGTCTGTTTATTTACTACTCCCCAGATGGCTGCTATAGCCAGGGCAGGACCAAGCCAAAGCCAGGAGCTTTCTCTAGGTCTCCTTCGTGGGTGGCAGGGGTCCAGACACTTGGGCCATCATTTGCTGCTTTTCCCAGGCCGTTAGTAGGGAATTGGATTGGAAGTGGAACAGCCGGATTTCAAACCGGCGCCCTGGGGATGCCGGCATCGAAGGCTGTGACGTTACTCACCACGCCGCAACACGGGCCCTTTGTATTTCAGCCTTAAGATGTCTTCATATAGAGAAGCTTTATGTGGCTGCATGTTCCACTCTTTCTTTCCTAATATTCAGTTAAGTAATTATTTATTTAAGTATTATTTCTACAAACATGTGGGTCTTTGTTTTTCTTGGCCACTTGGAGGTCAGAGAGGAATCTGATGAACGAAGCCTGGGTTTGAACCTTTGGCTCTCCCGGGATCTGGAGTAGTTGACGCAGGAGAGTGGAATGGAACGTGGGAAAGGGGCTGCGTTTTAGAGGGCAGAGGATAGACATGGTCCCTGTGTCTGCAGGTTTGCCGTGCGTGGGCCAACAGCCCTTGGGAGTGAGTGTGTCTCATCTTTCTCTGACTGTCCCTCTCGCTGATTTTCACACTCAGCAACGCCACCACCCGCCCGTTTCTACTGTTAAAATCTGCCCAGGCCGTTTCTTTCTTCATCCATCTGGGGCCTCTCCTTTCTTCCTCCTTTGCTAAGCGCACCCTAACCTGTGCTTGCTGACTACTTCCTGCCTGTTCCACATGTTTGCAGAGTGTTTCTCAGACTTTTCCCTTCATTGTGTTTTTCACCTGCCGAGCTGTGTATTAAGTTAACTGAAGTGAGGAAAGAGTTAGTGCCTTCAGCCGGTCTGTCTGCTTGGTCTTAGCGCAGCACACACAGGATGAGCTTGGGAGTCGGTCTGATCTGATTCACCGGTTCCTTACGCTCCCTGGGCTGGTGCATGGGGACACCTGGTACACAGGTCGCACCTGCTCGGGCAAGGCTCCCAGCCTGCCTTTTCTCTCTGTTCTCTGCCAAACACTTTAAAAAGGTGTTGTTGTTGTTTTTAAAGATTTGTTTTTATTTGAAAAGGAGAGAGAGGAGAGAGAGAGACAGACAGACAGACAGATGAGAGAGAGAGAGAGGAGAGATAGAGAGATATCTTTTATCTGCTGTTCACTGTCCAGACGGCTGCCATGGGTGGGGTTGGAGCCGGGCCAGGTTGGCACTAGGAGTGTGGAACTCCACTGGGTCTGCTACATGTGTGCTCTGCCAAACTTTTTTTTTTTTGGTAAATTTATTTATTTATTAGTTAAAGATTTATTTATTTGAAAGGTAGAGCAACAGAAAGAGGGAGAGCAAGAGGTTTTCTGTTGACTGGTTCACTCCCCAAAAGGCTGCAATGGTTGGAGTTGGGACAGGCTGAAGCCAGGCGCTGGGAACTCCATCTGGATCTCCCACATGGTGGTAGGGGCTGGAACAGCTGGGCCATCTTCTGCTGCCTTCCCCGGTGCGTTAGCGGGAAGCTGGATCAGAAGCAGAGCAGCCAGGACTTGAAACAGCGTTCCAATATAGTATGCTGGTGTCGTAGGCGGCAGCCTAACCCACTGCACCACGACACTGGTCCCTAGATTTATATTATTTTGAAAGGCAGAGTGACAGAGAGAAGTTGAGAGAGAGACAGACAGATGTTTCCCCACAAGCCTGCAGCAGCTTGGGCCAGAGCAGGCCCCGGCCTGGAGCCAAGGCTAGCCAGGTGATGCGTGTGGGTGGCCGGTACCCGGGCACTTAGGCCCCCCAAGCACATTTGCAGAAAGCTGGATGGGAGTACCAGTAGCAGGACGCTAACAGGCACTGTGACAGGACGTGGGTGTCCCCAGCAGCGGCTTAGCCCGCTGTGCTGCAGGTCCTTCCCCAGACTTCTTTCTGATGCCTGTGTCTTGGCCGTCTTCTCAGGGAAGGCAGCCATCCTGTCTCCTGTGTGCTCGCACACTTATTGTTGCTGCCATTTCAAACATCCCTGCTAACGAAACTGCTTCTCCTCTGCCTCGTGGCCTCTCTGCTGGTCCTTCAGCTCCGAGAATTCAGCTCAGAGCTCACTCCGGAAAGCCTGTCCTTCCCTCCCTCCCCTTCCTTCTCTCTCTCCCCTTCTTCCCCCCTCCCCCTTCTTCCTCCCCCCTCCTTCCTCTCTCCCCCGTTCTTCCCCCCTTCCTCCCTCCCTCCCTCCCTCCCTTCTTTCCTGATGTATTCATTTATTTGAAAGTCAGAGTTACAGAGGGATGTGGGGAGAGACGGAGGTTGCTCTTCCACCTGCAGACAGCTATAACAGCCAAGGCTGGCCCAGCCTGAAGCCAGGAACTTCATCCGGGTCTCCCACTGGGTGGCAGGGGCCCAGACACTTGGGGCCATCTTTGACTGTTTTTCCCAGGCCGTGTACAGTGGAGCAGCCGGGACAGGAATGTCGGCGTTCCAGGTGGTGGCTTCACCTGCTCTGCCACAATGCCGGCCCACTGAGCGCAACTGTTCCCTTGTTTCCTTGTATTTAAATGGTGTGCCTTTTACTAATTAGCATACACACACTGTTTTTATTTCCATCTGAAACGCCTTCCTGCCTCACTCTAGAGTCGGATGTCCCGGCAGAGCTGCAGGTGCTGAAGGAGCCGCTGCAGCAGCCAGCCTTCCCCTTCGCCGTCGCCAACCAGCTGCTGCTCGTCTCCCTGCTGGAGCACCTGAGTCATGTGCACGAGCCAAACCCGCTTCGCTCCAGACAGGTGTTTAAACGTGAGTAAGAAAGGCTGCCGACGGTACTGTGTTCATTGCCGTGGGTCTAGGCGGCAGCTGGTGTATAAAAATTGGGTAACTTAGCATCATGAATGTGATCTCTGGGACCCCCAGAATTGTGTGTAACTGAGTAAGTAACAGGTAGTCCTTGTGCATCTATGACACGATAGCTCATGTAATTTTGGGGGGTGGCTTACAGTGTGACCGGTAAGCAGGTCAGAGGAACCACCTGCTTGTTCTGAGCCTGTTTGAAACCGGAGGGCTGGGGCAGTTGTGTGTAGTGTCGTGAGGGTGTTTAGTGTTGTTCCCAGCACTGGGTGTTGGTGTTTAGTGTTAGCACAGAAGTGAGCAGAGTCAGGGACCGTGATGTTTCCGGCTCAGCTTGTCCACAGAGAACGCCGTGGCCTCTTGAGGAGCTCCAGCCACCGAGTCGGAGGGTCTTTCCTCCCCAGAAAAAAGTCTTTCTGGGTGTTGTTTGGCATTACAGATCCTCAAACTTACAAAAACCTTCATGTGGTCTTAGAACTAATGTGTTTTTAGTTAAAGATATATTATCATCTTGCTGTATCAAAAGACATCATTGATGGAACATGAAAAAATGGTAAAGATGCTTGTACAGTGTACACTTCCTGTTTCCTTGGATGAAGCCAGTCTTTCCGCGTTCTAAGCAGTGGCGTATGTGGGGGAGGTGGTGTGTACCAAAGGGGGTGCCCCGTTCCTTGCATTCCAGAGCAGTCATACCAGGGGAGTCCTGCATTAGCTCACGGTACAGAAACGTAGATTGTTACAATTTTTTATAGGATTTATTTATTTGAAAGGCAGAGTTATACAGAGGCAGAGAGAGAGAGAGAGAGAGAGAGAGGGGTGTCTTCTGGCCGCTGGTTCACTCCCCAGATGGCTGCAGTGGCTGGAGCTACACTGATCCAAAGCCAGGAGCCAAGAGCTTCTTCCAGGTCTTCCACGTGTGTGCAGGGGCCCAAGGACTTGGGCCATCTTCTGCTGCTTTCCCAGGCCACGGCAGAGAGATGGATCAGAAGTGGAGCAGCTGGGACTTGGACCAGCACCCACCTGGGATGCCAGCACTGCAGGCAGTGGCTTTACCTGCTATGCCACAGCACCAACCCTACAATTTTCTTTTTTAAACACTTATTTATGTATTTGAAAATCAGTTACAAAAAGAGAAAGAGATACAGAGAGAGAAATCCTCCACCCAGTGGTTCACTCTCCAGATGGCCACAACTGCCAGGGCTAGTCCGGGCTGAAGCCAGGAGCTTCTTCCAGGTCTCCCATGTGGGTGGCAGGAGCCCAAGCACATGGGCCATCCTCCACTGGTTTCCCAGGGAACTGGATTGGAAGTGGAGCAGCTGGGACTTGACCTGGCACCCATATGGATGCTGGCCTCTGATGACTTTACCCACTAGACCTTAGCACTGGCCCCTACAACAATTTCTTTTTAAAAGTTTATTTTCATTTATTTGGAAGACAGAGAGAGACAGAGGTCTTCCACAAATGGCTTCAACAACAGGGCTGGGCCAGGCCAGAGTCAGGAGCTTCTCCCGGGTTTCCCGTGTGGGTGCAAGGGTCCAAGCACTTTGGCCATCTTGTTTTGCTTTCCAAGGCGTGTTAGCAGGAAGCTGGATTGGAAGTGAAGCGGCTGGGTCTCGATCTGGTGCCCACATAGGATGCCAGCATTGCAGGAAGCGGCTTACCTGCTGTGCCACACGCTGGCCCCAGATTGCTATAACTTAATGCAGTCACCTGGTCACAATTAGAGCAAAGCTGTGAAGCTTACTGATTCCAAGATAACTTTTAGTTCCTTATGTGCTCTCTTCAGATGACAGCTGTGACAAGGCGTATTTAATTAAGTACCGTCCTCGCACTTCACGTGGCCACCTAAGGGCAGTGTTGAGGTGGAGCAGACATCCTCTCTGAAGTCTGCTTCTAGTGTGGGCGGAGGCCGAGGCGCCTCCGCTAGGAGTTCCCTTTGTCTGAGGAGCCTGGTACCCGCTTCTGACATGTGCTACTCATCCTGTGCACGCATCCTGCACGCATGTGTGACGTGTGCTCCTCGCTGTGTGTGCATCCTGCACATGTGTCTGACATGTGCTGCTCGTCCCATGTGCACGTCCCACACAGGCATCTGATGCGTGCTGCTTGTCCTGTGCGCACATCCTGCACACACGTCTGACATGTACTCCTTGTCCTGTGCGCACATCCTGAACACATGTGTGACGTGTGCTCTTCGTCCCGTATGTGTGTCCTGCACACATGTCTGATGTGTACTCCTTGTCCCGTGTGTGTGTCCTGCACATGCGTCTGATGTGTGCTCCATGTCCTATGCACACATCCTGAACACATGTGATGTGTGCTCCTTGTCCCGTGTGTGTGTCCTGCACATGCGTCTGACATGTGCTCCTTGTTCTGTGCACACATCCTGAACACATGTTTGACGTGTGCTCGTTCCGTGCGTATGTCCTGCACACATGTCTGATGTGTGCTCCTTGTCCCGTGCGCACATCCTGCACACGTGTCTGATGTGTGCTTCTTGTCCTGTGCACGCATCCTGAACAAATGTGTGACGTGTGTTCCTCGCCCTGTGCGCGTGTCCTGCACATGCATCTGACGTGTGCTCCTTGTCCTGTGCATGCATCCTGAACACATATGTGACGTGTGCTCCTCATCTCGTGCGTGCGTCCTGCACTCGCGTCTGACATGTGCCCCTCGTCCTGTGCATGCATCCTGAACACTTGTGATGTGTGCTTCTCGTCCCGTGTGCATGTCCTGCACACACATCTGATGTGTGCTCCTTGTCCTGTGCATGCATTCTGAACACATGTGTGATGTGTGCTCATCTCATGCATGTGTCCTGCACATGTGTCTGACGTGTGTTGCTCGTTGTGTGTGCGTGTCCTGCACACACGTCTGATGTGTGCTCCTTGTCCTGTGCACATCTTGCACACGTCTGACGTGTGCTCCTTGTCCTGTGCATGCATCTGAACACATGTGTGATGTGTGTTCATCTCATGCATGTGTCCTGCACATGTGTCTGACTGTTGCTCATTGTGTGTGCGTGTCCTGCACACACGTCTGATGTGTGCTCCTTGTCCTGTGCACATTTTGCACACGTCTGACGTGTGCTCCTTGTCCCGTGTGCACATCCTGCACACATGTCTGACATGTGCTCCTTGTCCTGTGCACACATCCTGCACACATGTGATGTGTGTTCCTTGTCCCGTGCGTATGTCCTGCACACGTGTCTGATGTGTGCTCCTTGTCCTGTGTGCACATCCTGCACACATATCTGATGTGTGCTCCTTGCCCCCTGTGCACGCATCCTGAACATACGTGTGACGTGTGCTCCTCGTCCCATTTGCGTGTCCTGCACACGTGTCTGACGTGTGCTCCTTGTCCTGTGTGCACATCCTGCACACGCATCTGTGTGCTCCTTGCCCTGTGCACACATCCTGAACACATGTGTGACGTGTGCTCCTCGTCCCGAGCACACATCTGATAAATTACCATGGATCTGCTCCTGATCACTGTACCAGTCGCTGCTTCTGTTTCAGACGCGATCTCCCTGGGGGACGCGTGTGGAGACGTAACTTCCCGTGGAGACCTTCGTGCGGTTACTGCTCTCTGATCTCCGTACTCCTACAGGTTGCCGTGGATAGATGGTCTTTCTCACGGCCATTCTCGTGTTCTTTCTCTCTCTAGTGCTCTGTCAGACCTTCATCAAAATGGGGCTGCTGTCTTCCTTCACCTGCAGCGACGAGTTTAGCTCGTTGAGGCTGCATCACAACAGAGCTATCACGCATCTGATGAGGTCCGCCAGAGAGAGAGTTCGGCAGGTAAGCCCTAAATATGCGTTGTGCGTGGAAAAATGCATTTGAATTTCAAGAGAACTGTATTTTAAAAGCATCATGAAATTGTCAGCATGTGGAGACTTTTAAAGATACAAACTTTAGGCCAGCGCCGCGGCTCACTAGGCTAATCCTCTGCCTTGCGGTGCCGGCACACCGGGTTCTAGTCCCGGTCAGGGCGCCGGATTCTGTCCCGGTTGCCCCTCTTCCAGGCCAGCTCTCTGCTGTGGCCAGGGAGTGCAGTGGAGGATGGCCCAAGTGCTTGGGCCCTGCACCCCCTGGGAGACCAGGAGAAGCACCTGGCTCCTGCCTTCGGATCAGCATGGTGCACCAGCCGCAGTGCGCCGGCCGCGGCGGCCATTGGAGGGTGAACCAACGGCAAAGGAAGACCTTCCTCTCTGTCTCTCTCTCTCACTGTCCACTCTGCCTGTCAAAAAAAAAAAAAGATACGAACTTTGTTTATACTCATGGAAAGCTCGCTGGTGTGCTGCACTCCTCTGCGGGTGCTGGGGTTTAAACAGTGAATGAAATGGACCGAGGTCCCTGTCTCATGGAGCTTGTGTTCTGATGAGGGGACAGTGAACAACAGAGGGCAGGTGCAGGTACAGGAGGCATTCGCTGGTGAGAAGACAAAGCAGTGACTGCTGCGAAGGGGCTGTGTGCTTTTCTCTTAGGGTGGCTGGGGAAGGTCTCCCTGAGACCGTGTTGTTGAAGAGCTGAGAGAATGAGCCGTGCAGATACCTGGAGAGAAGGCATTCTGGGCCGGGGAGCAGGAATTGGAAAGGTCCTGCGGTGGCAGGGGCCGGCGGCAGGGTGCAGGCCTGCTTGGGGGCTGCTGGGCAGCCATGTGGTAGAGTGGAGCAGGCAGAGGTGAGGGGACAGGGCAATGGGATCTTGAGACCATTTGTGTGTGCTTGGTTTTGACTCAGTCTGTTGGCAAGCACTGTGGGATCTTTTTTTTTTTTTTTTTGACAGAGATAGAAAGGTCTTCCTTCCATTGATTCACCCCACAAATGGCCGCTACTGCCGGTGCTGTGCCAATCCGAAGCCAGGAGCCAGGTGCCTCCCCCCTGGTCTCCCACGCGGGTGCAGGCGCCCAAGTACTTGAGCCATTCTCCACTGCCTTCCCAGGCCACAACAGAGAGCTGGACTAGAAGAGGAGCAACCAGGACTAGAACCTGGTGCCCGTATGGGATGCCGGCGCCACAGGTGGAGGATTAGCCAAGTGAGCCACGGCGCCGGCTCCAGCACTGTGGGATCTTAAGCAGAGGAGTGACCCGATCTGACGGATTTTCTCGGGATCACACCAGCTGCTGGTTGAGAGTATTTTGGGGTGGGGGAGGGCAAGGGCAGCAGTAGGGGACGTGTAGTCGTGCAGGCTGGGTTGGCACAGCTCGGGATGGGCCGGTAGTGGTGGCGCAGTGGTCGGTTTCTGCATAGTTCTTGAAGGTGAAGTCGGTCTTATTTGCTTGTGGAGTTCTTTGGTAAATAAATTCTCGGCTGTGAAATGTTTTCAATCGTAACCTCTTAAGTAATATTGAAAAAAATTTAAAAGCAGTTGCCTGAGCATTTGGGACTAGCACATCAATGAATTTTGGTAGATTTCTTATTCCATCAAAGTTTTCAAAGTGGTTTTTTAAAAATGGCTTTGTGGTTTCAGGATCCCTGTGCTGATAATTCTCATATCCAGAAAATCAGGTATGTGCTAAGTGCTTTGTTGATTATGCAAAGTCTGTCCAAAAGAAATCAAAATCAGGATGAACAAAGTAATGGTCTGGGGTAAAAAGTAATGTTGGTAGGGTAGTTTATGAGAACGTACAGGGAGCGAGGGGGGGGGGGCATGCTCATTATGTTCTTACATAACCGTATATATGAAGCAACAATTAATTATTGTTCCAAGATTGGATTTAGTTCCTCATCTCTCCTCTGCTCCCTCATCGAGTGTGGATTCAATGAGTTACGTGACTAAGTTCAATTAATTCTGACAACTGATATCCAGTCTGTGTTAGAGCAGCATTGAATGTTGACTCTGTTTAGGAAACTCTAACTGGTCTGCATCATAAAGAAATTTAAGTAAATTGATTACTGAACACTGCTAATCATCTTTCACTTGTTATTCATCCTTGGATTTCTGCCGTGAAGCATGGATGGTAATTTTTTTTTAGTAAATTTATATTTTATTTCCATTTTCCATGAATATTTTTAAGACTTTTAGTTATTTGAAAGAGTTAGAGAGAGAGAGAGGGAGGTGTTTGTCTTCATTCCTCAAGTGGCTGCCGTGGCAGGAGCTGAGCCATTAGAGCCAGGAACCAAGAACTGCCTCCTGATTTCCAGTGGGGGTGCAGGAGCCCAGGGGGTTGAGCCATCTTCTGCTGTTTTCCCAGGCGCATTAGCAAGGAGTTGGATCGGAAGTGGAGCAGCTGGGATTCGAACTGGCGCCCACATGGGATGCCAGTGCTGCAGGCTGGGGCTTTAACTCACTGTGCCACAGCGCCGGCCCTTGTAATTTCTAATTAGATTAGTAACTACCGCTGGACCACTTGAAATTACTTATTTACTCCCTTGCTATTTTTATCATGTTGTCTGTTTGCTTAGCCAGTGTTTCCTTCACAGAGAATGAACAATTTTATTTTGGCTTCCCCTTGCCAAATTATCCTGACTTAGTGATAAGGTTTTGGCAGGTTACTAAAACACTGAACATAAGCTATCCCAGAACATTTGGTCCCCTCATGTTAGAGTGCTGATTAGCTGTTTGTGTTTAACTGAACTTTCAGATCACGAGAAGTTGCCTTGGAAGCACAGACCTCACGATACTTGAATGAGTTTGAAGAGCTCTCCATCCTGGGGAAAGGTGGCTATGGCCGAGTGTACAAGGTGGCTCTCCACATGCTTGTTCTCACCTGCTCCGAACATCAGGGTCTTTAAGGAGCTGTGTGCATTGTTTTTACTATGTAAAGTGCTCAAAGGAGAAGTCCTAGAAATCACACATAACTGCTTTTTGTTAAAATTTGCCATTAATAGGAAAGTGGGCACTTTTACCTGTTTTCCTAACCATGTTTTCTGGAAACCTGGCACTTTTTCTTCTGTAGTTAATTTTTGTTTAAAAATGTGTTAGGCACAAGTGTGCTGCTGCGCACTGGACCTTCCAGAGTCCTGGGCTGGTTATTGTTCTTTGTGAAGTGGGCACAGGAAGGAGACCTGTCTTTGGCTTGGTTTTACCTGGTGTAGTTGGGATCACCTAAGTGCAGATTGAAAGAGCTGTGTTATTCAATTGGAAGTTTAATGGCATGATGTATTTTGTCTTTTCTTCTGCTTTTTAGGTCAGGAATAAATTAGATGGCCAGTATTATGCAATTAAAAAAATTCTGATTAAAGGTGCAACTAAAACAGATTGCATGAAGGTATGATGTTTGAAAATTATTTTGAGTTATTGTCTTTAATTCTGTGTAAGAGAGTTACATATGTACACATGTTGTTTATTTGGCGAATACTTGTAAGAGTCAGGTGATAGTATAGTAAATCTTAAAACCAAATTTCTGTTAGATGTGATGGTTTTAAAGGTTAGGTTGATTGTATTTCAGAGCCACTGCTGTAGAACTTAATTTCCACATGAGTGTGTAAGACAGACAGCTTGTTGGAAAACAGGGGGAGCCCAGGTCAGGTCCCCAGTGTTCTCCCTGCCCTGCTCCGAGCTCTGTTTGTGCCTCGTCTCCAAGTCACTGCCCTTCGTGCCCTTGGAGCGGTAGTGACAGTCGTAATTTTATTTACCTTGGAGGACTAGTGTGGGGCTCAGATGTGAGGGCACTGATAGATTAGCTATGGCAAACACAGAGTGCTATGTAAATATCAGTTATCTAGTTCCAAAGCAATTGCCATTTGTCACTCACAAGAATATTTCCATTATTTTTAATAGTTTAAAGTCCTCATCTAGATGGCTTTTTATTATTTTGTTGTGGAACAAGGAGTTTTTGATGCTATGAATACTTAACAAATTGTTGGTAAGAGCCAGGTCTAATGATACTTCTTTTCTTAGGTATTACGAGAAGTGAAAGTGCTGGCGGGCCTCCAGCACCCTAATATCGTAGGCTATCACACCGCGTGGATAGAGCATGTCCACGTTCACGTTCAAGGTGAGCAGCTTTGGATGCTGCAGGATGACCATCTCTAATCCACAGAGCTGAGGATTTTGGAACATGGCAGATTTTGAATTTTTGAATTAGGGGTGCTACACTGTTAAAAGTCTATGCAGGTTTACCAAAATCCAAAAAATTCTGAAATCTGAAACACTTGCAGTTCCAGGCTTTTTTTTTTTTTTTAAGATTTATTTATTTGAAAGACTTACAGAGAGATAGAGCCAGAGAGAGAGTGAGAGAGAGAGAGAAAGTCCATCTGCTGATTCCTTCCCCAGATGACCGCAATGGCCAGAGCTGTGCCAATCTGAAGCCAGGAGCCAGGAGCTTCTTCTGGGTCTCCACGCAGGTGCAGGGGCCCAGGGTCTTGGGCCATCTTCTACTGCCTTCACAGGCCATAGCAGGGAGCTGGATCGCAAGTAGAGCAGCCAGGACATGAACCAAGGCCCATGTGAGATGCTGGCGCTGCAGGCAAAGGCTTTAACCCACTGCGCCACAGCACCGGCCTCATTTCTAGGCCTTTTGAGTAAGGGATACTTCAGCTTAAGGGCCAGATCTGGCCTGCTCTTGATTTTTGCGTACCAAAAGTTGAGAATGCATTCTTGTTTTTCATCTTTTTTTAAAGATTTGTTTATTTACTTGAAAGGCAGTTAAACACATACACACATACACACACACACACAGAAATGTCAATCAATCTACCTTTCAGCCCCTGGTTCACTCCCCCAAATGCTGCAGTGACATGGATTGGGCCAGGCTGAAGCCAGGAGCCTGGAACTCCATCCAGGTCTCCCGTGTGGGTGGCAGGATCTCAGGGACTCGAGCCATCTTCTGCTGCTTTCCCAGGTGCCTTCCCAGGGAGTTGGATTGGAAGTGGAGCAGCTGGGACTTGAACCTGCACCCATATGGGATGCTGGTGTTGCAGTGATGGCTTAACCTGCTGTGCCACAATACCAGTTTTTACATTTTTAAACAGTTAAATAAATAAAAAAAAACAATATGTTGGGAAAAATTTGTCATCAGGTCTTCTGCAGAAAGCTCACTGAGCCCGGCAGTAGTTGAACAGCTCTGTTTGTGGGCCTAGAGGGTGGCAGTCATTTGAACACACTTGTTACCTTGTCTGGCCGAAAGGCCATGACATTTTGACTCGTGGGTTCACTTGGCATTATTTGTGTATCTTAGCTCTTCTTGGACTGTAAAGTGGAAAACTGGGTGCACTGAAGATTTTTTTCCCCTTGTTCAGCAGACAGAGTTCCGATTCAGTTGCCTTCTCTGGAAGTGCTCTCTGACCAGGAAGAAGACAGGTATGTGGGTTGGTGTCACTTGCCCACGTGGGACATTGGCCTGTCACCTGCAGTGGATTACCATTGTCGTTTGCCACTAGCAGCTCGGGAGGGATGCTTCAGATTTTCCTTAATAGCAGCTTTTCTTCTTCATTTTTTTTTTTTAAAGATTTACTTTATTTATTTGAAAGAATTACAGAGAGAGGTAGAAACAGAGAGAGAAGTCTTCCATCCGCTGGTTCATTCCCCAGATGGCCGCAACAGCCCGAGCTGTGCCGATCTGAAGCCAAGAGTCAAGGGGTTTTTCCAGGTCTCCCACATAGGTGCAGGGGCCCAAGGACTTGGGCCATCTTCTGCTGCTTTCCCAGGCCATAGCAGAGAGCGGGATTGGAAGAGGAGCAGCCGAGACTAGAACCAGCGCCCATATGGGATGCCGGCACTTCAGGCCATGACTTTAACCCGCTGAGCCACAGCGCCAGCCCCTCAGTGTTTTTTTTTTTTAACAACAAAGTTGCAGGCTAAATTTGCATTTATATATGCCTCCAAAATCCCTAATTTTACTAAAGCTCTTCCTTTTTTTTTTTTTTTTTTTTAATTTTGAGAGGCTGAGAGAGTGTGCTTCTACCCACTAGTAAACTCCCCAGATGAGTGCAGTGGCCAGGAGCTCAATCTGAATCCCCTACGCGGAGGGCAGGAACCCAGTAGTTGGGCCATTACCACTGCCTCCCAGGGTCTGCATTAGCAGGAAGCTGGAGCCAGCAGCTGGAGCCGGGCATCGAACCCAGCACTCCAAATCAGGACATGGGCATCTTGTACTAGGCCAAATGCCTGCCATGTTTTTGGTTATTTTCATTATAAAATGTTAAATTATTTTCCTTTTCTCAGATATTTCCTGCCCCCCTATATATATTTATTTAATATTTATTTTATTCATTTGAATGACAGGGCTGGATTGGAAGTGGGGCAGTCGGGACTCTAACTGGCACCCACATGGGATGCCAGCACTGCAGGCAGTGGCTTCACCTGCTATGCCACAGCGCTGGCTCCTCCTGTCACTATTATAAATAAATATTGTTTAGATAGGTTTGATGTCATTTTTTCAGAAGTTTGCTAAGAAGATTCATATAGACATAGACTGAGGGACAGTTGAGTCCCTCTTTTTTTTTTTTTTTAAGATTTTTTTTAATTAATTGAATGAAAGAGTTATAGAGAGGAAGGGAGAGAGCTAGAGAACTTCCCATCTACTGGATCTGCTGGCTCACTCCCCAAATGGCTGAACGAGGCTGGGCCAAGCTAAAGCCAGGAGTCAGAAGCTTCTTCTGGGTCTCCCACATGGGTGCAGGGACCCAAGCACTTGGGCCATCTTCCGCTGTTTTCCCAGTCACGTTAGCAGGGAACTGGATTGGAAGTGGAGCAGCTGGGACTCGAGCCAGTGCCCACGTGGGATGCCAGCGTTTACCCAGTACGCCACAGCGCTGGCCCCAGCTGAGTTACTCGCCCTGTTCTTTCGCAGTGACTTTCATCTTTGCTATTTTTGTGTCTCCAGAGATCAATATGGTGTTAAAAATGATGCAAGCAGCAGCTCATCCATTATTTTCGCTGAGTTCTCCCCAGAAAAAGAAAAATCCTCTGACGAATGTGCCGTTGAGAGTCAGAATAACAAACTGGTGAACTACACCACCAACTTAGTGGTGAGGGACACCGGTGAGTTTGAATCGTCCACGGAGCGCCAAGAGAACGGCTCGATCGTGGAGCGTCAGCTACTGTTCGGGCATAACTCAGACGTAGAAGAGGATTTCACGTCCGCGGAGGAATCTTCTGAGGAAGACTTAAGCGCGTTGCGGCACACAGAGGTAGCGGGCTCTGTGAGGGATGGTGACTGTGCGGCCCACGCTGTCGTCCCCTGTCTGCTTTGGCTCCTGCGCCCTGCATTCAGTACCTTGCACGGCCCCGCTCCCGCTCCCCGTGGGGCCTTGCTTCGTGCCCACCAGTCCACTGTGACCTCCCTCACTGGGTCTTGGCGTCTCGCCTTGTTTCAGGTCCCGTTCCCACTCCCGTTCCCCATGGGGCCTTGCTTTGTCCCCACTAGACCACTGTGACCTCCCTCACTGGGTCCCTGGCATCTCGCCATGTGTTCAGGTCCTGCACGGGGTCCCGTTCCCTGTGGGGCCCTGCTTCGCCCCCTCTAGTCCTCTCTGACCTCCCTCGCTGGGTCTCTGGCGTCTCGGCCTGTGTTCAGGTCCTGCACGGGGTCCCGTTCCCCGTGGGGCCCTGCTTCGCCCCCTCTAGTCCTCTCTGACCTCCCTCGCTGGGTCTCTGGCGTCTCGGCCTGTGTTCAGGTCCTGCACGGGGTCCCGTTCCCCGTGGGGCCCTGCTTCGCCCCCTCTAGTCCAGTCTGACCTCCCTCGCTGGGTCTCTCTCATTGTGCCCTGCTGCTGGAAGCCTCATTCATTCTGGTTCTGCTGTTTGCTGGCATCGTGTTGTAGAAATACTTTCTGCAAAAGCTGTTCAGTACTGGGGAGGGGGTGGTGACTTTCACTGAGTCCCAGTGGGATGCCCAGGTCAGCTTTTCGGGATCTTGCTGTGGAACGTGCTAATCCGTGGATCAGACTCAGCCCACGCTCGCCAGTACTGAGAATTCATATTAGGAGGTCTTGGACATCGACAGGGTCTGCACATGATCTGTCTTGTCAGAATTACAAAACTGGGCTTGTTCTTGTCAACGAATGTATGTGTGTGTAATATTTTTATGAAACACAAAATTTTGAAGTTTTACCCGAACTTAAAGGAGTTGAATTTGAAAGTCTTTTAGTCAGAATTATTTCATTTCTCTGCATAACATTTGGAAATTTTCATGGGTGCCTAGTTAAGTGAGCTGCAGTGAACTTAGTATTTGTTTACCTTTTTCTTAGTTATGTACAGTGTGAGGCCAGCCAAAGCACATATAATTTGGGGTATACATGGAGTAGGAGCGTGCCTTCTTTGCTGGTTTATCTTCATTTTAACGACTATTTGTGTAGGGAGCAGACCCGATAGTGTCAGAGTTGGTTCCTGAGTGTTGTGTTCAAGAGCTTCTGCCGCCGGGCCCCTGCCTCCTCCCTGGCCTCCCCAGCCTCCTTGTATGCCCACACCCATGGTTTTCATGATGGCCCCACTTAGCTGTCTTTTTCACAAGGCCTCTGGGCTTTGGGCAGGCCTGTGGCCTCAGCAGGCAGCCGAGGTGCTGGGCTTGGAGTAAGGTGGTGAGTCACGGGAGGGAGCCGTGCACGGTGAGAGCGCAGTGTGTCCTCTCCTAGGTGCAGTACCACCTGATGCTGCATATCCAGATGCAGCTGTGCGAGCTGTCCCTGTGGGACTGGATCGCCGAGAGGAACAGGCGGAGCCGAGAGTGCGTGGACGAATCTGCCTGTGAGTACCGTCTGGGTCCGAATACCGGGGTGGGAAAGAAACACAGTCAGAGCTTCTCTGTTGAATGCAGGGATTGCTTCTAGCTACTTGACCCTTTTAATTATTATTTATAATGGCAACTCTCTTTTTCTTAAGTTTTATTTTGTTTATTTGAAAGGTAGGGTGACAGAGCACAAGAGAATCTTCCACCTTCTGGTTGCTTCTCCAAATAGCTGTGACAGCCAGCTCTGGGCCAGGCTGCAGCCAGGAGCCCAATCCGTGTCTCCCACGTGAATGGCAGGGGCCTAAGCACTGGCCCTCTTTTGCTGCTGTCCTAGGTGCATTGGCGGGAAGCCGGATGGAAGCGGAGCAGCTGAGGCGTGAATGGGCGCTCTGATATGGGATACCAGCTGTGCAAGCAGCAGCTTAATATGCTGAACCACAACACCGACCCTGGTGGCAAATGTCTTTTAAAAAACTTTTCTGTTACCGTTGTTCTTATTTGTTTCTATTTATTTGAAAGGCAGAAAGAGAGAGGTCCTCCATCTTTTTCACTGTAACAGCTGGGTCTGGGCCAGGCTGAAGCAAGGGGCCAGGAACTCAGTCTGGGTCTCCCACGTGGGTGGCAAGAACCCAGGCGCCTGAGCTGTCAGTGCTGCCCCCCAGAGTCTACATCAGCATGAAGCTGGAATCTGGAGTGGAGCTGGGAGTTGAACCCAAGGACTCTGACATGGGTTTAACTGCTAGGTCCGACTCCTGCTCCTCACATTAGTTGTTCATATAATTGCCCTGGGATAGGTCTTGGCCTATGGTATTTTACAAAAAATTCTGTTTCTGATTCTCATGTACAGCCAGAGTTTAAAATCATTGTATTAAATTTTTATTTATGTGTTTTTGTTTTACTTGAAAGGTAGAGAGAGACAGAAACGCAGAGAGATCTTCTGTCTGCTGTTTCACTCCCTGAGGTCCTCAGTAGCCAGGCCTGAGCCAAGCCAAAGCCACCAGCCAGGAACTCAGCCTGCATGGGAGGCAGGGACCTAGGTACTTGAACCACCCCCTGCTGTGCCTCACGGTGCCTGTTAGCAGGAAGCTAGAATTGAAGGCGGAGTTGGGACTCAGACTTGGGCACACCAGTATGGGCTGTGGGCATCCCACGTGGTGTCTTGACCACTGTGCAAATGCCTGTTGTGGGTTATCAAACTCGTAGATGTGAGTAACCTGTTTTTAAGTAAAGACTCAACGAAACGTCAGTCACTAATCACTTGTCCATGCCTTTATTCCAAGTCTGAAATGTGCTTCTGATGGGAAGACAGGAGCGTAGCGCCTCTGCGCCCAGTGTTGCTTCTCTGCTTCAACATGACATCAGGAGGGGGAGGCCTGCATTGTGGTGCAGCAGGCTAAGCCACCGCTTGTGATGTTTGCATCCCTTACCAGAGTGTTGGTTGGAGTCCTGGCTGCACTGCTTTCTTTTTTTTAAATTATTTTATTTATTTATTTGAAAATTTATTATTTATTTCTTTATTAGGGAGAGGGAGAGACAGAGAGGTACCTTCCATTGAGTTGTTCACTCCCCAAATGGACACATTGGCCAGGGCTGGGCCATGCTGAAGCTAGGAGCCAGGAGCTTCTTCCAGGTCTCCCATGTGGGTACAGGGGCCCAAGCACTTGGGTCATATTCTGCTGACTGCCCAGGTGCATTAGCAAGGAGCTGGATCGGAAGACGAGCAGCCCGGACTTGAACCGGCACCTATGTGGGATTCTGGCATTACAGGTGGTGGCTTTACCTGCTGTGCCATAAGCAAAGCTGGCTCACTGCTTTGCTTTCAATCTAGCTTTCTTTCAGTCTGTGCCTGGAAAAGCAGTGGCAGGTGGTCCACATCCTTGGGCCTCTGCCCCTATGTGGGAGACCCAGATGGAGTTCCCGGATCTGGCTTTGGCCTGGCCCACACCCGGCTGTTGCTCACAACTGGGGAGTGAACCAGGGGATGGATGATCTTTCTCTTCCTCTGTCTTTCCCTGTCGCTTTGCCTTTCAAATAAAAAAAAATTTTTTTTTTTTAAGTTCTAACTTTGTAGGGCAGCCCTGTTGATCAGTTCTCTTGTTACGTTTCATCGCTCCCAGCAGTCCCCTGAGCAGCAGACCTGGGTGTGAGTTCCAGCTGTGTTGCTCACCAGTCAGGCCACTGCTCTCGTCTGCTCCTTCATCTGTGAAAGGGGACTGTCCCTACTTTGTAGCCTTGCTGGGAGGACTTAGAGCAGGAGGTGGAAGGATCTGGCAGGCTGCAGTGAGTGGAGACTGTTCCCACTGGGCCAGGTCTGTGGGAGGTGAGTGAATCCTCTCACGCGTGCACACACACACACGCGCGTACACGCCCACAGGGTTTTCCGTCTTCTGAAGTACTTGCTCAGTTATGTAGCAGGTAGGTAGTGGGAGAAGAGACAGTTGCTGTCTGTGTGGAGTGGGTTTGAGCTGTGAGACCGTCAGGCCCACTTAAGGAGAAGGGTGTAAACAATGTTTGTGTTCTTGAAGGTGAAGAATACTATGTCCATCTATTAAAATTATTAAACTAACTTGGCGAGAAAACAATTTCTATATCAAGTTTGAGTTCTACAAAACCTCTCTGCCTTCTAAACTTGCTTGTCATGTCATGATCATTTAAACAGATGGAGGAGTTCAGTTCCTTTTCTAATCATATAATCCACTTCTCAGTCATGTTGGAAAATGAAGCACTCTGAGTCGTCTTCCAGACGATGGGGGTCCTGCCCTGAGCCCGCAGGATTCATCCTTTTGCTTATTTCACTCTGTACATTGTATTTAGTCCACTGTGGCTAGGACACCAGGCTTATTAGCACTGAGCTCCAGGAGGTTAAGCATCGGAAGGAACTTAAACTTGACCTACCCCAGCCCCTGATGCCTGTGGATTGTTTAGAAGCAATGAACACTGGAGCTCCGGGTGAAGCTGGAGGACAGAATCTGTCGATGGTTGGGTGCCTGTCGGTCATGCCTTCTTGGCTAGTCAAGGAAAGCCTATTTCTAGATTTTGGGGCATTCTGGAGTGCTGACTTTGTTCAAAATCGGAAAGTTGCCAAAGTGTCAGATGTTGATGTGTTTACAGCCATCGTAACACTTAGGTGTTAATACAAAGTATAAGGAAATGACACAGATAAACTTTTTTTTCCTTCAAGGTCCTTATGTTATGGTCAGTGTTGCAACAAAAATTTTTCAAGAACTGGTGGAAGGTGTGTTTTACATACATAACATGGGCATCGTGCACAGAGACCTGAAGGTGAGTGGGGCCATTGCCTTCTTGTCGGGGTGACTCGATGTTGGGTCACGGGACTGCTGGAGACCTCGTGGCGCAGGTCACTACTGAGGGGGTCATCGTCACTTTTTTTTTTTTTTTTTTTATTTTATTTTATTTGACAGAGACAGTGAGAGAGAGAGATAGAGAAAGGTCTTCCTTCCATTGGTTCACTCCCCAAGTGGCCACTATGTCCTGCACTGTGCTGATTTGAAGCCAGGAGTCAGGTGCTTCTTCCTGGTCTCCCATGCGGGTGAAAGGCCCCAAGCACTTGGGCCATCCTCCACTGCCCTCCCGGGCCACAGCAGAGAGCTGGACTGGAAGAGGAGCAACCGGAACTAGAACCCAATGCCCATATGGGATGCCGGTGCCACAGGCGGGGGATTAACCAAGTGAGCCATGGCGCCGGCCCCATCACTTTTATGAAATCATCATCGGGTGGATGATGGGACATGCAACCTTAGGCTGTTAAAAGCATTTGTTTTTGAGTGTTTAAAAGTTTCCTATGGAGTGTGAGTGCTGTTTTCCGGCTAGGAAGGGTGCTCTGAGTCCTGATGTCATTGGTGATGGGAGACGTGCTCGATGCTGACAGAACACTCACACGGTCTCAGAGCCGTAGAGGAGCAGTCTGTTCTGTAATTGTCCATCTGAAAGGATGTTAACATGGGAGCATGTGTTTTCTATTGCAAACATCTAGATGTCTGTTTCATCTTTTTTTCTATGAAAGACAGAAAATGTATTTGCTTTTTGGCTGTAAAGTTGTTACAGATTTATTTGAAAGGGAGAGAGAGAGAGACAGAGAGAGAGAGACAGTGAGGGATTTTCCACCCACTGGTTCACTCCTTAAATGCGTGCAATATCTGGGGCGGAGCCAGGCTGAAGCCAGGAAGCCAGGAACTCCATCCTGTCTCCCAGATGGGTGGCAGGGATCCAACTACAGGGACCACCTTCTGCTATCTCTCAGGCACATCAGCAGGAAGCTGGATCTACAGCGGAAGTGGGACTTGCTCCCAGGCACTCCGACACAGGATGCAGGCATCCTGAGAGGTCGTTCAACCCACTGTGCCACATTGCCTGGGCCTGGGTGAAGAGTTTCACATTAACTTGCTTACTTTTCAGGTAAAATTAGATCACAGAAAAGGCATTTAAGAGAAAATTTAGGAGGGCCAGCATTGGGGTGCCACACGTTCAACCACCACCTATAGTGCCAGCATCTCATATGAGCGCTGGATTGAGTCCTGGCTGCTCCACTTCTGATCCAGCTCCGTACTAATGCTCCCGGGAAAGCAGCACTAGATCCATGGGGAACCCAGATGGAGTCCCTGGCTCCTGGCCCCTGGCGTTAGCCTGGCCTAGCCCTGGTTATGGGCACTTGGGGATTGACCCCACAGATAGAAGATCCCTGTTTCTCTCTGTCTCTATAACTCTGTCTTTCAAATAAGTAAAATAAATCTTTTTTTTTTTTTTTTTTTTGACAGGCAGAGTGGACAGTGAGAGAGAGAGACAGAGAGAAAGGTCTTCCTTTTGCCGTTGGTTCACCCCGCAATGGCCGCTGCGGCCGGCATATCACGCTGATTGATGGCAAGAGCCAGGAGCCAGGTGCTTCTCCTGGTCTCCCATGGGGTGCAGGGCCCAAGCACCTGGGCCATCCTCCATTGCACTCCTGGGCCACAGCAGAGAGCTGGCCTGGAAGAGGGGCAACCGGGACAGAATCCGGCGCCCCGACCGGGACTAGAACCCGGTGTGCTGGTGCCGCAGGCGGAGGATTCGCCTAGTGAGCCACGGTGCCGGCCATAAATCTTTAGAGAGTTAACATTGCTGGCCGGCTGTTGGGCACAGCTCTTAAGATGCTGCTTGGAGTGCTGGAATCCAGTATCGGAGTGCCTGGGTTCAGGACCCCCGCTCTGCTGCCGACCCCAGTTTCCTGCTAGTGTGCAACCTGGTAGGCAGAAGGTGATGGCTCAAGTACTTGGGTCTCTGCGACCCACGCGTGAGAACTCAGCTGAATTCCAAGTGTCCTGGCTTCAGCCTGGTCCAGCCCTAGCTGTTGAAGGTTTTGAGAAGTGAACCAGTGGATAGAAGATTTCCTCTCTCTGTCTCTCTGTCTCCCCCCCTCCCTCCCTCCCTCTCCCTCTCTTTCTTCCTTTCAAAGAAAAATATCTAAGAATGTTTTTAAAAGTTAATACATAAATCACTTTATTTTTTGGAAACCACTTAAGAGCCGATAGTTTGTATCTTTGAGGTGTAGGAAGCGATGGGTTCAGTCTTTCCTGCAGGTGGCCTGAGTGAGTGAGGTTCTCGGGTGCTGTGGGCCGCGGAGGCTTTACCTGAGCAGGTGAGCCAGGTCCGCGGAGCGTAGGTACATGGAGCTCCAGAGCTGCTGCGGGAGCAGCCGCTTCAGGTACTCCTTGTGCTTCTCGCCGTACCTGTTCCTGATGTTCCTTATACAGATCTCCTCTAGGGGCAGCGGCCTGTGGGACAGCTTGACTAGCGTTTTCCTTAGGAAGTGGAATTGGGGTGTCATGATTCCTGTGGGGAGGACCCCTTGGTTGTTGGTCAGTCTCAGCGGGTAGGTGTGCCTGAGTAGCCTGGCCAGAAGGGCCACGTCTCGGATATTGGAGCTGCGTCGAAGGTACATGTGAATGGGAGATTCCCCGTTCTTGGTTAGGATGTTGGCGTCGGCTTCAAACTCAAGCAGGAGGTTTATGACGGCCTCCCTGCCTCCGAAGCACGCCTCGTGGAGGGACGTCTGTCCTTGGTGGTCCTGCGCGTTGACTTCGGCTCCGTGCGTCAGCAGCAGGCGGATGCAGCTCACCCCCACGGCCAGCAGCTGGCCTGCCTTGCCTGATGCCGTGCACACCGCCAGCTTCAGGGCCGTGTTCCCCGTGGAGGAGACGGCGTAGTTGACATTGGCCCCACAGGCGATGAGCGTCTCCATCATCTCGGCGTTGAGGGCTTCCGCAGCCACGTGAAGGGCTGTCATGTGGGATTTGTTAACAGCATCGATCAGGGCACCGTTCTGGACCAGCAGGGAGAGAAGGGGCTGGGACCCGTGTTTGATGGCCAGGTGGAGGGGTGAGGACTTGCTGCTGTTGTCCACGCATGTGTTCACCTGAGCTCCGTGTTGACACAAGATGCGCAGGCACCTGATGGCGTTATTCTGAACGCTTTTGTGGATCTTGCGGATTCTGACGTCTGGTTTGGTCCACAAGCTGGGAGCGATCGGCCAGTGCAGTAGGATCAAGTGCAGTGTGGTGCGGCCTCTGATGTCCCTAGAGTAGGTGTTGATGACATGTTAGATTCAGTGGGCAGGACTCAGCCTGAAGACTTAACACCTAAGAGGGCAACATGTACTTAAGGTAATGTCACTTAGTTAAAGAAGCGTTTCAGAATCTGTGTCCCTGAATAGTATCTTAGCTCTCGTAGGGCTCAGGGGTGTGGTGGCTGCATCACCTCTGGCTGGGACCCAGCTCCAGAGGCTGTCGAGGCCTTGCTGTATGCCCAGCACCCGTGCAGTGCGGGGTCAGATGAGTAGGCATTTGACAAAGTTGTCTGGACTTGGTATGAGTTCTCGTCATCAAGGAAGTGAGCCGTGGGGGCCAGGACTCCCGTTCACTCATTGTGAACTTGGAGTGGACACGGGGGACCTGGCATTCTGAAGCTCCCATCATTCCCTGCTCCAGGCCTGGCACAGAAAGGTCTGTCGGGGGAGTGTGGCTGCCCTGCTGAGGTCAGAGTGCGGCTCTTGGCTCACGTGTTTGTGTCAGGGGAGTGTGGCCGCCCCGTTGAGGTCAGAGAGCGGCTCTTGGCTCACGTGAGTTTGCGGGGGGTGAGGCCCAGGCTGGGGGTGTGGTGGAACAGCGAGAAGGTCCTCCCGTGGTAGGTGCAGTCGGGAGCGCAGGGCAGGAGGGAGGTGGAGTTCCACAGTGGAGTAACTCTGGGAGGGGCAGGTTCTCGCCAGGGTGGAAGCTTGGCCTGAGATGGTTTGGAGCATGGGAGAGGGTGACAGAGGCGCCCCTGAGAAGGAGAGGCCCGTGGTGGGCCAGTGACGGACAGAGTGGAGGGGCTGTGAAAGCTGAGGTGGGTTCCCGGGAGGAGGCTGAGAGCGGGACCCATTAGTGGGCTCTGCCAAGCATAGTGGGGTTTCAGAACCAGGGTTCTGTTATTTTTATGACATGCCACTCATTCCCTCAGTAGCGTTTAGCAGGCACTTAGAGCGTTGGGCTTCCGGTTAGGTGGTGGGATGGCGTGATGAGCGAGCTTGACTCCTCTCTTGTGACCTGAGGGCCATCACCCAGCACCTTCACTCCCTGTGTTCTTACTTTCCCTACCGAACTTCTGGAGGGCCGTGGTCAGGACCTGTGCACCTTCTCCACACTGCTGTGAGGAGTCGGTGCTTAGTATGCGCTGGTCTGGCCCATCGGTTTGTGTTCTGGCGTCGTGGCCAGTTTCTCAGCCTTATCTGTCTCATCTAGTCAGTAAAGGGGTCGGAGCATTGAGAAGCCTCGTCATTTGTGGTGCAGCAGTTGTAACCAGTGGGTGAGTCCAGACGTAACTGAGAAGCGTGGCATCAGTCAGGGGCGGCCTCGTTTAGAAGTGACTGCCATGAGTCCCCTTACCTGACTTCCAGGTCAGCGCCGTGCTCCAGCAGACACAGCAAGCTCTGCGCCTTGCGGTAGCCTGCCGCCAGGTGAATGGGGACCACCGTCTGGGTCTGTTTGGGGGGAAGCAGATGTGTTACAAGCAGCCCTTGGTCGGTGAGAGTCGTTTCTGCCATAGCTTCGCCATGTTCACAGGGGGGTTTTCTATCTCACTGGTTTAGTTTTTGCCTCTGTTATGTGTGTTGGAAATTTACTTTTAAATGACCAAAACCCAGAGAGTTTCATAAGATGAAATCTGTGTTTTACAGAAACATAACTTTATTTACCCAGGCTCCAGAAAGAAAACTGACAACTTGGGCATGAATGACAGTTGCCCTGCTGGCACTGAGTCCTTAGGTTAACCAAAGTCGCTGACAAGCAGGTGTTGTGTTTTCTGGCTTTGCCGGAGTCAGGTGCGTCCTATCGGCAATGAAACCTGCGTTTCCGGGCTTTGGAAGATCATGCAGCATATGTTGTGTGTGTGGTAGCAGAGCTGTTTAAGCCAGTGTTTCTGATGGTTTTACACGAGCCTGCACCATGATGGGAGAGGGGAGGATGACTTCCTGTCTGAGGATCACACGAGGGGAGAAGGGAGGATGACTTCCTGTCTGAGGATCTTTTTTTTTCATCGTTAAGGTGGTAATCATTGAGCACAAATTTAGAAGATGAAAACACACACGTTAGAAAAACAGTGTTTCCACTGCACAGGCATAGTGGGTAGGGGTGAGGGTGATGGTCTGCTCTTGCTGGCGCATCTCCCGGCAGTGTGTGTGTGTGGTGGGAGCTGGGGGCGTCGCCGGCGTGGGGAGCGTGGCCATGTGGGGTCGGTGCTGGTGGCGACACCAGCATGGGGAGTGCGGATATGTGTGGCGTGGGGAGCGCAGCCGGGTGGGGCAGCTCTGAGGGGAAGGGCAGGTACCTCAGTGAGCAGTAATCGGTAGCTGCGGGTGCTGGCCAGGATGGTTATGGGCTGGTTCACGGGGTGGATTCTGAGGAGCGCCTTGATGGAGGCGCAGTCTTCTTTGAGGATGGCTTTGTAGAGTTGGAAGTGCAGCTCGGTGGTGACGATGCGGTCCTGGGGGCGCCGGTCACCGTCCGCCCCCGGGCTGCGGCTTCCCCTCTGGGTTATATTTCCCATGAGCAGACTTACGAGCGAGGGCTGAAGAGTTCAGGGGAAAATGCCGGTGTGGAGTTGGTTACTTTCCGTCTCTTTGTGATGCTCAGTTCTAGAACTCTTCTAGAATTTTGAGATCCGTATCCACAAACACGGTTCATTTTAGTGTTAGAGCCGGTCTATTCCTGATCGTATGGTGCCAGATGTCGGCATACACAACTTTGAAATTGTCATCTTACATCTGAGATTATTTCTGTTTTCTCCCCCAATTCAGCTATATTTCAAATGACTAAAAAGCTAAAATGGGAAATTACACTATGGTTGTAATAAAAAATTAAAATGCCTGCATTTAAAGTAAGCAAAGCCCTTCATGCTTTCAGTTTTCAGTGGCCTCTCCCCTCCTGCCGGCACAGGGGCAGATCTTCACTTCCGTGGGAGGTGCTCAGCGCACGTGCCCTGAGTCTGAGATGCTGCCAGACAGAGGCTCACCTGTGCCCTGCCGTGTGGGCAACCCTGGCTGACCCAGGACAGTCATCCGGGATCTTAACACCCAAGTTTGTTCATGGAAGCCTCGAAATCTGACTTGTTAGAGGATGTGGGGTGATGGAGTGCTGGCACCGTGTGTACTGTGTTCTACAGCAGGAGAGCAGGCGGGGTGTGGAGACACCGTGTGTATGTGTGTTCTACAGCAGGAGAGCAGGCGGGGTGTGGAGACACCGTGTGTATGTGTGTTCTACAGCAGGAGAGCAGGCGGGGTGTGGAGACACCGTGTGTACTGTGTTCTACAGCAGGAGAGCAGGCGGGGTGTGGAGACACCGTGTGTGTGAGTGTTCTACAGCAGGAGAGCAGGCGGGGTGTGGAGACACCATGTGTATGTGTGTTCCACAGCAGGAGAGCAGGCGGGGTGTGGAGACACCGTGTGTATGTGTGTTCTACAGCAGGAGAGCAGGCGGGGTGTGGAGACACCGTGTGTACTGTGTTCTACAACAGGAGAGCAGGTGGGGTGTGGAGACACCGTATGTTCGTGTTCTACAGCAGGAGAGCAGGCGGGGTGTGTAGACACTGGGTGTATTGCGTGTTCTGTTTCTTAGAATGGCAGAGTTAAGTGAGAGAGGATGAGGAGAGGGCTTCCATCTGCTAATTCATTCCCCAAATGGCTGCAACAGCCAGGTCGAAGCCAGGAGCCAGAGCTGCCTCTGGGTCTCCCATGTGGTTGTAGGGGCCATGGACTTGGGCCATCTTCCACTGCTTTCCCAGGGACATTAGCAGGGAGCTGGATCAGAAGTGGAGCAGCTAGGACTCGAAACCGGTGCCTACATGGGATGCTGGCACTGTTGACGATGGCTTAACCCACTGCACCACAGGGCCAGCCCCAAAATAAGACAGTAACTTATGTGTACCCCAGGAATTCCTGATTTAGTTGGCATAGGGATTGGCTTTGGATGTTAAGATTTTTAAAAACTCCCTTGATGAGTTAAATGTGCAACTGAATTTTTAGAAATTTTTGAGAGGCAGAGAGAGAGAGCGTCCATCTGCTGGTTTCCTCTCCAGATGCCCACAGTGGTCTGGGCCTGGCCGAATCTGGGAGGTAGGAACTTACCCAAGATCTCCCTGTTAGTGGCAGGGACTCGGTTACTTGAGCCATCACCAGCTGCCTCCCAGGGTCTCTATTAACAGGAAGCTGGAATGGACTGGAGCCGAGACTCGAACCCAGGCACTCTGATATAGGATGTAGGCATGCTCGCAGCGTGCAGCTTGCCCCTGCTCAGGGTTTTTTGTTTTTTGTTTTTTAATTTTTTAGGGGGCTACCTGCTCCTGAGTTGAAAAATCTTAATACGCAGAAGTTTTTTAGTATTTAAGGAAACGAAGCACTTGACTGGTTCTGTTTGTTTACAGCCTAGAAATATTTTTCTTCATGGTCCTGATCAACAAGTGAAAATAGGAGACTTTGGTCTGGCCTGCGCCGACATCATCCAGAAGAATGCGGCCCGGACCAGCAGAAACGGGGAGAGTAAGTTTGTGTGCATGGAAAGACCTGATCGAGTATGTCAGTATTTAGAGAGAGAATCATAACTACTTAATAGCAAGTAGGATGAAGAGAAGCAGCAGCCCTTGTTGCCAGGAACCCCAGCTCATAGTGAGTGTCTTCGGTGTTGACAGGGTCAGCCCTGCAGTGTCTAACGTGTGGCCTTCTACACCTAGGAGCACCCACACACACTTCCCGAGTGGGCACCTGTCTGTACGCCTCGCCCGAGCAGTTGGAAGGATCGGAGTATGATGCCAAGGTAGTGTCTGTCGCTTCTGTCCTTGTTTCCAGTTCTTTCTGCAGACGTCAGCAGCAGCGGGCGCGGCAGGTGCAGAGGTTCTGTGCGGGAGGTGTTGTGGCGACGGCTGAGCACCGCAGAGAGCCCCTGGGCATCGACTGCTCTAGTGCGAAGCCGAGCTTTGCAGCTGAACCTGACCGCTGCTTTCGGGCCAGCTTCCTAGCGTATTTCTAAGTCCACGGATGGCACACGCTGTTTCTGGAGTGGGCCTGCCTTTCCCAGCTTCACTGCTCCCCCTGGAAGCCAGGATTCCTGCGGGTCTGTAGGCAGCCGAGTGTGGGTGAATGAGTGTTCCAGATCAGCCTGACGTTCACGTTTAATCCCCATTGTTCCTTGAGGAAATGGTAAAGTAAATCCTTCTCTGAGAATAACAACCCAGTAAGTTTTATTCTTTTTGATGAGCTATTCATCTTTTTAGTGGTTGGGAAAGAGCTTCCAGAAAAAGCAATGGCTGTCCCTAAATCCTGTGTAGTAAAAACCGTCCTAAGAAGTAGCACAGGTTTTATGCGGTTTGTTAAATGTCACCAGGAATTCTCGATGGCGACTGGAGGCAGACGCGAGGCAGAGTGGGCCTTGAGCAGTGTGTGGCCCCCGTGGCCGGCAGCACAGGCTGAGCGCACGTCGCTGCCTGGCGAGGCCTGGATGGCCAGGAGCAGTGGAGCAGTGAGGTCGGGGTGTGGCCCTGAGCGCCGTGAGGGCCATTGTGCCCGTTCCTCTTCTGAGCAGGTGCCCCTGGGCGCCCCTCTTCTGTGACAGTTGGGGTTGTGCGAGTCGCAGCCGTTGCGCGTGCTGGGGAACCCTCTGCCGTGTGGGAGGGCGGCACGCGGAGGTGGAGACGGGGCTTTCCCGTTGCCCTTTGGCTGACCCGCGTCTCTCTCACCCAGTCAGACATGTACAGTGTCGGCGTGATCCTGCTGGAGCTCTTCCAGCCCTTCGGGACAGAGATGGAGCGGGCAGAGGTCCTGACGGGTGTGCGAGCTGGCCGCATACCCGACTCCCTCAGTAAGAGGTGCCCGGCGCAGGCCAAGTACGTCCAGCTGCTGACCAGGAGGAACGCGTCCCAGCGGCCGTCCGCCCTTCAGCTGCTGCAGAGTGAGCTCTTCCAGAACTCCGCGCATGTACGTAACCGTTTGTGATGCTGGGAAACGCGAGGCCTAAAGTACGTTCAGACCGTGCATTGCTCTGGGGGGAGTACAGTGCGTTTTAGAACACGGTTTGTGCGTACAGTGTAAACCCGTTGTCTGCGTCCCCTGCCGGCCGTGCAGTTGAGGTCGTGGTCCGCCCGCTGCCCGCTGTCCCTGGAACTTTGTGTCTGGCCTCATCGTGCAAAGCCACTGGAAAGCTTGCCTTTTCCCTTTGCACTGTGGGACAGTGCCCCCTGCAGTTGTTACAGAAACGCCTGCTAGGGAAAAGGTAACTCGGGGATTGGGAATACTGGCGCACACCCTGCCGTGGCCGGCCTGCCAGCTCTCGTGTTCACCACGCGCTGTGACGTGGCGCACACCCTGCCTGGCCAGCCTGCCAGCTCTCGCGTTCACCACGCGCTGTGACGTGGCGCACACCCTGCCGTGGCCGGCCTGCCAGCTCTCGCGTTCACCACGCGCTGTGACGTGGCGCACACCCTGCGGTGGCCGGCCTGCCAGCTCTCGCGTTCACCACGCGCTGTGACGTGGCGCACACCCTGCGGTGGCCGGCCTGCCAGCTCTCGTGTTCACCACGCGCTGTGACGTGGCGCACACCCTGCCGTGGCCGGCCTGCCAGCTCTCGCGTTCACCACGCGCTGTGACGTGGCGCACACCCTGCCTGGCCAGCCTGCCAGCTCTCGCGTTCACCACGCGCTGTGACGTGGTGCTGCCCAGGGCTGCCCTGGCACTTCCTCCTTCCTGTCCCCTTGCTGAGTACCAGGTATGGTTCTCATTCTGCATATACGAGAAACAGCCGATGACCCACCCATTCTAGTCCCCTGGAAACTTCCGGGGTTGATTAAAGCTTCGTTCAAAGAGGTCACAGGTCCTGTGGTGCTTGCTACTCCAGGTCTGCTCTGCAGGCCAGCCGTGTCGGCGATACCATTACCTGGACTCTGCCCACACCTGAGCCCGCACCTGCGTGTTTAGGGTTCTCGAGTGATGGACACATGGTGCTGGAGCAGCAGAACCTGCTGCCGTGTTCCCCAGTGTCTCCAGATCAGCCGGCCTACGACCACCGGGCACCTGATGGGTGGGCTCCTCAGGCTGTCAGGAGGAGAGGGGACCACAGCCTGTGATTTTGGGAACTGTGTGGTGACTCTACCCCGCTGCGCCCCAGCGCCAGCCCCCCGTGTAGGAACTCTCGAAGGGAGTCAGCAGAGCTGGTGCGTCTTCTGTTTAAAGCTCACTGATCTTCAAGTGAAACAGTGAGTTTTATTATTAGCCTGAGTGGTAAAAGGTATAGTTTTCTCTTTTGCAAAATGTTTGAAAATTATAGATGTGGTTCTTAAAGTCAAGCATCTATGTCGTCCTCATCAACCCGTAAGACAGCTGGTCAGGACCATGCTTACTTACGTTTGTATCAGGGACCTTTCCCGTCTTGCACAGTTTTGCTCTAAGAGTGACCCCCGTGATGCCAGCACTGGATGCCGTATCGGAGTGCTGGGTGGAGTCCTGGCTGCAGTTAGAAGATAGCCCAAGTGCTTGGGTCCCTGCCACCCATGTGGATGAAATTCCTGGCTCCTGGCTTGGGCTTGGATGAGGCCTGGCTGTTGTGGCCATTTTGGGAGTGAACCAGCAGACTGAAGATCTCTGTCACTCTGTCTTTCAAATAAGTAAATCTTTTTTTTTTTTTAGTAATCCACCCTACACATAGCCATATAATAATTTTTAAAAATGATTTATTCATTTATTTGAAAGGCAGAGTTACAGAGAGGCAGAGAGATAGAAAGGTCTTTCATCTGCTGGTTCACTCCTCAAGTGGCCACAGTGGATGGAGCTGGGCCGATCTGAAGCCAGGAGCTTCTTTCAGGTCTCAGACGCGGGTGCAGGGGCCCAAGGACTTGGGGGTCATCTTCTACTGCTTTCCCAGACTACAGCAGAGAGCTGGGTTGGAAGTAGAGCAGCCAAGACTCAAATCAGCGCTCATATGGGATGCTGGCGCTGTGGGTGGTGGCTTTACCTGCTTAGCCACAGCGTCGGCCCCTAGTAATTGCTTTAATGTGCAGAGAATTTGCTTTGCATGGTAGTGTGGGGCCGTAAAATGGAAAGGCATCTCAGTGGTCAGTGGGAGAGTCATGGTTGTTCTTGGACCTTTGGAATTTGTCAGAGGGGCAGGCATTTTGCTCATTGCTTAATGTGCCAGTTACAACTCCTACATCTTAGTGTCTGTCTCTTGTTTTCTAAGATTGATTTGAAAAGCAGGGTGACAAAGACCATCCACTGGTTCACTCCCCAAATGGCCACAAAGCCAGGAGCCTGGCACTCCTCTCTGGGTCTCCCATGTGGGTGCTAGGGGCCCAAGTAGTTGGGCCATGTTCCATTGCTTTCCCAGGTGCATTAGAGAGCTGAATTGGAAGTGGAGCAGCCAGGACTGAAACCGCTGCATCAGTATGGGATGCCGGCCCACAGAGTGCTTGGGTTTGATTCCCGGCTCTGGCTTCCTGCTGTAGCTTCCTGCTAACGTAGACCTTGGAAGGCAGCAGGCTGAAGCCGCTGGGTGACTGCCACCTACTGGGAGATCTGGATTGAGTTTTAGGCTCCTGACTTCCACCTGACTCAGCCTGGGGAATGAACCAGTGGGTGGGATTGAACTCTGTGTCTGTTTTATCTCTACCTCGCAAATCAAGATGCTGTCATAACAAAGTTCTTGTCAGCAGTGGACGTGGAAATGAGAAAGCTGTACAGCTGATGTTGATCTAGTGTGCTGGGACGCAGGATGCTGGAGACACTGAGGATCCGGCACTGCCCCTTCATCGAGTGTCACGTGACACCAGCCGTCTCACGTGCTTGGGCCAGGCGTCACACCCCTCCCCACGTGTGGACTGGCTTCCGGCGTCTGAGGGTTGTGAAACATCGCAGAGGTTTTTCAGTGACAAGTGTTTTTGTGTGTGTGTGTGTGTGTGTGTGTTTTTGCTGGTACCACTCTCCAGGACAGCTTCATTCCCGCTGCCATTCCCGTTGCTGATGCTCAGCCCCTGTGGCAGCACGCCTCCCCCATCTCCTCCTTTAGGTCTGGTTTCAGTTTGCTTCCAGCATTGTCACTTTTGGTTGTTTTTGCTGCACTTCTGTCCTCCTTGGCCAGTTCCCTTTGGGTTCCTCACTGGAAGACAAGGCAGCATGACCACGTGCACAGCGACCAGTCGCTGAGCCTTTGATGTGGTGTCATTGGGCCCTGATGGAGAGGTGCACTGATCAGTTTGGGAACTGAAGAGCTTAACCCAACTGCAGTGAATCCATCGCGGGCTGTCCTTGAACCAGGCCATTGGGCGACGACGTGATACGTAACTCGGTGGAGGTGACTGGGGGCTTACGCGCACTGGAACCGTGCAAAGTGAGGACGGCCTGGATTTTTCCAAGGGAAGTGGCTGTTTTGATGAGGCTTAACATTTTCTCTTTATAGGTTAACCTCACCCTACAGATGAAGATAATAGAGCAGGAAAGAGAAATCGAGGAACTCAAGAAGCAGCTGAGCCTCCTCTCCCAGGCCCGAGGGGTGAGGAGTGACAGGCGAGACGGAGAGCTCCCTGCCTAGCCGTCACTCGGCCACGTCACAGGGGAACGTGGACTTGCACTTGCAGCAGTCAACTGGAATGGACAATTTCAAGCCTCCTGAGGTTCAGGCGGCATAATCCTCACTTGGAATCACTCAGCCCGCATGACTCTCCCCTCATGCTGCTCTTCCCGGAGGTACCTCCTGGTGACCTCCTGGTGACTGCTCCCAATTAAACTTACGCTTTTCCCTTTCCTATTCCGCAAGTCCCATTCCTGAGCCTCCTACCTAAGCATTAACTAAATCTTAGGTATCGGTCTCCATTCTTTCTCCTTTGAATCCTGGGCCCTGGCCACCTCGCTCCTTTAGAAGCACACTCACTGCCCCGCCACCACCCAAGGCCAGGCCTGCACCCTGGCGCAACAGCTGCCAGTCTTAGTCCTTAGCTGCTGCTGCTGTTGCCAGAGACACCTGCTCCGTTCACTCCCTCCAGGGTGGAAGCTCAGCCTGTGAGCAGCGCCTCTGCTCTCCCCGGCTGCAGCCCAGCGCCACTCGGGCAGGCTTCACACGCTCACCCCAGGTGGCCTCGGAACAGCTGCGACAGCATCTCCCCGCACCCTTCTGCCTTCTCAGCACTTGGCTCTCCAGCCAGCCTCTCCACTCACTCGTTTTTGTTTCCCGGAGCTGTCTGCCACATAGTTGGCAGTCTTCATGGGACTACTGTACGTGATTCTGCTGAATTTTAAATAAATAAACCCTGCAAATCACTTGATGCTTTGTTACTTGGCAACTGGCATAAATAAAACAACAGGTTCTAGTTCAATCAAGTCCCTTTATTGATAACAGGCGTGAAACACCACCATTCTCAGAATGTAAACCATCGTTGAAACTGGTCAGGGAGGTTCACTTCAGGAGCTTGAGGGCCGTGCTGAAAGGGGCCAGGTTGTCACAGGAGCTCATCCACCTCTGCACGTTGGCCGGCGCCGCGCTGCAGCCTCCACTCTGCCGGAGCACGGCCCACAGCACCACGTCCGCCACGCTGAGTTCGCTCCCCACGAGCCACGGGCTCTTCCCCAGAGCAGAGTTCATGGCCCGGAACACAGCCGCCTTCTCCTTACTGCTTCCCTCTTTGAGCTGGAAAGTGGCGATGTCCACCCAGCTGTCTATGAGGGTTAGGTTGACAGCATCGTGCTTCTGGCCAAACAGGGAGAACAGGAAGCGTGCGATGTTCCCTTCTCCTTCGATGGGGCACATCGTCTGCACGCTGAACTTCATCTGAGTCTTCGGCACTGGAAAGAAAAACACACGCATGCGGTGCCGTCAGCCAGACCGGCAGCCCGGGGAAGGACCTGCCTGGTGCGGGCAGAGGAAGTCACTAATAGAACTGGTGACAAGGCAAAGTATTTTGGGAGGGTGTCACACTTTTCATGTCTCCCCAAACATTCAAGAGGTTTTAAATATTAACCGTAAGCCAAAAAAGTAACCCAAGCAGCCCCTTCCGGCTCCTGATGTATTTTCAAGCCACAGAGGACCTCAGTAGACACCTGCCCCAACCCCTGTTGCTGCAGGAGCTGGGAAGGGGCACTGGAGACCAGGAGTCCCACCTCCCAGGCTGGGGACTCCGCCCTAGTGCCTGCTCTCCTTACGTGGCACCGGGGGCAGGAAGCTATCACTGGATGGACATTAGCTCACTGCCCAGGAGAGGCCTGTGCCAGTGGGAGAATGAGTGAGTGAAATCCCATCATCCTTCGAGGGCCCTATGAAAGGTAACCTCAGGTCCCTGTCATGTAGGTTTTAGAATGTGAGGCCGCATGCCTGGGGCAGCTGCTGCGCCCCTGCTCTGCCAGCGTGGACAGGACTTCATCGCACCAAAGCAGAACCCCCCAGAACTGCACCCAAACCACCATGCATGTCTTGTCATGGACACACAAGGGTTCTTCAGAAAGCCCATGGAGAAATGGATTAGAAGGTGAGTCGGCAGTGTGCGTTTGGCACAGTGGCTCAAGTTGCCACGGGGGATGCCTGTGTCCCACATGGGTGTGCCTGGTTGGAGTCCTGGCTACTCTACTTCCAATCCAGCTTCCTGCTGATGTGCACCGTGGGATCCAGCAGGTGACGGCTCACGGAGTTAAGTTCCTGCCACCCACGTGCAAGCTCCTGGCTTCCACCCGGCCAGCTGTTCTCATCTTGGGGGGGTGGGCGAACCAGCAGCAGGTGGAGGATCTCTGCCCTTCAAATCAAGTGAAAAAAGTAAAATAATTTAAAAAAATGTTAACCTTACAAAGAAGCTTTGATATGCATGCATTTTTAAAACATTTTTTTTTTTAATTTATTTAAAAGGCAGGATGACAGGTCTTCCCTCTGCCGACTTCATTCCCCTGACAGCCACAACTGGGCCTGGGCCAGGCTGATGCCAGGAGCAGGAACTCCATCTGGGTCTGCCACGTGGGTGGCAGGAACTCCGGTACTCACATGGAGCAGCTGGAACCGGAGCCGCGGCCCCTCGTGCACAGGGGTTCAGGGTGCCGTGAACTTCGGTGAGCCTGCAGGTGCTGCCCGGTTCTCCCCACTTACCATTCTTCCAGATCAAAGTGAAGCCCAGCTGGTGTTCGTGGCGGGGCTGCTTTCTGGTCTGTTCTCCAAAGCACTTGAGAAGGTTTTCAGGCACGTTTCTGACTGAAGAATGCGTGTGGACGGTGGACAGGACCTTGTAGTGGTCACAGAGCAGCCTGTGCAGCACCAGCAGGGAGAGGGGTGGCGAGGCCGGGTTTGCGTTGATCACGATGTCTTTCAGTGCCCCGTAGTCCTGGGAGAGACCAGTGTGGCAGGTAACAGACCAGGAGTGGCCTAAGAGCCCCAGCAGGGACCTGACCAAGTACTGGACTCTGGGAGAGACCAGCGCGGCAGGTAACAGACCAGGTGTGGGCTAAGAGCCCCAGCAGGGACCTGACAGTGATGGACTCTGGGAGAGACCAGCGCGGCAGGTAACAGACCAGGAGTGGCCCAAGAGCCCCAGCAGGGACCTGACAGTGATGGACTCTGGGAGAGACCAGTGCGGCAGGTAACAGACCGGGTGTGGGCTAAGAGCCCCAGCAGGGACCTGACAGTGATGGACTCTGGGAGAGACCAGTACAGCAGGTAACAGACCAGGAGTGGGCTAAGAGCCCCAGCAGGGACCTGACAGTGATGGACTCTGGGAGAGACCAGTACAGCAGGTAACAGACCAGGTGCCGTCTAAGAGCCCCATCAGGGACCTGACCAAGTACTGGACTCTGGGGGAGACCAGCGCGGCAGGTAACGGACCAGGTGGGCCTGACTGAGTGCTTGGCTCTGAGGAAGGCACTAACTCGATCCCCACCTCAGAGCTGAGCCCACTGGATCCCAGGGAGGTGAGAAGTGAGCTCCCTAAGAACAGCTGGGAGAGGAGCTGGACAGCCCCACCCCCTCAGCCCCTCACCACCAGCACCCCACAGATTGACAGCCTCACGGCCAAATTACTCATAAGGGAGGACTGACCCTGTAATCTGTCCCCTCTACCTCTGAGGCAAAGCAAAGTTTAGGAGGAAATCACACATGGGGTACCCCAGCCAGCCACCTGGCATCATGGGTGACCACCTGACCAGATGCGGCTTCCACGCCACCTTGTGCCCGTGCAGACGCTTCAGTGCCGAGCCCCGGGAAGGGGACTCCGGCTGCACAAAGCCGGCTGAGGAGACCTGGGAGGTGCTAAGATGTGAGGTGTCGTCCCTTGTGCGCAAACTTAAAGGCCCTGTAAATGAGACTCTCTCTTCCTTCCCTTCACTATTAAGGAATGCACCTCACGCACACAATCAAGGCTGGCGCGCTTGGCTTTCCGTCCACCAGTCTGTGCCAAGAGCTCCACAGTGCCCCAGAGTGCACTGCGTTATCTGGGGATCCAAATTCACCCCGAGCACCGCGGGACCCAAGCGGCCTGCCCAGCACCCTCAGCGCTGTGCGTGTCAGACTCACCCACTCCATTCCAGCTCCCCGGGTGCCCGGGCAGGGCTCCAGCGAGCAGCTGAAGGAATACACCAACGCAGAGGTACTGAGGTTGCCAGAACGGAGCCCTGGGTCAGAGACGTCCCACACTGCTCCCACTTACGTAGACCCCTCTGATGGCCAACTCCCGAGGAGCGACCAGGGCGGCTTCCAGGGGTCAACCCTCTGCATCGTTACACAGACAGCGCTTTGTAACACATTCTATCTTTGCCTATCAGACTGCTGCCCAAGTTGGCTCAACCAGTGAGCTACTGTCATAAAGGCTGGCTGATGCAACCGGCTTTTACGATAATGAATTCAAGCAGAAGTCTGAAATACGAGACTGGCTGGCTTTCAGCAGTGCGCTTCAAAAGGAAAGGCACTGGGGTTTGTGTGCCTGGCCGGCCAAGGCTCTGAGAGCCAAGGCTCTGGGGGCCCCGTGACTGGAAGAGGCGGGGCTGCCAGGGAGAAGGTGGCTCGGAGGCCGACTCCCTCCCCTGCCCACGGAGGTGGGATGGGGTGGGATCCTCCCTGCTCTAGTCCGTGTGGTCTGAGAAGTCAAGGAGGGGTTGCAGAGTGTGCTGGGGCTTCACCCACCTCAGGAACCTGCTGTGTGCAAGGCACAGTCACTTAAGAGAAAGCATGTTCCCTGCTCCCCCCTGGGCACTAGAAAACCGCGGCTTTCATCATGGGCGTGCCGGGCACGGATGACCACCCAGCACACACGGATGCTCCCCGGCTTCCCAAGGGCACTGACCTTTCCCAGCACCGAGTTCAGGTCCAGCGCGGTGGCCGTCAGAGCCGTGGGCTCGTCGGCCTGGATGATGTTGGTCACGTCCAGGTCCGCGTCCGGTGTCTGGATGAGCTTGGAGAGGCCGTCGACCGCGGCTTTCAGCTCGTACAAACGCTGTAAGATATCGTCCTGGCGCGACTCCAGGGCTCGCAGGGAAGGGTCAGACTCCTCCTGCGGACGAGACAGGCCCCAGCCTTAAGAGAGCAGCATCAGCGCCCAGGCGCAGCAGGTCCCTGTGGGCTGACCCGCGTGTGCTGTAGAGCAGGTGGGAAACGCGACACGGCCGCCCCGGAGCTGAGACGGCCGCCAGAGGGAGAGATCGCTGTTCTGCATTTGCAGAGAGCAGACGCAGCTGGCGGCGTGGTGGTGGGAGGAGTGCTGGGAGGTCACAGTGATCCACACACACAGGGAAGCGCGAAGTTCACGGGCCAAAGACTCCCCAGGTCATCTCCCAGGCAGCACTGGCGCTCGCCCCAGAGCCTAGGACTTCCCGACTGGCCAGACGCCTGATCTCATGAGCAGGGACCGCGGGCATCCTCTGCTCCCTGAGGCTGTGAGCGCCCAGGCCCGCTGCCCGGTGTAGCCTCTGAGGCGCAGAGAGAGCCCGCAGTGCTTGCCCAGGAGCCGCCTCCAGCTCCACACTCTCGAACGCAGGAACGAGAAGGCTGGTGCCGTGGAGAAGCCTGGCATCCCGTATGGGCACCGGCTGGGCTCCCTGCTGATGCACCTGGGAAAGCAGCAGAAGATGGCCCAAGTCCTTGGGCCCTGCACCCACGTGGGAGACCTGGAAGAAGCTCCCGGTTTCAGATTGGCGCAGCTCTCACTGGGGGAGTGAACCAGCGGATGGAAAACCTCTCTGTCTCTCCTTCTCTCTCTGTGTAACTCTTTCAAATAAATAAATAAATCTTTTTTTTTTTTTTAAAGTCTACAGAGTGTGGCAGTGACCCTGAGTTTATTACAGAGGTACTCGTGATACGGCAGGGTGCCGGCACACCTGCTCCTGTCCGTGCGTGGGCGAGTCTGGTATTCCCAGACCTGGCCCCTCCTGAGGCACTGGGGACACCTCCACTGCCCCCGCCCAGGGCTGGACCATTCCCCCCTGGCCTCTTTCCTAGCCGGTCACCTCACACCCTCTCCAGTCCACTTGAATCTATCCCTTCAGATGCCAGCCAGAGACATTTAAAAACAAACAAAAACCCAAACCAACTTGGACCTTGCCAGCACCCCCCCCCTTCTAACTGCCTAGACTCTTGGGTGAAAAGTGAAATCTGGGGGCGGCAGTTGTGGTGCAGCAGGTTGAGCCACAGCTTGGGACGCTGTATCCTGGACTGGAGTGCCTGGTTCAAGTCCTGGCTACTTCTCCTCTCATCCAGCTTCCTGCTAACGTGCCTGGAAGCCAGATGGTCACGGCTCTAGCACTTGAGTCCCTGCCGCCCACGTGGGAGATCCAGTTGGAGGTCCTGGCTCCTGGCCCAGCCCTGGTAGTCGTAGGCATTTGGGGAGTGAACCAGCAGAGGGAAGATCTTTTTTTCTCTCTTTTCCTCACTCTGCCTTTCAAATAAGTAAATAAAAAAAATTTTTTTTAAATGTTAAACCTTGGGCTGGCATTGTGACACAGTGGGTTAGGCCAGTGCCTGCGATGCCAGTATCCCATATGGGTACTGGTTCGAGTTCCGGCTGCTCCACTTCTGATCCATCTCTCTACTAATGTGCCTGGGAAAGCAGCAGAAAATGGCCCAAAAAGTGCTTGGGTCTTTGCATCTGTTTGGAGACCTGGATGAAGTTCCTGGCTTCGACCTGGTCCAGTCCAGCCACTGCAGCCAGAGTTAGAGAGAAGATTCTCTCTCTAACTGGGTGGAATGAAGGAGAGTTCTGGCCTCCCAGTAAGTGACTGGCGCTGCCTGGAAGTCCACATGTGCACATCCCTGTGTTCAGAGTTACACACAGAGAGGAGAGAGAGGGCTTCCATCTGCTGGTTCACTCGCCAACTGGCTGCGACGGCCGGAGCTGTGTCGATCTGAAGCCAGGAGCTTCTTCCAGGTCTCCCATGTGGGTGCAGGGGCCCAAAGACTTGGTCCATCTTCTTCTCTCTCTTTTTTTTTTAAGATTTTATTTACTTATTTGAGAGGTAGAGTTACAGCCAGAGGGAGAGACAGAGAGATAGGTCTTCCCTCCGTTGGTTCACTCCCCAAACGGCCGCAACAGCCGGCACTGCGCCCATCCAAAGCCAGGAGCCAGGTGCTTCTTCCCGGTCTCCCATGTGGGTGCAGGGGCCCAAGGACTTGGGCCTTCTACTGCTTTCCCAGGACACAGCAGAGAGCTGGATTGGAAGAGGATCAGCCAGGACTAGAACTAGTGCCCATATGGGATGCCAGCACTGTAGGCAGAGGATTAACCTACCGTACCATGGCGCCGGCTGGGCCATCTTCTGCTTTCCCAGGCCATAGCAGAGAGCTGGATCAGAAGTGAAGTAGCCGGGATTCAACTGGAACCTGTATGGGATGCCAGCACTACAGGCAGCAGCTTTACCTGCTATGCCACAGTGCTGGCCCCAAGGTTTATTTATTTTTAAAGATTTATTTGAAAGGCAGTTACAGAGAGGCAGAGAAAAAGGTCTTCTCTCTGCTGGTTCACTCCCCAAATGGTCACAATAGCTGGAGCTGGGCTGATCCAAAGCCAGGAGACCTCCCACTTGGAGGCAGGGGCCTGAGGACTTGAGCCATCTTCTGCTGCTCTCCCAGGCACGTTAGCAGGGAGATGGACCGGAAGGGGAGCAGCTGGGACTCCCACCAGCACCCATATGGGATGCTGGCACTGCAGGTGGTGGCTTTACCTGCTACACCACAGCTCCGGCCCCTGAAGATTTATTTGTTAATCTAAACGGCAGAGTGACAGAGAAAGGGAGAGAGAGAGAGAGCATCTGTCTGTTGGTTCTCTCCCCAAAACCCCCAGGAGCCAGGACTGGGCCAGGCTGAAGCCAGGAGCCTCTCAGGAGCGTGACCAGAAGTGCAGTGTACCTGGGACCGACACTGGCCCCGTGGGATGGGCCTGCCCCGGCTCCTGCCCTCCCTGTGCGCTTTCCATGCCCTCGCCTGTCTTGGAGCTGCCCGATTTCTCCTCTGTCCACGTGGTGGTCACTCGCTGGAGGAGGGAGGCCGTGTATCTTCTCAGACAAGTTCACAGATCAAAGCCCAGAGTTAAAACAAAAGCTTGGCCTTGAATGGGCTGTGTTGCTTTAGGTTCCGTGGGGCTGTGCCGTGTCCACCCGTGTCCACGGCGGTCGGTCAGCAGCCCCAGGAGCCGCTGAACCACACATCTGCTGTTTCTCCTCGCTCTGTGCCCAGACGGCCGCTATCGACCAACTGCACCGTCTCCCCCCACAACCCAGGCAGAAAATCAGGAAAACCAAGTGAAAGATGACACGGCGCGGGGCGGGGGGGGGGGGGACAGGCCACCCCAATCCATCTGGTCCCTTGTCCAGCCTCGGAACGGGCTGACCGACCTCCTGCGGGGACCCCGGGACGCCTAGCTGCAGCCCACAATCCAGAAGCCTGCAAGGTGCACGCTGAGGCGACGTCAGACGCCCCAGCTTCGCCGAGGGTGCAGACCAGAGCGATTCTAACACGCGTGCTGCCTGCCGAGACCCCGAACCCGCAGAACCACTGTGGAAAACGAACTGACCCAGCACAGAGGGGGGCCAGCGGCATCCCGCAGCCTGAGCACGTGGACGCCCCCGGGGTCCCCGAGCGGCAGCAGCAGGGGGAGCGGGCCACCGCCAACCTGGCCAGCAGAGCGACTGCCCGCGGCTGCGGGTGGGGGACACTGGGCTCCAACCCAGCCCTCCATTCGGGGTGCACACTGGGTTGCCGAGACAGAGCACCAGGGCACAGCTAAGGCATGGACGCAGCTCTGGCAGCTCAGGAGGTCAGCGTGGGCAGATGTGGGGTGGGGACCCCAGGCCTCGGTGGCCGCGGCGCCTGCGCATGGGCGGGGTGGGGGGATGGGCACTGCCCGGCCGCGGCGCCTGCGCACTGCGCGTGCCCCCCCCCCCGCTCCGGCACACTCCTACCTGCACGTGGCCCACGTCCGGCGCGGGGCCGCCGCCGCCGCCGGTCCTGCCGTGCACGTTAGGGAGCCGGTACATGCAGGTGGGCAGCTCCACGCGGAGAGGTGCGCCGCCCCCGTGGTAGGGCTTTACCTGGTACATCGGCATCGCGAGAACCAAAAGGAGGGAAGGTTGGCGGCAGGGGAGGAACACGATCGCTCCGACACCCAGTCCGAGGCCGCGACACACTGCGGCCACCGCCCAGCTGACCCCGTAGCCGGCGTTCGAGGGAAAGGAAAAAAAAAAGCAGTCCGCGCCCTCTAATTGGCCTGGGTTGTGGTCACGTCACGGACCCGACCTTTGACTCAGCCAATCCGCGAGGAAGGGATGTGGGAAGCGGTCGCTGCCCCGCCCGGAAGGGGCGGGACTCAGTGTCAAGCGCGGCCAATGGGCGGCCGGGACGCGGGGTTCCCTGGGGGCCTTGCGGGACGGGCGCTCGCGCTGTCGCCTTCCGCGGTCATGGAGCCGGCCGGAGGCTCGGGGTGAGTGCGGGCTGCGGTCTCCGCCTCGCGGGCGCCTCCTCTGTGGACCGCGGCGTTCCGGCGCCCGGGAGAGGAGGCGGCAGTGACTGAGGCGCGCGCGTGGCGAGCCGGTGGCGCGGAGACTCCGAGTTAATTCCCTTTTCTCTGCGCGTTCTCTCTCTCTCTCTCTCTCTCTCTCTCTCTCTCTCTCTCTCAGAACTGAGATTCGTTTGGAGGGGGGCGAGCCTCCAGGCACCCCGCACGCCGTCCACGGCCGCGGCGCTGCTTTGTTTTGTGGCGCGTGTCTGTTTCGCGTGCGATTTCTGGCTGGTCAGCCGCAGCCACGCCAGGGGTCATGAGGCGCCGCATCCGGCGTCAGACCCGTCCGTCTCCCCGCACCCCAGCCTCACACCCCGGCAGCTCCCCCACCCGCAGCCTCACACCCCGGCAGCTCCCCCCCCCCCGCAGCCTCACACCCCGGCAGCTCCCCCCCCCGCAGCCTCACACCCCGGCAGCCCCCCCCCCGCAGCCTCACACCCCGGCAGCCCCCCCCACAGCCTCACACCCCGACAGCCCCCCCCCCGCAGCCTCACACCCCGGCAGCTCCCCCCCCCGCAGCCTCACACCCCGGCAGCTCCCCCCCCCAGCCTCACACCCCGGCAGCTCCCCCCCCCAGCCTCACACCCCGGCAGCTCCCCCTCCCCGAGACGCTCGCCCCTCGCCCCTCGCGGGCCCGGGGCCAGAGGCGCCGCTCCCCCCCCCCCCCCCCCGCAAGATCGCCTTGCCGGGTCAGGACGGAGAGTCGGGAGGCTGGGGGCCGCCGTGTGTTAGGTGCTGGGGACGCACCTGGAGATTTCTCCCCGTGGGATCCAGGCCGCTTGTCGGCCAAGCTGGGCACTAGCCATTCCTGAAGGCAGGAGCTGGAGCAGTGCGGGCCGTCCAGGGGCCTGCCCACCCACTGGGGTCTCTCTGGGTGGGTGAACCAAGGCGGCAGGCAGGTCAGAGCCCACCGAGGCTGGTACTGCGGTGCTGGTCAGCTTTTATTTTTCATAATTTTTTTTTTTTTTTTGAAAAGCAGAAGCAGGGAGAGAGAGAGAGAGGTCTTCCATCTGCTGCTTCACTCCCCAAATGGCTGGAACAGCCGGAGCTGAGCTGATCCAAAGCCAGGAGCCAAGAGCTGGTTCCGGGTCTCCCATGCCGATGCAGGGGCCCAAGGACTTGGGCCATCTTCTACTGCTTTGCCAGGCCACAGCAGAGAGCTGGATCGGAAGTGGAGCAGCCAGGACTCGAACTGGCGCCCATATGGAATGCTGGCACTGCAGGCGGCGGCTTTACCCACAGCACCGGCCCCTGGTCAGCCTTCCAGCAGAAAGATGATTTGGCCGGGTCCGTGATATTGGAAATACCTGGTGGCAGGGCGGAAGCTGGGTGGGCGTGGGGGGAGAATGGAGCAAAGCTGGGGCCTCCGGGGACGCTGCTGCGCCAGGGGGCTTCCCGGTGAGTGGCACTAGCAGGGCCTCGGTGGTTCCGGTGGTACGCGGCTTCTGGGACGGTTCTGGGGATGCGCGCTGTGTTCCCCACTCACACTCTTGTTTTTCCAACTCGCGAGTTGCTTCAGGAGAAGAGGATCTCAGGGTCGCGGCATACAGTGTGCCGCTCTCCCATGTAGATTCATGCGTTGTTGAACTTGGATGTCTACTGCATTGGCAGCGTCTGTTCAGAGGTGTTTTTGACAGGGTTGGTAAAGGATTATATTATGCGTATGTAGTGCACAGGCATGTTCCCATAATAAACGGACAGGTTGGACCCCTGTTAACAGACGAATCGCGTCCCGGGCCTGGCTGCGGGTGAAAACGCGTAACCGAGTGCTTGTGGCTGGTCTCTGCAGCACAGACCCCGCCAAGGCCATCAGGCCCATTGATCGGAAGTCAGTCCATCAGATTTGTTCCGGGCAGGTGGTCCTGAGCCTTAGCACCGCGGTGAAGGAGTTGGTAGAAAACAGCGTGGACGCTGGTGCCACGAACATCGGTAAGTGTCGGAGTTTTAAGCCGCAAGAAATAGTTGATGCGATTTTATTCAAGAAACCTTTGTCACTGCAGTAGAACCATCCGTGGTGTACCAGTAAATTATTACTTTAAAGTTAGCACCTGTTATGTGCCAGGGTCTTAGGTAGTAATAGTAATAGTAGCAGTTCATTTAAAAAATTTTTTTTATTATTATTTTCATTTTTTATGTGAAAGGCAGGGAGACACAGAGATCTTCAACTGCTGGTTCCCTCCCTACATGCCTGCAACAGCCAGGGCTGGGCCAGGCCAAAGCCAGGAGCCTGGCACTCCATCTGGGGTCTCCCAAGTGGGTGGCGAGGACCCAGGTACTTGAGCCATCGTTTGCTGCTTCCTTGGTGGACATCAGCAGGACGCTGGTTTGGAAGCAGAGTAGCCAGGACTCCAGCTGGGTCCACGGACGTGGGGTGTGGGAGCCCCCAGCAGCCACTTAACCACAGGGAGAAACGGCCCCCAGCAGTTCACTTTCCTTGTGTTCTTACTGTGCCAAGTAGGTGTTGTGCCAGGGTTTGCACGTGGCCTCTCTCATTCTCTCTGCAGAGTAACTTTGTGAGATGGGAACTGTTATCTTCACTGTACAAATGGAATTAAGACACAAGGGATTTTTTTTTTCCGAGGTTATCAATCTAGTAAGATAAGATCCGGGAAGCTGATGCTGTTAAAATTATTCCTTTCAGAAGATGAATTAAAAATAACCTCTTTAACCTGGACTAGCTAGAAAGCCAAAAAGTACTTTGAGAAATGAGCTATGCACAGGGACAACAGGACGTGTAAAGAAAAGTGCCGTCGTGGACTGTCGTTCACGTTACACCTGACAGGTGACGTCGCTATAGAAGCTTTCCTGCTTGGTCAGCCTCTGAGAGGTAAACGTGTTGAACTCTTTAGATCTAAGACTGAAAGACTACGGGGTGGACCTCATTGAAGTTTCAGACAACGGATGTGGGGTGGAAGAAGGAAACTTCGAAGGCTTAAGTAAGTGAACCGTTTCTAACGCTAGCGGGTCCGGACGTCCCTGGGCCAGGTGTCCCGGGATCTTGGGTCACTGTCTTGGACACAAGCGCAGTGTGTAAAAGCCGGTGCCAGACGGGCGTTGCGTGCGCCCTTCGCCGTGCCGCCTGAGACGTCTGGGCTTTCCTCTCCACTCTCTTGCAGCTCTGAAACACCATACTTCTAAGATCCAAGACTTTGCCGACCTAACCCAGGTTGCAACTTTTGGCTTTCGGGGGGAAGCTCTGAGCTCACTGTGTGCACTGAGGTGATGCAATGTTTTTATCCATTGACCCCTTGTTAAAAATGCCCGGAAATGTGCAAGTATGGTTAGAATGACTATCGTGTCTACTTTTTTTATCTGAATGCATCAACTTCCAGTTTTGAGTTCTGTTTTGAGTCTTAAAATGAGAGCAAAAATAAATGAGGTAAACAATATTGTAAAAATAAATTATCACAAAAAAATCAATTATCACCCTTATTAAAGCAGCAGTTTCTTAGTTTTAAAGTAACAGATAAGCCATTACGGGGACTATTGGTCTTGATTTATTTTCAATTTTTAGGAAAAGCTTAACCAGTGAACTTATTTATAGTACAGATTCTGAATTTTTGTGCGGGTATGTTTGAGTTACAGCATCTTTTGGATCACTTCTAAAAGTTTTGTTAGAACAATAGAAACAAAACCAAGGTATCTTTATTTTGCATAATTTAATTTTGAGGTCTTTTACTGCTTTACAGTTCGACCTAAAAAAGGAAATCAAAGTTTTTATCAAAGCGTGTACAGTACCGTCTGCCTTTAAGTTTCCCCCTTAGGTTTTGCGATGTCTTCTCGCCCATTTGAACCCTCTTGATTGTGTCAGAGGCGCCCTCTGCTTTTTCGGAGAGCTGGGAGACAGGAGGATGGGGACGGTGATTGGCGCTCAGTGCTTGTGCCTAACTGAGCGCGCCGTGCCTGGCGTTCTCTCGCAGTGACGTGACCATCTCCACCTGCCACTCGTCTGCCAAGGTCGGCACCCGGCTGGTGTTTGATCACAGCGGGAAAATCCTCCAGAAAACACCCTGCCCGCGCCCCAGAGGGACCACGGTCAGCGTGCAGCAGTTGTTTTACCCGCTGCCTGTGCGCCACAAGGAGTTCCAGAGGAACATCAAGAAGGTGCGGTGAGCTCTCGCCGGTTTTGGGGTGTTGATCACGTCGGGTGCGAGGGCGAGGTTTCCCGAAGACACTTACTGTCGGTTGATTCCTTCCTTAAGTGTCTGCAAAGCTCTTCGCGGCTTCTCTTCAGAGGCTTAACCCTTTTCCTGAAAAGGATCAGCACATGGTGGTTAGACATTCTGCCGTGGGAAGTGGGTCCTGTCATGAGTAACAGTTTTAAATTTTGTCTTTTTTTAAAGAATTTTTGGAAAAACATGTTTATCTGAGGGGCAGAAAGACAGCTTCCGTCTCCCTCGTGGAGGGCAGGGGTGTTGCCCACTACCTCCCAGGGTACACACCAGCAGGAAGCTGGATCGGAAGAGGAGCAGCCGGGACTCAAACGGGCACCCATATAGGATACCGGTGCTGCAGGCTGGGGCTTTAACCTGCTGTGCCACAGCGCTGGCTCCTGTGTTTTGTGTTTGTGTATGTTTCTCATACATGGACATTTACTTTTCAGAATCCAAGAAGTTACTTAAACAAACACAACTAAAAACTTTCTTTACTTGTAAAGCAATTTATGTTAATTTTAACTATCAAGTTTATAAAAATGAAGAAAATGTCTATTTTTACTTTTTATTGTAAAAACTAGCCTCACAAAAATATAGGTATGAAGAGCTTGCATTGTCAGAGATGACTGTTATTAGCAGTTAATTTCGTGTGTTTGTAAGTATTGGGACATTTTTCAAGATAAACAAATCAGTATAATGAAAGCGAATAGTGTTGTGTGCAAAAATCATCTGTAGCTGGGTGAGGTTGAAAGTTGAAATTGTCTACACTACCCCCAGAGTCTGGTTTCTGTTCTTTTACTATCTTTTTATTTATTTATTTTTATTTTTAAAGATATTTATTTGAAAAGCAGAGCTACAGAGAGAGAGAGAGGTCTTCCATCTACTGGTTCACTCCTCAAATGGCCGCAATGGCCGAGGCTGGGCCAGGCCAGAGCCAGCAGCTTCTTGTGTTTCTCCCACATGGGTGCTGGGGCTCAAGGACATGGGCCGTCTTCCACTGCTCTCCCAGGCACCTCTGCAGGGACCTGAATTGTAAGCAGAGCAGCTGGGCATGAGCTGGTGTCCACATGGGATGCCTGTGTTGCAGTGAGCGGCTTGACCCACTGCACCACACGCTGGCCCCATGTTTTGTTTTGTTTTCTTTCTTTCCCTTGTTTTTTTTTTTTTTTTTTAAGATTTGTTTATTTGAAAGATGAATTACCGAGGGAGGGAGAGAGAGGGAGAGATCTTCCATCCACTGGTTCACTCCCCAAATGGCTGCAACAGCTGGAGCTGAGCCAATGTGAAGCCAGGGGCTTCTGGGTCTCCCACATGAATGCAGGGGCCCAAGTACTTGGGCCATCCTCTGTTGCTTTCCCAGGCACATTAGCAGGGAGCTGGATCGGAAGTGGAGCAGCCAGTACACAAACAGGCGCCCATGTGAGATGCTGGCACTGCAGGTTGAGGCTTTAACCCACTGCATCATAGCGCCAGCCCTTACTTTCAGTGTGTAGGAAGGAACTTCAAAAAGTTAGTGGAAAAATGGCATTGGAAGATAAGTTTAAAATTAAAAGAATTGAGTGGCACAGTGGGTTAACACTCTGGCCTGAAGCGCCGGCATCCCATATGGGCGCTGGTTCTAGTCCCGGCTGCTCCTCTTCTGATCCAGCTCTCTGCTATGGCCTGGGAAAGCGATAGAAGATGGCCCAAGTCCTTGGGCCCCTGCACCCACGTGGGAGACCTGGAAGAAGCTCCTGGCTCCTGGCTCCTGGCTTCTGGCTTCAGATTAGTGCAGCTCTGGCCTTTGCGACCAATTAGGGAGTGAACCATCGGATGGAAGACCTCTCTCTCTCTGCCTCTCCTCTCTCTGTGTAACTCTGACTTTCAAATAAATATATCTTTAAAAAAATTAAAAGAATCAATTTTACTTATATGAAAGGCAGAGACAGACAGGGTTCATTTCCTGGAAGCTTGCAATGGTAGGGACCTGGGCCAGGCTGAAGCTAGGAGCCAAAACTCAGTAATCCAGGTCTCCTCTGTGGGTGGCAGGGACCCAACTAGTTGAACCATCACCTGATGCCTCCCATGGTCTGGATTAGCAGGAAGCTGGAACCAGGAACAGAGTCCTGCTTCAAAGCCGGGCACCCTGATAAGGGACAGGGTGTACTAACTCTATCCCAAATGCCTGCCCTTAGAAGTTTGTTTTGCTACAGAAGGATTTTGAATTCAAATACATGTTTTTTTTTGTTTTTTTGTTTTTTTTTTTAGATTTACCTATTTATTTTTGTTTGAAAGGCAGAGTGTCAGAGATAGAAACAGAGAGAGAGAGAGCAATCGATCGATCGATCTGCTGTCTGCTGGCTCACTCCCAAAATGGTGACAACACCAGGGCTGGCCAGGCTGAAGCAAGGCGCCAAGATCTCCATCCAGCTTTCCCAAGTGGGTGGCAGGTACTCAGATACTTGAGCCTTCATCTACTCCCTCTCGGACACATGAGCAGGAAGCTGGAATTGGGAATGGAACCGGGACTCAAACTCAGGTACTCTGACCTGGAAGTAGGTGTCATCAGGAGTGGCTTGACCTGCATCTCAACACCCACTTCAGTTTCTTCATAAAACACATTTTCTGTGAACTTTTTGAAGACTCTGTTTCAAAATATTTGAAAAATATTTTGCATCATTAATTCTATTTTCCACAAACATTTTGAAATATCCACATAATGTATTTCTGCAATTTTTATATACGTTTAGATTTTTAAAGATAATAAAAATCATGCGTATGTTGTATAACTGACTTAGTATATTGTAACTGTCTTCTTTGGAAGTACACTATTATTTATCACTCCACCATGATGTGGATTTGCCATCCCATCATAAAGTAGCTTCTTGTTGATTTTTTTTTTTTAAGATTTATCCAACCATTTGAAAGTCAGAGTTACAGAGAGAACAAGAGAGAGAGTGAGATCTTACATCTGGTTCGCCCCCTAAACGGCCAGGGGTGGGCCAGGCCAAAGCCAGGAGCCAGGAGCCTCTTCCAGGTCTCCCCTGTGGGTGTGGGGGCCCAAGGACCTGGGCCATCTCCCACTGCTTTCCCAGGCCACAGCAGAGAGCTGGATTGCAAACAGAGCAGCCAGAACTCAAGCTTGCGCCCAGATGGGATGCTGGCACTGCAGGCGGCAATGCCTCAGGAGCCACAGTGCCACAGTGCCGGCCCCTATGTTGTTTTGGACTTTTCACAGATAAAGCTGGTTTCCGTGAGCATTGTTGTAGTACATCTTCCTAAGCTTCTGCTTCTGCCAGTCTTTTTTTTTTTTTTTTTAAGATTTATTTGAAAGGCAGAGTTACACAGAGAGAGGAGAGGCAGAGAGAGATAGAGAGAGGGAGGGAAAGGAGGTCTTCCATCTGATGGTTCACTCCCCATATGGCCGCAGCGGCTGGAGCTGTGTGGATCCAAAGCCAGCAGTCAGGAGCTTCTTCTGCTCCCACACGGGTGCAGGGGCCCAAGGACTTGGGCCATCTTCCACTGCTTTCCCAGGCCAGAGCAGAGAGCTGGATCGGAAGTGGAGCAGTCAGGACTTGAACTGATGCCCATACGGGATGCTGGCAGTGCAGGCGGTGGCTTTACCCACCATGTCACAGTGCCAGCCCCAGCCAGTCTTTCTTGAAAGATGCATTTCTAGAGGCAGAGTTATAAGAACAAAGGAATATTTTTTTAAAGACTTTATTTATTTTGAAAGACAGAGTTACTGAGAGAGAAGGAAAGACAGAGATGGAGAGGGAGAGAGAGGAGTTTTCCATCCACTGGTTCATTCCCCAAATGGCTGCAACAGCTAGACTGGGCAAGGCTGAAGCCAGGAGCCAGGGGCTTCTTCCGGATCTCCCACATGGGTTTGGGGCCCAAGAAGTTGGGCCATCCTCTGCTGCTTTCCCAGGCCACAGCAGAAAGCTGGATGAGAAGTGAAGGAGGTGGGTCTTGAACAAGCGCCTATATGGGATACAGGCTTTGCAGGCTATGGCTTAACCTGCCGCGCCACAATGTCAGCCCCTGTTTGCTTTGTACAGCAGTGGACGGTGCCAGGATCTGGCCCGGGAGAGGCCTCTCCGTAGATGGTCGTGTGGGTTCTGCTTCCCCTCATTGTGATGGGTACAGAACTGGATGTTGTAGCTTGAGCTGTGGTTAAAGTAACGTGGGAACTTATGTTTGTGTTTTCAAACAGGAGTATGCCAAAATGGTCCAGGTCTTGCATGCTTACTGTATCATTTCAACGGGCATCCGTGTGAGTTGCACCAACCAGCTCGGACAAGGCAAGCGCCAGCCTGTGGTGTGCACAAGTGGGAGCTCCAGCATAAAGGAAAACATCGGATGTGTGTTTGGGCAGAAGCAGGTAGTGATGCTGGGCTCCTCAAAGGCGTTTTCTTGCCCCATGATAGTTGCAGATCCATGGTCCTTACCGTTAGAATCCAGAGTGACGTCCTGAAGTGCCTGTCACAAAGAAGCAGTGAGAGCTGAAGGTTTGCAGTTCACCCTTGCAGAGAATGAACCGCTGCCTCCTGTGCTCCTCCCTTAGCCTCTCCTGGGCAGTGCGTGGCGCGGAAATAAGCAAGAGTGCCGGTGTGTCTCCCCTTTCCAGCGAGGAGATTCTCTGAGCTTATCCGCAGAAGCCCCGCCTGTGCTGGCCGAGGTCCGTCCGCCCTGTCTTTGTCAGGAACCTGACCGTGCGCTTTGTTCCCTCCCAGCTGCAGAGCCTCATCCCCTTTGTTCAGCTGCCCCCCAGCGACTCTGTCTGTGAAGAGTACGGTCTGAGCTGCTCGGAAGCGCTGCACAATCTCTTCTAGTAAGTTCCGTCACTGCCAGAAAACTGCTCGAACAGTTTTTCTGAGAGGATTTTTCCCCCAAAAGATAGTGATTTTTAAGCCATGTAGTTTTTTTTTTTTTTTTTAAAGATTTATTTATTTATTTATTTCAAAGGCAGAGTTACAAAGAAGCAGAGGCAGAGAGAGAGAGAGGTCTTCCCTCCGCAGGTTCACTCCCCAAATGGCTGCCATAGCCGGAGCTGGGCCGATCCGAAGCCGGGAACTGGGAGCCTCCCCTAGGTCTCCCCTGTGGGTGCAGGGGCCCAAGGAACTGGGCCAGCTTCCACCAGGTGCATTGGCAGAGAGCTAGCGGAGAAGTAGAGCAGTCGACACTATCCGGTGCTCATATGGGATGCTGGCACTGCAGACGGCGGCTTAACCTGCTGTGCCGCAATGCCGGCCCGGCTAGTTTTTTTTTTTTTTTAAACGATTTATTTGAAGGTCAGAGTTACACAGAGAGAGGAGAGGCAGAGAGAGAGAGGTCTTCCATCTGATGGTTCACTCCCCAGTTGGCCGCAACAGTCAGAGCTGCACCAATCTGAAGCCAGGAGCCAGGAGCTTCTTCCGGGTCTCCCACGCAGTTCAGGGGTCCAAGGACTTGGGCCATCTTCTACTGCTTTCCTAGGCCATAGCAGAGAGCTGGATCGGAAGTGGAGCAGCCGGGTCTCAAACCGGCGCCCATATGGGATGCTGGCACTTCAGGCCAGGGCATTAACCCACTGGGCCACAGAGCCGGCCCCCCGGCTAACGTTTACATTTTTGTGTGTGAGTTGGGCCTTGGGGTCTGGTGAAGGCAGTCCAGCGTGATTGTAGTGTAAGGAAAGCAGAGCCGAGCCGTTGCAGCCGTCTGGGGAGGAGCCGCAGGTGGAAGACTCTCCCTCTCTGTCTCTCCGTCTTCCTGTGTGTAACTCTGCTTTTCAAATAAATGAATCTTCAAAAGAAGAAGGAGAAAAGCAGATGCTCCCCGGACGGGAAGATCCCTGCTGGGAAGTGCGCACGTCCCTGGGGTGCGTGTCACCCAGGAGCAGCAGCGTTCGGACGCCTCAGTGGACGGAGTTTGCCCACTGGGTGCAGACTGCAAAGGCAGAGGGACGTGGGCCGGACCCTGACTGCCCACGGAAGGGTCTGGAGACAAATCTGTGGGGACAGCTACAAAGCTGCTGAGATTGCTTGGAGTGAGACCCACTCCTCACGTGGAGGCCCAGGGCTTCCCAGGGAAGGAGACGGGGGAGTTGAGGCAAGTGGGTTGTGAGCCCACTGCATCGCCTGGGCCGGTTTTGGAGACTGCGGGAGCTTTAGAATATTCCAGAGGCCTAGGATGCGTTTCTCTAGTGGGGCGAGCACCAGGTGTACACAGGAGTGCCTGGACACGCCACCAAGGGGTCCTGTGTTTATTTCACTTAAGCGTTTCTAATCATGTTCACTCTGGAGCCCTGCCCTCACTGAGTTAAATCTGAACAGTATTTCAGGTTTCATCTCACAGTGCACCCATGGTGTTGGAAGGAGTTCAACCGACAGACAGTTTTTCTTCATCAATCGGCGGCCTTGTGACCCAGCAAAGGTATTTACGTAGCTTAGAAGATTTAATGTGTGTGTTTTAACTGTATGCCTTTAACTTTTTGTTTTCTTTATTAATGATCTTTTTCTCGTACAAGCAATTTATGTTGAACTTGGGTCCCTTACCAAGAAACATGGCTATTTATTTATTTGAAAGGCAGAGTTAGAGAAGAGTGGGGAAGAAGACAGAGATACCTTCTATCTGCTGGTTCACTCCCCAGATGGCTGCAGCAGCTGGGGCTGAAGCCAGGATCCTGCAACTCCATTGGCTTTGCAAGTGGGTGTTAGGGCCCTAAGTACTTGAAACATCTTTTGCTGCTTTCCCAGGCCCATATGGGATGGGTATCACAGTTTGTGACTTTACCTCTGTGTGACAGCGCTGGTCCCTGCAAGAATGTTCCTTTTGTGATGCACTGGGCTAAACTGCCCTTGGCAGCAGTGACGTTTCAGGAGGGAGCACTGGTTCCAGTGCGCCTGCTCCGCTTCTGATCCAGCTCCCTGCTGATGCGCCTGGGGAGGTAGTGGATAACGCCCCAAGTGGGAGACCCAGATAGGTTATGGGCTCTGGCTTTCGCCTGCCCAAACTGTGACTGTTGTGGGAAGTGAATGAGCATATGGAAGATCTGTCTGTCTCTCTATCTCCAATAAGTAAGTAATAGAAAAAAGGATGTTATTTTAGGCACTTAAAAAGTTCTGTGCAGTTGGTTCAGTTGTGTGTTGTGTGTATACATAGTACACATGCGTGCATATATATGCGTAGATACATAAACACATGCCCATTGCCAGTCTGTTATCATGAGAGCTGTGTCTGTTTGAAGGAACTAAACACTGTAGCACATGAGCTCATCTAGCGTGTTCCTGTACACTGACCACACACAATCGATTCTGTGTTTTCTCCTCCTGCTGGTCTCTGCTTCAGACCTGAAGGCTCTGTCTGGATTTCAGGGTTGCACGGTTTTTTCTTCATAGGTTGCAGGGATTTTTAGGGGTTTGGTTGTGACTTTGCATCTTCAGCGACATTGACCTCAGTAGTATTTCTGTTTCCTGATGACACTTTAAATAAACAGTACTTGGTGTCCGCCAGATGTGGCTCAGCTTCTGATTTTTTTTTATTTTAAGATTTATTTTATTTATTTGAAAGAGAGAGTTTCAAGTTACAGGGAGAGGCAGAGACAGAGAGAGAGGTCCTCCATCTGCTGATTCACTTCCCAGATGGCTGCCACGGTCAGAGCTGCGCCAATCCGAAGCCAGGAGCCAGGAGCTTCTTCTGGGTCTCCCACGTCGGTGCAGGGGCCCAAGGACTTGGGCCATCTCCTACTGCTTTCCCAGGCCATAGCAGAGAGCTGGATCAGAAGTGGAGCAGCCAGGACTAGAACCCGGTGCCCATATGGGATGCCTGTGCTTCAGGCCAGGGCTTTAACCCACTGTGCCATAGCTCTGGCCCCAGCTTCTAAATTTTTTAACCCTGATTGTAACTAATGGGATCTTTTTTTTAAACATTTTGCATGTGAGCTTTTTTTTTTTTTTAAAGATTTATTTATTTGCTTGAAAGAGTTACACAAAGAGAGGAGAGGCAGAGAGAGAGAGAGGAGAGGCAGAGAGAGAAAAAGAGGAGAGGCAGAGAGAGAGAGAAAGAGAAGTTTTCCATCTGCTGGTTCACTCCCCAGTTGGCTGCAATGGCCGGAGCTTCGCCAATCTGAAGACAGGAGCCAGGAGCTTCTTCCAGGTCTCCCACGCCAATGCAGGGACTCAAGGACTTGGGCCATCTCCTACTGCTTTCCCAGGCCATAGCAGAGAGCTGGATTGGAAGAGGAACAGCCGGCTCTCCAACCGGCGCCCATATGGGATGCCAGCACTTCAGGCCCGGGCGTTAACCCGCTGTGCCGCAGTGCTGGCCCCATTAATGGGATCTTAATGGTTTGTTTCTAATGCCATATAATCACCTTGCTGCAAAATCATATAAATATATATTTCGGCCGGCACCGCGGCTCACTAGGCTAATCCTCCACTTGCAGCGCCAGCACACCAGGTTCTAGTCCCGGTCAGGGCGCCGGATTCTGTCCCGGTTGCCCCTCTTCCAGGCCAGCTCTCTGCTGTGGCCTGGGAGTACAGTGGAGGATGGCCCAGGTGCTTGGGCCCTGCACCCGCGTGGGAGACCAGGAGAAGCACCTGGTTCCTGGCTTCGGATCAGTGCGGTGTGCCAGCCGCAGCGGCCATTGGAAGGTGAACCAACGGCAAAGGAAGACCTTTCTCTCTGTCTCTCTCACTGTCCACTCTGCCTGTCAAAAAAATTTTTTTTAAATATATATTTCTATGTAGATTTGCTTTATGAACAATTAAAATACACTTGCATTTTAAAAAAATTTTTTCAAGAGTATATTTAGTTTGGAAAAAGATTGAGTTTTAGGAGTTGATGGTCAAAAAGATTCCTTTGAGAGCCTGAGGAAACTTCTTGGGTGATGGATACATAAAGCTACTTCACAGAAGTTCATGGAAAAATGGAACTAAAATATTTTGGTGCAAAATATTTTTGAAGTCTGTGCATACTTTTTTCATAGTGCATATTTTCCTTGAACTTTTTGGAAATCCCTTGTTTTTATCATCTTGATTATGAGACAGTTTCACGCACACACACAGACACACACTTGAGGGGGCTTCAGAGTTTGTGAAAAAATGGCAATAAGAGTACACGTTTTCAGGGCCAACGTTGTGGCATAGCCAGTTAAGCCTCTGTGACAGCAGCATCCTCTGTGGGCCCCGGTTGAATCTGGGCTGCTCTGTTTCCAATCCAGCTCCCTGCTGATGCGCCGGGAAAGCAGCAGAGCGTGGTTCAAGTCCCTGGGCCCTGCATCCACGTGGGAGGTCCGGAAGAAGCTTCTGACTACTGGCTGCAGCCAGGCCCAGCCCTGGCAGTTGGGGCCATTTGGGGAGTGAGCCAGCGGATGGAAGATCTCTGTCTGTCTCTCCCTCTTTCTTGGTAACTCTGCTTTTCAATTAAATCAATAATTTTCTTTTTTTTAATACAAATTTTCCATGAAAAAAATTTTTTAAAAAAAGATTTATTTATTTGAAAGAACAGAGTGGGAGAGACAGACATCTTTGAACCTCTCGTTCACTCCCCAAATGACCACAACAGCCAAGTCAGGGCCAGGCCAAAGCCAGGAATCGGGAACTCCATTCAGATCCCCCGCATGGCTGCTAGGGGCCCAAGCACTTGGGCCATCTGCTGCCTTCCCTGGATGCGCATTAGCAGGGAGCTGGATCGGAAGTGAAGCAGCCGGGACGTGAACTGGGGTTCTGATAAGGGTCGCCTGCATTTCAGGCAGCGGCTTAACCTGCCACGTCACAGCGCCGGCCCCTTCCAGGAACCGTTTTGAAGTCTCCTTCGGCATGTTAGAATGTAACAGATTTTACACTGCGTGTTGATTGCATGTCAGATCTTGATAGAGTGCTGAGAGGTGTGTCCCCTCGGCGGCTGATCCGTGTTGTGAGAACGTGTGTGCAGGGAACGTGCATTTCTCCCTGACCATTGTTTGCGTGCAGGTCTCCAGGCTCGTGAACGAGGTCTACCACATGTATAATCGGCACCAGCACCCGTTTGTCGTTCTGAACATTTCTGTCGATTCAGGTGAGTGCCGCTGAGGCAGCACTACAACTGGCGCCCTCCTCCTCGTTTGGAATTACAGAGCTCTGGTACGACGGGTCATAGGGTGATGTGATTTTGTTTCATGTAGCCTTTCCTGTTTTCTAATTAAAATTATGTTCTTTGTATTCTTAGGAAAATAGGATTTATTTATTTATTAAAATTTCAACCAAAGGAGAAAGATAAAATATTTGCCCTGGGGCTGGCGCTGTGGCACATTAGGTTCAGCTGGTTCTTGCAGTGCAGACATCTGGTATCGGCGTGCTGGTTAGAGTCCTGGCTTCTCTGCTTCCAGTCTGGCTTCCTGTTAATGCTCCTTGGAAGGCAGCAGGTGATGGCTCAGGTACCTCGGTTCCCGCCCCCATGGGAGACCTGCTGGAGTTCTGGGCTCCTGACTTTGACAAGGCCGACCCTGGCTGTTGCAGGCTTGTGGGGAATGAGCCATTGGATGGAAGATCCTTCTTTGTCTTTCTTTTTCTGTCTTTCAAGTAAAATGAAAATAAAATTATAAAAAAAAGTTAGGAAGGAAAACGTTTTAAAGAATTGTTTATTTATTTACTTGAAGAGCAGAGTGACAGAGCTTTCATCTGCTGGTTCACTCCCCAAATGGCTGCAAGAGTGAGGGCTGGACAAGGCCGAAGCCAGCAGCCAGGAGCTGCATCCTAATCTCCCACGTGGATGGCCGGGGCCTGGGGTTTGGGCTGTCTTCTGGCCACCTAGGTGGGTGAGCAGGAAGCTGTATCAGAAGTTGAGAAGCTGGGACTTGAACTGGCAGTGTTCCGATATGGCACATGGGCATCACAAACTCGCCACAATGCTGGCCCCCCAAAAAGAAATTTAGAAATAGGTGCCTGTACGGGCTCTTCAAAATATTCATGGAAAAGGAGTTTTTTGAGAAAGTTATGTGTAGATTTCAAAAACATTTTTGCACAAAAATAGTCTTTTCATTCTGTTTAGCCATGACTCTTTGAAGTAACCCCATATATCTTCAATTATTTCCTTAAAAAAATATGCAGATGTAAAATACTGAGTCAGTGATTGTGGACATCTGAAGGCTCTTGCTGTGTTGCCTTCTGGATATGCAACAGTTTGCACATCTGCCAACAATGTAGTACGTCTAATTTTTATGCTAAATTCAGGAGTGATGAAACATCTTAGCTTGTATTCTTCTCATGTTACTCATCTTCATGTGTTCTCCCTTCATCTTACAGTTTACACCTTCACATCTTTGCATGTCGTCTTTCAAAAATTGCTCCTTTCCTTGTCTGAAAAAGCTAATTTTACAGTTTTTGAATGTTAATCCAGATACCATCACGTGTTCAGTAGTGCTCTTGGTGAAACTGTAAGTGAATGGGGAGATTTCCCTTGTTAAAGGTGAGTTTAAACCTGGAGTGTTCTGTTTTTTGACTTAGAATGTGTGGACATCAACGTGACTCCAGATAAAAGACAGATTTTACTGCAGGAGGAGAAGCTCTTGCTGGCAATTTTAAAGACCTCTCTGATTGGAATGTTTGACAGTGACGTGAACAAAGTGAACGTCAGCCAGCAGCCGCTGCTGGATGTTGAAGGTAAGAAAAACACATGACCCGCGGCTTCTAAAGTCTCAGCTGTTGTGATAGTCTGCTTGTTTCTTGCGAGGTAAAGTTTTTTGACCTGAAACAAAGACTTTTAGTTTAGACGGAGGATGTGTCACTCTGGAGAGTATGTGGTTGCAGGTTTTTTTTTTTCTTCAAGGTTTATTTATTCATTTGAAGGCAGAGTTACAGAGAGGCAGAGGCAGAGAGAGAGAGAAGTTTTCCATCCACTGGTTCACTCCCCGAATGGCTGTAACGGCTGGAGCTGGCCTGAACCAAAGCCAGGAGCCAGGAGCTTCTTCCAGGTCTCTGATGTGGGCCATCTTCCACTGCTTTCCCAGGCCACAGCAGAGAGCTGGATTGGAAGTGGAGCAGCTGGGACTAGAACCAGTGCCCATGTGAGACCAGGGCTTTAACCCGCTGCACCATAGCCCCTTCCAATGACTTTTTCATTTTGGTCATTGAACTTTCCAACTCCAGAATTCCTATTTTTAAATAATTCCTCTTTCTTTATTGCTATTTGGTAGAATAGCTTTTTTTAATTGGTTTACCTTTTTACGTCTACTTCTGTAGACATGGTGTCATATTTGAACATATTTAAAACAGCTGATTTTAAGATCTTTGCCCAAGCCAGCACCGCGGCTCACTAGGCTAATCCTCTGCCTGCGGTGCCGGCACACCAGCTCTCTGCTGTGGCCCAGGAGTGCAGTGGAGGATGGCCCAAGTGCTTGGGTCCTGCACCCCATGGGAGACCAGGAGAAGCACCTGGCTCCTGCCTTTGGATCAGCATGGTGTGCTGGCCGCACCATGCCGACCACGGTGGCCATTGTGGGGTGAACCAACGGCAAAGGAAGACCTTTCTCTCTGTCCCTCTCTCTCACTGTCCACGCTGCCTGTCAAATAAATAAATAAATAAATAAATAAAATTAAAAGATATTTGCCCAGTTAAGTCCTTCCAAGAATGTCCATTGACTCTTTTTTTTCCCACCACACTTTCTTGTTTCTTTGTGAGTCTCATAAAGTTGTTGTTGAAATCGGGGCATCTTGAATCACAGAATGTGGCCACCCCAGAGTTCAGATCCTCTCCCCTTGCCAGGGTTTCTTTTTGTCGTTTGCTGAATATTCTGAAGAAAAAAAAATCTCTGTGAAGCCTCTTTTGTCTTGAGTGTATGGCCACCAAACTCTGTTTCCTGTTAGGGTGTTGTTTGGCTAGTGGTTGGCCAGAGGTTTCCTTTGATGCCTGAACCCTGGTGTTTGCTGGGGACTCTGTGCTGGCTGGGGCCCACCCTCAGTGCCCAGCCTTGCCTCAGCCTCCACTCCCTGCTCACAGAGCGCCTGCGGAGTGCAGAGCTTGGCGTGGTCCCAGGTCCTTCCCAGGCTTGCAAGTGGCCTCCAGATTGCCAGATATGAGTCCCTGTGAACCTGTCATTCTCCATCTTTGTCCTGTAAGTTGATGGCTGGGCCGTGGTTTGCCCGCCCATCACCCAGCGCCTCCAGCTGTGGAGTTCCCCAGTTGCCCTGCGTCCGTTCGTCAGAGGCCCGCAAGGACAGGGCTTTTTGCACCATGAACTCTGAGCCAGGACCACGCAGGCAGCCTCGCGGGTGGTGTCCCTGTAAGCACTGGGTGCTGTGGGATGGTCCTGCACTGGGGTGGGTGCCCTGCCCAGCCCAGCCCGGCCCCCACCCGCTGCTGCCACTTGACCGCAGTCATCTCGGATGGTTTTCGGGACTGGTGCAGGGCTGAGAAGAAGGGGCTGGACTGGGCCATTTTTCTTGAATAAGTGTGCCCCAACTTTTCATGAACTTCCAGAATTCTGAAAAAGTTGGATTTGAAGTTTTTGCCAGTTTTCTCCTTCCTTGTGTAGAGGAGAGCGTTTCCGGCAGTCTGAGCTGTTCTCCGTGGGGTCACCCCTGTGCAGGCCTCGCTGAGGGCTGGCCACAGAGCCGGGTGACGTCCATAGTGTCACACAGGGTTGTGACTTCACGGCCTGGTCAGAACCGCACAGCCGTCTATTGGCTGCGTGCGTCTGGGTCATGTGGGAGAGGGGCTGTGTGGGTCCAGAATCCTCACTTGGCGGAGGGAAGAACACTGCTGGGTGCCCACGCGTGGGTTTGGGAGACGTCCCCAGAGAGCTGGGCGAGGAGGTTGTGCCAGGTCTACTTCCGTCAATGAGCATTTGAACACCCCATCCTTGTCAACGTTTGTTGATTGCGGTCGCGCTGAGTGCTGAGGCCGTCATATTGTGTCTGCCGGGTGGCGGTCGTGGAACAGCATCCTGTATTTAGCCATTTGTGTTCTTTTGTGAGCCGCCTGTCCCATCCTGGTGCAGTCTCTGACGTCCTTCCCCATTGCTGTCCCCTTAGGTAACTTAATAAAAGTGCACACAGCGGAAACGGAGACTCCTCTGCCCGGGAAGCAGGGTAGCCCTGCCTTGCTGGGGGCTCCAGGAGGGGAGCAGAGAAGGGCAGTATCTGTTTCCCGACTGAGAGAGGCCTTCTCCCTTCGCCACACAGCAGAGAACAAGGCTCAGGGCCCAAAGACTCCGGCCCTGAGTCCCAGATGCAGGCCGCGGGAGACGGGAGTGCCACCGCCTAGCGCCTCAGGCCCCAGCCCTGGCCCCGGCAGAGGCTGGCCGGGCCCTCGGGCGGAGGCTGTGAGTCCCATCAAGGGCCCCGGAGACCACAAAGGCCTGGCGGGCACAGAGGAGGACCCTGGGCCCAGCAGCGCCCCAGCCAGCTCAGGGGAAGGGCTCTGCGCCCTGGACTGTGCAGTGAACTCCCCGGAAGACGGGCCCCCGCGGGAACACGTGTCGCCCTGCGAGGGTGAGACAGAATCCAACGGGAACTGCCGCGAGCAGTGTGAACGCGCTCAAGTTCCGCCTGCACCTGCTGAGCTCTCATCCCCGAGCGCCAAGCGTCGGAAGAAGGATGGCGCTCCCTCCGGCCCGGACCTTCCCCGCGGGCCGGCGTCTCAGCTTGATGTGGCTGTGAAAGTCCCTAAGAGAGTGGTGCCCCTCGACTTCTCCATGAGTTCTTTAGCCGAACGGGTGAGGCGTCTGCTTCACCGAGAAGAGCCAGGTGGAGGCGAGCAGAACTACAGGAGGTTCCGGGCGAAGATCTGCCCTGGGGACAACCAGGCGGCCGAGGAGGAGCTGAGGAAGGAGATCAGGTACCGCTGGGCTTCCGCGTGGGTCCTTGCACACCTGGCACCTCTGCCTGCTGTGCTCGGACACTTTGTTCCATTGGCCTGGGCGTGAGGGTTGCCCAGCTCCACAGACTTCCCTGACCATGGACTCAGCGCATCCCAAATGGCCTTGCAGCCCCTTCCCCTCCTCTCCCGTTCTAATACTGCACCTGCTTGGGAATGCTTTCTCCATTCATAGATGCTTCTCATGGCCTCTCTATCATGTTAACTTTTTTCCCACTTCAGCTTATTTATTTGAAAGGCAGAGGCAGACACAAAGAGCCCCCACCCGCTGGGTCACTCCACAGATGCCAGCAGTGATGGAGGCTGTGTGCAGCCAGAGCCAAAGCTGGCCACTCAGTCCAGGGACCACACTGCACGAGCCGCCACTGCTGCCTCCCGAGGTTTGCAGTGGCCAGGATCTGGAACTGGGACCCAGAACCAGCAGTCACACCCAGGCACTCTGATACGGGATCAAGGCAGAGTGTTTTGTTTTTGTTTTTTAAAGATTTATTGAGTTGGGCCAGCGCTGTGGCATAGGGGGTGAAGCTGCAGCCCACGATGCTGGCATCGACATACAGGCGCCGGTTTGAGTACTAGAGCTCTACTTCAATCCACCTCGCTGCTAAGGCACCTGGGAAAGCAGCCGCAGGTGGCCCAAGTCCTTGGGCCCCTGCAGCCACGTGGGAGACCCGGAAGAAGCTCCTGGCTCCTGGCTTCAGCCTGGCCCATTCCTGGCCATTCCGGCCATTTGGATCATTTGGGGAGTGAACCAAAGGATGGAAGATCTCTGTCTTCCCACCTCATTGTGTCTCTGTCTTTCAAATAAATAAGTAAATCTTTTTTTGAAAGAATCAGCACTCAATAGAATAATAATTTTTCATTTATGATTTACTAAATATATATTCCTTATATATAAGTATAAAAATACTAAAATATATATCAATTTGTGTGGTAATAGACTGGAATAAAATACATTTATCTTTTTTTAGAGATTTTATTTTTTTTAAAGATTATTTATTTATTTGAAAGGCAGAGTTACAGAGAGGCAGGGCAGAGAAAGAGAGAAAGGTCTTCCATCTGCTGATTCATTCCCCACATGGTCACAATGACCAGAGCTGCGCCGATCCAAAGCCAGGAGCTTCTTCATAGTCTCCCATGCAGGTGCAGGGGCCCAAGCACTTGGGCCATCTTCCACTGCTTTCCCAGGCCATAGCAGAGAGCTGGATCAGAAGTGGAACAGCTGGGACTTGAACCGGCACCCATAGAGGATGCCGGCACTGCAGGTGGTGGCTTTACCCGCTATCCCACGGCGGCAATGCTGTTTTAGTGGATGCTGCTTGGAAAGAAGCGGTGTAACGTCTCCTGCTTTGTTCTTATTGTTTGTGATCGCTTTGCCTGTGCAGGGTTTTATTCATGGTTTCATAGGGTTGTTTTCCTACTTCTGTGAATAATGTCCTAAGTACTTTGATAGGGATCGCTTGAAATTGGTGCACCTCTTTGGCCCTGTGGACATTCCGACAGTACTGGTTCTCGGGCCGCGAGCACTCTTCATTTCTTTGTGTCCCCTTCTGTTTCTTTCATCCGTGTTGTGGAGCGCTTTCACCACTTTGGGTTTATTCCTGGGCACTGCATCTCCGAGGCTGTTAGAAAGGAGACTGTGGGGCGGGCGTTTGGTGCCGTGGCACCTCAGTATGGCGAGTAGTGCTGTTTTGTGTTGTCTTTATTGTTGAAGTCAGACCCAGAACTCCATCCAGGTCTCCCACATGGTACCAGGGGCCTAAGCACTTGGGCCATCGTCTGATGTCTCCCAGGTGCGTTAGTAGGAAGTTGGATTGGCAGAAAAAGGAGCTGGTATTCAAACCAGTGCCCTGTTATGAGTTGCAGGTGTCCCAAGAATGACTTAAGCCCCTTTACCACAATGTCTGTCCCTAGCTGTGATTTTTAAAAACAGCAATTTTTAAAAATTTATTTATTTTATTTATTTGAAAGGCAGAGTTAGATCTTCAGATCTTCTGTCCACTGGTTCACTCCCGACATGCCCACCCCAGCTTGAGTTGGCCTGATCCAAAGCCAGGAGTTTTATCTGGTCTGCCCTGTGGGTTCAGGGGTCCAAGCACTTGGGCCATCTCCCACTGCTTTCCCAGGAACATGAGCAGGGAGCTGGATCAGAAGTGGAGCAGCCGGGACTTGAGCTGGTGCCCACATGGGATGCCCGCACTACAGATTGGGGCTTTACCTGGTATGCCGCAGTACCAGCCTCCCCAAAAACAGCAATTTTAATGAGTCAAGCATTTCTTGATTCCTCCTGTTGTGGGTGGTGGATTACTTAGGGAGCTCCCAGGGAGTAGCAGCACTTCGGGCCGTCCTCCAGTCCTGCTCCTGTGGAACTGGGGGCCCAGGAACCTGTGTTTTTGATTAGGTCCCTGCAGGTGGTTTTGTGCACCCTGACCTATTGCGGCCCTGGCACTGGTTCGAAGCTCCCAGATCACGCCTGCTGTGTGGCATGTTCTTTTCCTAAGACACGTGTTTCAGGTGAGATGGGGCAGCCAGGAAAGACAGAGAGGCGACGTTTATTTTGAGGGACACCTCAGTATGGCAAGTTGAAGTCAGATGATGCTGTTTTGTGTGGTAGCAGATGGCTCTGCCAAGGACACTGGCGCCCTGGGCCTCCAAGCCAGCAGCATGGGCTCTCCTGGGGGACCTGGAGGCGGCTGGGAGAGGTGGGATCTGTGCCCGTTCCCAGTGCATGGGCGCCAGATCCACCTTCAGGACCTGGAGCACTGAGACTGTCGGTGGAGGGCGTTGGAAGGACACACGGGGTGAAGCCCAGGAAGCTCTTCCTTGCTGCTGGTGCCCCCCTTTCCTCCCACAGGGCAGCCAGCAGACTGCATCGCTCACCGTGGCAGCTTCTCTCCGTCTGAGGGCAGCAGCCACTCCCACTCCATGCCTCTTCCACTGGTCCTGGGAGCCACGCTCCCTCATCCCCGGAGGTCACGGCTGCTTCCCCGTTTGCCACTCTCTTGTCTTAGAAGTTAACCACCTTTCACTAGTTCGTCAAGCCTCCCCGTGAACTCTGCAGTTCACATCAGTGATGTGGCTTTTCCAACCCTTAATTGGACTCTCACTGATACGGAACTGGTTCAAGGAGACCCTCAAAGCCAGGCTTTGGGGATTGGTTAACCTGGCCGTGAGCTTGGTGCTGAGCTCCTGGTCCGTGGGAAACGGGAGGTTGGTAATCCATGGCACGCAGAGTGGCACAGCTGATCAGACCGTCTCCTGTGGCGGACCGTGAGGGAGTGCCAACGACAGCAGGGGCCTCGGGAGCCTGTGGCTACGCAGGAGCGAGGAGCACAAGCACCGGGTGCCCCCAACATTGGCCTCGGCTCCTGTCTTCCTCAGCTCAAGGCGCTGTGTGAGGCCCAGGGAGCCTCAGGGGCAGCGCTGATAGCGCCACAGGGCTGCTCTTGAGAAAAACCAGCTTTCACAGAGTGCAGCGGCTGCAGACACGCAGTGTCACTTTCTCGTGTGCAGGGTCAGGGTGGTGCCTGCGCCTCGTCTGCTGGTTTCTGTCTGTCATGTTTGTAAAGGTGTTGGATTTTGGGTGCACCTGGCATTGAGCCTGGTGTACGTTAGAAGCACTAATATCCAGCACTGGGCAGGGGGTGCTCTCGGACGCTGTTGGTGGGAGCATCCACTATTGCAGACGTCCTGTCACAGTGACAGTCGTGAGACCGGGAGTGGGCAGGTGTAGGTGCAGGAGTGTGTGTGTGTGTGTATGTGTGTTGCAGCTTTGTGTCGTTACTGAAATGGGAAGCAGTTTCAGCAGAGAAGTTGTCAGGCCAGTTTTGGCACCTGTACGCGGAGGAGTCACATGTTGCCATGAAAGAACGAAGCAGGTCTGTACGTGTGGATCTGGAAAAATACCTGCAGTGCCTTGTTCATGTGACAAAAGTAGAGCGGTCCGAGGAATTCAGGCTCCTTCTTTTCCCCCAAGAATCCGTGTGTCGACAAAGATCTGGAAGAATGTATCCCAGATTGGTAATAGTAACTACTGTCTTATCTGGGGAGTTGGGTAAATGTGTGATTAATGCTGTCTTTGGGAGATGGGTTGTGGGGGGCTGGCGTTTGGCCTTGCAGTTGAGATGCCCACATTCTATGTCAGGGTCCCTGGGGCTGGGTCCTGGCTGTGTTCCCAATTCCAGATTCCTGCTGGTGTGCACCTTGGGAGGCAGCGTGGGGAATGAGCCAGTGGATGGGTTTTCCCTGTTTCTCTTTTCTCTGTTGCTCACATTAAATGAATGAAAGAAAAGAGAGAGGAAGAAAATTGGGGCCAGCCTTGGGCATAGCGAGTAAAGCCGCCGCCTACAAATGGGACGCCGGTTCAAGTCTTGGCTGCTCCACTTTCCATCCAGCTCTCTGCTAATGCACCTAGGAAAGCAGTGGAAGATGGCACAAATGCCCGGGCCCCTGCCACTCGTGGGAGACCCGGATGGAGTCCCAGGCTCCTGGCTTTGGCCTGGCCCAGCCCCAGGTGTTGTGGCCATCTGGGGAGTGAACCACTGAAGGGAAGATCTCTCCCTTTCTTTACCTTTCAAATGAGTAAATCTTAAAACTAAGTGGGATGGTTAAGGTCACTCTATGTTTTTGTCCTTGTTTTAAAGAAATTATCACAGGGTTCTGCTTTACCATCAGGAAAGTAATCTTGTTATGCTTCTGTGATTCACATTTTCTGCCTGCAGTAAAGCGATGTTTGCAGAGATGGAGATCATTGGCCAGTTCAACTTGGGGTTTATAATCACCAAACTGCACGAGGATCTCTTCATAGTGGACCAGCACGCCACGGACGAGAAGTACAACTTCGAGATGCTGCAGCGGCACACCGTCCTGCAGGGCCAGCGGCTCATAGCGTGAGTCCGTCTGCGTCCGGCCTTCTCAGGGCTGCTTCCCAGACTGCCCCCACGCTTCTGTCTGCCAGCTTCTGTGTGTGCGCCCGCCTGTGTCTGTGTCCGCACGTCGTATCTCTCCGTCCACGTGAACCCTGACCGTACGCATCCCTAAGATTTTTTTTTGGACCATCTTGTGTGATAGTGGTCATAGCTGTCTTTATTGAGTGCCTACTGTGTGCGCGGCACTGCTGAAGCAGTTCCTGCGTATTAGGTCACTTACTCCTCCCAGAGCTGTGAGGTGTGTACTGATGTCGCCTCCCTCTCACAGGTGATAAAACCGAGGGACACGCAGAGCTTAAATAACTACCCAAGGTGGCACAGCTTACCCGCTAAAAACCACTGACCACCGGTTGTCCAGAAAGTCCTTTTGCTGAAGGGCAGCGTATAGCCCGTCGTATTCGTGTGTGCAGCAGGCAGTCTGTGCGTTGAGAATCGGGTCTCAGTCCTTCCCCGTCGCAGGGCAGTGTCAGTGGCTCATGTTACTGCAGGGTTTGGCGTCCCCCTCTGCTTTGTCCAAGTGAGTGTTTCATGGGGACCCCTGGCCCAGGAGGTGGGATGCCCTGTTGCGTCAGCCAGAGGGCTGAAGCAGAGTTCAAAGGAGAGACCAAGGGTTTTGATTTGGGAAAATTAAACCAAACGGACAAGTAAACTCAGACCTGCGCAGAAGTAGACCTCGCGTGCAGAAAAGTTCTGAGCGGTCACTCAGCTGGTAGTGGTTCTGGTTCCTGTGCAGAGGGTGGGCTCTGTTTCCAGGGTCAGTAGGGGCCTGGGTAAGTGACTCTGATCCTGGAATAGGGTGCTCCTCTTTCAGAGGTCTTTGTTTTTCAGCCTTTGTGCATGAATAAGGTCTCAGGTGGCATTGCAGGTCGACCCCAGCTAGTCACAGACCAGTCTGGATCCCAGACGGACACTTTAGGATGAAGGGATGGTGACCGACCACAGTTCTGTCCCGGGCTACCACGTCCTGCATGGCAGGGCCCTCGTTCCCTAACCCTCTTCCTGCTCCCCAGGCCTGACCACTGTGGCCAGCTTTCCGTTTCCCCCGACTGGCCTGAGGCATTCAGGGTGAATCTGTCTTTATGTGGGCCCTGGGCTTTTGCACAGGTGTCTCTGCCCTGGACACTTGTCCCGTGTGCCCCCCCCACCCCGGAGGCAGTGCAGTGGTCACTTCCCAGCAGAACCTTCTCTGACCCCAGGCTTGGGTCCTGCTCACTGATCGTCTGACTGGTGTCTTCACTGTCCGTAGGTGCAGCTGATTCGTTTGTGCAGTGTCTGTCTTTGCCCTCTGATCTGTTAGTTCCGGGAGGGTAGAGAAGGAGGCTGTGTTTGTACAGCATGGGGTCTCCTGCCTGTAGGGTGTTTGTCGTAAAGACAGAGCTCGTGGGAAGTCCAGCAGGGGAGATGAGCAATCAGTAAAGCAGGCAGAGGGAGGAGCGGGTGGCAGCCTGCACGCCATCTGTGTGTTCTGTTTCTACATCATCTTTATTGTGAGGGAGGAGGGAAAACAGCATTTTTGTTAAGTTGGAGTTTTTGGGAAAAGATTTATGTATTGATTTGAGAGGCAGAGTTACCTGGAGAGATGGAGAGACAGAGAGACAGACCCAGACACAGAGATCTTCCATCTTCTGGCTCACTCCCCAAATGGCCACAACAGCCAGTGCTGGGCGAGGCCAAAGCCAGGAGCTGGAGGCTTCATCGGGGTCCCAAACATGGGTGTAGGGGCCCAGGCATTCAGGCCATCTTCTGCTTTCCCAGGCGCGTTGGAAGTGGAGCAGCCAGGACTTGAACTGGTGCTCATAGGGGATGCCCGTGTTGCAGGCAGCGGCTTAATCTGTGCCACAACACTGGCCCCTAAATTAGTTTTTTAAAGATATTTTTATGTATTTATTTTGAATGCAGGGAGAGAGATGATCTACCATCCTCTGGTTCACTCTCCAGATGCTCACAACAACTGGTCTGGGCCAGGCCAGGCCAAAGCCAGGAGCTGGAAGCTCAGTGGGTCTCCCATGTGGATTGCAGGGACCCAGCGCAGTGGGTCTCCCGTGTGGATTGCAGGGACCCAGCACAGTGGGTCTCCCGTGTGGATGGCAGGGACCCAGCTACTTGAGTCATCATCTGCTTTCTCGCAGGAAGCCGGAGTCGGGGACGAAGCCAGGACTTAAACCCAGGCATCCCAAGTGGAGTCTTAACTGCTGTGCCAAACGCCCACCCTTAAATTGTCATTCTTTTTTTTTTTTTTTTTTTTTTTTTTTTTTTTTAGTTTATTTATTCAAAAGGCAGAGTTACAGAGAGGCAGAGGTAGAGAGAGAGAGAGGAGAGGCAGAGAGAGAGAAGTCTCCCATCTGCTGGTTCACTCTCCAGATGGCCGCAATGGCCGGAGCTGCGCTAAGAGCTTCCTCTGGGTCTCCCATGTGGGTGCAGGGGCCCAAGGACTTGGGCCATCTTCCACTGCTTTCCCAGGCCACAGCAGAGAGCTGGATCGGAAGTGGAGCAGCCGGGACTTGAACCAGCACCCATAGGGGATGCCTGCACTGCAGGTGGCGGCTTTACCTGCTTTACCACAGTGCAGGCCCCTAAATTGTCACTCTTAGAGGTTAAGAACAACAACAGGTCACTGGGGTGGAATGGCAGATTAAGGAGAGAGCAGGTGGCTTTTGTAGTTCCCCTAAGCTGTGAAATAGAACGTAAAGGAGAAAGGCCTTCCCAGGAACCCCTCGGCAGTTCTGTGACAGCTGAGCAGCGCAGCTGCCTGTAGCTGCACGGTGTAGTTCGGTTGTTTGCTGGGATGAGTTCAGAGTGCCGCGGCACGGCTGTGCTGGTTTCCTCCCTGCTTTGCGAGTCCGTGTCGGACTTCCAAATGCGCTCTGAATCTCTCCTCTGTTTTCCAGGCCTCAGGCTCTCAACCTGACCGCTGTGAATGAAGCCATTCTGCTAGAGAACCTGGAGATATTCAGGAAGAATGGCTTTGACTTCGTCATCGATGAAGCTGGTAAGTCACCCATTAGGACGGCACAGCCATGTCTTGATAGAGCTGGCATCCAGGGGCTGGCACTGTGACAAAGGCACCTGCGACGCCGGCATCCCAATTGGGTGCTTGTTCAAGTCCCGGCTGCTCCACTTCCAATCCAGCTCCCTGCTAATGGCCTGAGAGAGCAGCAGAAGATGGCCCAGGTGCTTGGGCCCCTGCAGCCACGTGGGAGACCAGGAAGGAGCTCCTGGCTTTGAGCTGGCCCAGCCTTGGCTGTTGCAGCCATCTGAGGAGTGAACCAGCAGTTAGATCTCTCCGTCTCTCCCTGTCTGTAACTCTTGACTTTCAAATAAATAAATAAATCTTTTTTTTTTTTTTTTTTAAGAACTGGCTTCTATCTCTGAGTTCATTTAGATGGATCTCTTTATAAAAAGAGACAGGTTCCCCACAAAAGAAGTCTGTGTCTGCCTCTCTTTCAAACGTTTGTCACCGGCATAGCAGTCGAGGGAGACACCTTTCTCAAACCACGGGTTTTTCTCGACATCTTGTCCTTTCAGCTCCAGTCACGCAAAGGGCTAAGCTGGTCTCCTTGCCGACCAGTAAAAACTGGACCTTCGGGCCCCAGGACATAGACGAGCTCATCTTCATGCTCAGCGACAGCCCTGGGGTCATGTGCCGGCCCTCGCGCGTCCGCCAGATGTTTGCCTCCAGAGCCTGCCGGAAGTCCGTGAGTAGCCGCAGCAGCCCCCGCCCCGGCCCGCGTGGGTCGTGGCTGTCAGCAGGCCCCTCACCCTCCCCTCCCACTCCCCTCACTGCCTCAGTGCTGCTCTCTTGGCTTGCGGGTGCAGGGACGTGATGGGTGACGACAGCACAGGTAGACGGAGATCCCGCAAGGCTCGATGTGGTGTCCCTGCTGCTGCTCGGGTAGGTGTTGGAAAGCTGCGGCAGTGGTGGAGGGTTCACTTGCTGTCCCCAAAAGTGACTGAGCAGCACGAAAGCCCAGGACCTTTATTCGTGGGGCCAGCCCTGTCCCAGGAGCTGGGACACAGAGGTACTAGGACAGGGAGGCCCTTCTGGAGCTGGTAGGGGTGGGCTGTCTGCAGCAGTGGCCTCGAGCCTGCTTCCTGGGGTAGGAGGGCCCCCTGGAGCACAGACGTCCGGAACAGAAGCAGCAGCAGCAGCAAGTGCAAAGGCCTGGGGTGAGAGTGGAGCCAGAGGCTGCCCCGAGTGCCTCGACAGGGCTCCCCAGGGTCGGGAGCCAGAGCCTGTGCCCTTTGCCCTGGGAGTGCTGGGGAGAGGAGACTGAGACCCCACAGAGGACTCTGGGGGAGGAGTGACAGGTTGGTGGCATTCGGGCAGTGGGTGGGATCGAGAGCTCTGTATTAGACCCGTTGTGTTTGCGGTCCCGTTGGACATTCAGTGAGGGCATCTGGAACTCAGGCACACCAGGACTGGAGGTCACAGCTGATGTGTGTGGCAGACTCATACCCCACAGCTAAGACCCCACGTCAGAGTGCCTGGGTCTGCTGCTTGGCTTTTTTTTTTTTTTTTTTTTTTTTTTGACAGGCAGAGTGGACAGTGAGAGAGAGAGACAGAGAGAAAGGTCTTCCATTGTCATTGGTTCACCCTCCAATGGCCGCCGCAGCCGGTGCACTGCGGCTGGCGCACTGCGCTGATCTGAAGGCAGGAGCCAGGTGCTTCTCCTGGTCTCCCATGGGGTGCAGGGCCCAAGTGCTTGGGCCATCCTCCACTGCACTCCCGGGCCACAGCAGAGAGTTGGCCTAGAAGAGCAGCAACTGGGACAGATCTCAGCTCCTCGACTGGGACTAGAACTCGGTGTGCCAGCTAAGCAAGGCGGAGGATTACACTATTGAGCCATGGCGTTGGCCAAAAGAAAGTATCACAGGGTTCTGCTTTATCTTCAAAGGTGGGGAGAGACAGATGTTCCATCCACTTGTTCATTCCCCAAATGGTTACAATGCCCTGGGCTAGCCAGGAGCCTGGGATTTCTTCTAGGTCTCCCACCTGAGTGCAGGCCCCAAGCACTCGGGCCATCTTCCACCACTTTCCCAGGCATGTTAGCAGAGAGCTGGATCAGAAGTGGAGCAGCCAGGACTCAAACTGGCACCCATGTGGGATGCCAGTGTTGCAGGTGGTGGCTTAACCTATTGCACCACACTACCGTCCCCTTGACTGTGGCTCCTGACTCTAGCTTTCTGCTGGTGCAGACCCTAGGAGGCAGCGGTGATGGCTCAGCTAACTGGGTTCCTGCCACCCGTGATGGAGACCTGGGTTGTTCCCAGCTCCCAGCTTTGGCCTGGTGCAGCCAGACTGCTGGTGGGCATCTGGGGAGTGATGGAGCACATGGAGGCCCCTCCCTTCCTCCTCGCCTCCCTCCCTCCCTCCTTGCCCTGTCTCCTGTGTCTCTCGGCCTCATGAGCAAATCAGTAAAAGTTGAGACAGGAAGTTTAAGTAACAGGAGTCCTGAGATGGTTACGGAAGGGCGGAGTTAGTTAGAGGAGGGCCCGGGAGCCAACTTCAGCTGTGGGATTTCTCAGGGGAGGACCTCATCTTGACCTTCCAGTCTCCAAGCCCTAGTGAGGTGGGAGCTGGGGGCTGGGCTCTGCTGGTTGTCGCCAGTGTGAGGGGACCCCCAGGGCTGTGGGCCTCAGGGGGAAGGCAGGGTCGGGGGAGCACGCGTTGGCATTGGCAGAGCTGCCAGCAGGGGTTGGAGTCCAGTCAGTCCTGACCCGTTTTGGAGTGGAGGTGGTGCCACCACACTGGGGCCAGCCAGGGAGGGCCTGCATGCGCGGAAGGGTTCCTCCGGGGAAGGTGGCGCGGGGGACGTCGGAGCTGTGCCCTCGTCCAGCCTCACTCCAGAGGAGTGCTTCTGGGAGCTGCGTTTCTGACACAGCCAATACAGCGTTGCACTGTTGTGTCTCGTGTTCAGGTGATGATTGGCACCGCCCTGAACCCCAGCGAGATGAAGCAGCTTGTCACCCACATGGGGGAGATGGACCACCCCTGGAACTGTCCCCACGGAAGGCCCACCCTGCGGCACATCGCCAATCTGGCTGTCCTTTCTCAGAAGTGACTCTGACTCGTCTCGTGGCAGATTTTCCTGTTTTAGGAGACAGGGTCTCAGTTAACCCTCGTGTTGTCTCACAGCTAACCTGCTGCTTTAGGCCCCGAGAACCTGTTCAGAGCGTGGGGAGCCTTGCTCGCAGGGGTTCTGTGTGTGTGCGTGCGTGTGCGAGTGTGTGTGTGCGTGTGAGTGTGCTACAGAAGAAGCAACACTTACTCAGGCCTCCGCTCTTGCTGGACGTATTTTGATCTGCGCCCGTCAACCCTGATGATTCAGCTCCTATCGGCTTAATTTCGTAAATTTAAAATCAAGGTCCTGTGGAGTCAATGGTTCTGAACTGTGACGCACACCAGATTTTAAAAAAGGAATGATCCAAGGAGCCCGGGGGATCGTGTGAATGGGGCTGGGTTCTCGCCGTTCACTTGTGCCCTGTGTGCAGCGTGCTGTCCCAAGCAGGGAAGGGACAAGGCCTGGGGTGCTGGGATTTGTTTCTTTGGGCTGTGAGCTGTGGGACACGTTTTCGTGGAATCTCGTCCCGTCTGAACTGTGCAAAGAGTGGAAGGAACGGGGTCATTTTTGGCCCGGGGCAGCATTCCTCAGACAGAACAGGACTGGCAGTAATTGTCAGCTATCAGCTGTCAGCCACCGTGCTGGGGGGTCGGGCATCCCAGAGGGGGCTGTGTGCCCTCCCCAGAAGCTGCGGCTCTGTCACCCTGCAGGGCAGAGGGGTCTCTGCAGCTGTGTTAGGGGCCCCACGGCTCCCGCTGGCCAGAGACCCACACTGCTGGCCTTGAGGCCAGGGGAAGGTGCCAGGAGCCAAGGCGTGCTTGAAGCTGGGAAAGGCCAGGGAATGGACTTTGTCCTGGAGCCTCGGAAGGAGCCGGCCACACTGGACTGCTGAACAAAGCTGTCACATAATAAACGTGATGCTTCAAGCCACTATGTTTGCGGTGATTTGTGCATGGCTGCCATGGAAAACGCGTGCCTGGATTAGCCCCGTTTTGTGTTGAAGGAACCTGCTGAGGGAGGCCCCGCTGTGTTAACCAGAGCTGGAAAAACTCAGGCCAACAGTTCCTGGCCCTCAAGATCAGTGAGGGCCTAGTGGAATGCAAAGGTGCGGCGGCCCCTTTAAGAGCACGAGGGGGCGGGGCGAGCCGAGGCGGCAGCAGTTGCCTGGAGATTGGAGCTGGGTTTGGGAGGAGGACGCTGAGCCTGTGGTCCTCCCAAGAACCCGGCCCCAGCCCCAGCCCCGTGTGGGACCCTGACGACCAGGGTGGGCTGCTTCCTCTCCCCAGCAGGCTGAGCTGGTGCGTGAGGGACGAGGGCCGCTGCTGGGGACCCCAACAGCCTGGCGCCCCAGCTCTGAGGACACTGGGGGCTACCTAAAACCTTTTCCTGATCCTGGGAGAACAGGAAGAGCAGAAATAAAACTCCAGGTGAGGGTGGAATCTGCTTTCTCTGGAGCTGGGATGTCACTGGTGGAGGCCGCAGATGGGGGTAGGGGGAGGCTTGCCAGCAGTGGGACTGGACTGGCTGGTGGGGGCCGCTCCGGAGGGCCCTGCTGGCCAGGGTGGTTGTGGCCGGCCAGTTTTATAGGCCGTGGAGGTGGGGGCTTTGGGAGCCCGCCCGCAGCTGTGGCCTGGCCAGGTGGTCCCTGGACAAGAGGTGCTCTAGGGAGCAGGCAGCCGGTGGCTTTGAGTTCAAAAACAGGCAGGTGACGAAATAATCCCTCAGTTGATCAGCCAAGCCCCAAGTGCTTAAGCGGTGCCCTGGGTCTACCCTGTTGAACCCCTGTGATAACATGAGGTATCATTCCTGAGGGAGAGGACGTTACTAAACAACTGGCTTAAGAACGTAGCTGCAGGTTAAGCACCCCATATGGGTGCTCCACTTCGGATCCAGCTCCCTGCTGATGCGCCTGGGAAAGCAGTGGAAGATGGCCCAGGCGCTTGGGCCCCTGGCACCCACATGGGAGACCTAGGTGGAGTTCTAGGCTCTTTCTCCAATGTGGTTGACCTGGAAGAAGCTCCGGGTTCCTGGCTTTGATCTGGCCCAGCCCTGGCCATTGCAACCATTTGGGGAGTCAACTAGCAGATTGATAGGGATCTCTTCTCCCTCTCTGTAAGTCTGCCTTTCAGATAATAAATATCTTAAAACACACACACACACACATACACACACAGAGCTTGAGACAGGTGGGATGCTAACCTGAATCCTACCCTAGAGCAGCGTACAAGGCCACCTGCTAAGTGTGAATGGGCACAAGAGTTGAGCTGTTAAGTAGCCATTTTTCTGAGACAGTGTCACCCTTTCTGCAACACTGAGAAAAATACTATCCACTGGAGACAAGTTTTTAGGAACAACCAATGCAGTATTGATACTGTAGTTTTTTATTTTCATTTTTTAAAATACTTTGAGAGGCAGAGATAGGGATCTTCCATCCACTGGTTCACTCCCCAGATGGCCACATCGGCTAGTGCTGGGCTGATCAGAAGCCAGGAGCTTCTTCCAGGTCTCCCATGTGGGTGCAGGGGCCCAAGCACTTGGGACATCCTCAGCGGCTTTCCCAGGCTGTAAGCAGAGAGCTGGGTTGGAAGAGGAGCAGCCAAGATTCAAACCAGTGCCCACGTGGGATACTGCAGTCAGAGGCCTAACCTAGTACTCCATAGCGCCGGCCCCTGTAGTAGTAGTAGTAATTAGTAGTAGTAGTAGTAGTAGTAGTAGTAGTAGTATTTGACAGAGTGGATAGTGAGAGGGAGAGACAGAGAGAAAGGTCTTCCTTTTGCCGTTGGTTCACCCTCCAATGGCTGCCACGGCTGGCGCGCTGCGACCGGAGCACCGCGCTGATCCGAAGCCAGGAGCCAGGTGCTTCTGGTCTCCCATGGGGTGCAGGGCCCAAGCACTTGGGCCATCCTCCACTGCCTTCCCGGGCCATAGCAGAGAGCTGGCCTGGAAGAGGGGCAACCGGGACAGAATCCGGCGCCCCGACCGGGACTAGAACCCAGTGTGCCGGCGCGGCTAGGCGGAGGATTAGCCTGTTGAGCCGCGGTGCCAGCCAGTATTAGTATTATTTTTAAAGATTTATTTATTTATGTGACAGAGAGAGGGAGGGCCCTTCAATGCACTGGTTCACTCCCCAAATGGCCAAATCAGCCAGGCTGGAGCCAGGAGCTTCATCCGGGTCCCGCACATGGGTGGAAGGGACCCAAGAACTTGGGCCATCTTCCACTGCTTTCCCAGGCAAGAAGCACCACAACACAGGCCCCCATATTCTTATTTTTATGAACTGATGATACTTGTCATTTTTTTCCCCGGACTTTAGGAAGAGAATACTGACTGTGCATTGTAAAGCTAAAATGTTAACGACAAGTGAATTCCAAGTGTTTAGAGACGTGGTTTTGTGTTTCAGGTAAGACCTATCAGTGGTTTGAACAACTGGGGGCGTCGCTGGCTGTTTCTGTGCATTTGACGTCAACGCGAGGCAATGGTGAAAGAGAAGAAGAAGGCAGACAGGAAAGGAGACAAGCCCACCCGCTCTCCCTCGTCTCTCTCTGATTATCCAGAGTTCCCGAAGCAAGATGGCAGCGCCATCAGGCCCGAAGTGGCCCCAGGTGTCACCCCAGTGTTGGGTACGACACTCAAGGCACCCAAAAAAGATTCTAAAAATGCGCAGCAGAACGAAGACGCCGCTCAGTACGAGGAGCCGATCCTGACCAGACTCATAGTGGAAAGGTGATTGCGATGGGGCAGCTTTGGGGAGCGGGCTTTGCTTCAAGGTCAGGGTTCGCCGACGCCTCTGTGGCCGTCCCACGGCTTCTGCAGCTCAGAAGGTGACTCTACTTTCTTTTTTTTTTTTTTTTAATTTATTTTTATTTTTATTTTTATTTTTTTTTATTTTTATTTTTTTTTGACAGGCAGAGTGGACAGTGAGAGAGAGAGACAGAGAGAAAGGTCTTCCTTTGCCGTTGGTTCACCCTCCAATGGCCGCCGCGGCCGGCGCGCTGCGGCCGGCGCACCGCGCTGATCCGATGGCAGGAGCCAGGAGCCAGGTGCTTTTCCTGGTCTCCCATGGGGTGCAGGGCCCAAGCACCTGGGCCATCCTCCACTGCACTCCCTGGCCACAGCAGAGGGCTGGCCTGGAAGAGGGGCAACCGGGACAGAATCCGGTGCCCCGACCGGGACTAGAACCCGGTGTGCCGGCGCCGCAAGGTGGAGGATTAGCCTATTGAGCCGCGGCGCCGGCCCTTTATTTTTTATTTTTTGACAGGCAGAGTGGACAGTGAGAGAGAGAGACAGAGAGAAAGGTCTTCCTTTGCTGTTGGTTCACCCTCCAATGGCCACCATGGCCGGCGCACCGCTCTGATCCAATGGCAGGAGCCAGATGCTTCTCCTGGTCTCCCTTGGGGTGCAGGGCCCAAGCACTTGGGCCATCCTCCACTGCACTCCCGGGCCACAGCAGAGAGCTGGACTGGGAGAGGGGCAACCGGGACTAGAACTCGGTGTGCCGGTGCCGCAAGGCGGAGGATTAGCCTAGTGAGCCGCAGCGCCGGCCAGCGACTCTACTTTCAAAGGAGATGTGGTTGTGTGTCTGGGGCTGCCTCAGCCTCAGGCAGGTCTTGGGGTGGGGGACTGTGTCCTCCATGGTCTCCTTTTTTCTACCACTTTTATTTTTTTTAAAGACGTATTTGTCTGAACGGCAGAGTTAGAGAGAGAGAGAGAGAGAGAGAGAGAGAGCGCGCGCTTCTATCCACTGGCTTGCTCCTCAAATGGCTGCGATGGCTGGAGCTGAGTCAATCCGAAGCCAGGAGCCTGGCGCTTCTTCTGGGTCTCTCATGTGGGTGCAGGGCCCCAAGCACTTGGGCCATCTTCCACTGCTTTCCCAGGCCACAGCAGAGAGCTGGATTGGAAGAGGAGCAGCCTAGACTTGAACTGGCACCCAAATGGGATGCCATCACTGCAGGTTGAGGCTTTAACCTGCTGTGCCACAGTGCCAGCCCCACCAATTTTATTAAAAAGATGTATTTTGGGGTCAGCGCTGTGGTGTAGTGGGTAAAGCGGCTGCCTATGGTGCCAGCATCCCATATGGGCACCAGTTTGAGTCCCAGCTGTACTACTTCCAATCCAGCTCTTGGCTATGGCCTGGGAAAGCAGTGGAGGATGGCCCAAGTCCCTGGGCACCTGCACCCACATGGGAGACCCAGGAGAAGCTCCAGGCTCCTGGCTTTGGATTAGCCCAGGTCTTCCCGTTGCAACCATTTGGGGAATGAACCAGTGGATGGAAGACCTCTCTCTCTCTCTACCTCCATCTTTGCCTCTCTTTAACTCTGCCTTTCAAAAAAATAAAAATACAGAGATTTATTTGTATTTATTTGAAAGGCAGAGTCACAGAAGTAGAGACAGACACACACACACACACACACACACACACACAGAGGGAGAGTTTCCATCCTCTGGTTCACTCCCCAAATGGCTGCAATGGCTGGAGCTGGACCAATCTGAAGCCAGGAGCCAGGAGCTTCCTTTGGGTCTCCCACGTGCGTGCAGGGACCTAACCACTTGGGCCTTCTTCCACTGCTTTCCCAGGCGCATCAGTAGGAAGCTGGATTGGAAGTGGAGCAGCCGGGGCTTAAACCCCCATATGGGATGCCAGCGCTGCAAGCCGGGGCTTTAACCTGCTGTGCCACAGAGCTGGCTCCTTTTCTAGCACTTTTAGGTTCTCTGTTCTCTTTGCAACTTTTGTTAAATTTTTTTTAAATTATCTTTAATAGTTATTCCTTTTTTTTTTTTTTTGACAGGCAGAGTGTACAGTGAGAGAGAGAGACAGAGAGAGAAAGGTCTTCCCTTGCCGTTGGTTCACCCTCCAATGGCCGCCGCTGCAGCCGGCGCACCGCGCTGATCCGATGGCAGGAGCCAGGAGCCAGGTGCTTTTTCCTGGTCTCCCATGGGGTGCAGGGCCCAAGCACCTGGGCCATCCTCCACTGCACTCCCTGGCCATAGCAGAGAGCTGGCCTGGAAGAGGGGCAACCGGGACAGAATCCGGCGCCCCAGCCGGGACTAGAACCCGGTGTGCCGGCGCCGCAAGGTGGAGGATTAGCCTATTGAGCCACGGCGCCGGCTAATTATCTTTAACAGTTATTTCTAAAAAATATTTTTTCTATTTTATTTGAAAGACAGAAGTCGTCCCTATCTGCTGGTCCACTCCCCAAATGCCCACAACATCCCCTCCTCTCTCCTCCCCTCTTCTTTCCCCTCCCTGCAGTGGAGCCACAGAGAGAAAGGAAGACAGACAGAAGTCTTCCATCTAATGATTCACTCCCCAAATGCCCTCAATGGCCAGGGTGGGTCAAGCTAAAGCCAAGAACTCCACCCAGGTCTCCCATGTGAGTGGTACTCAAGACTTCTTCCACTGCTTTCCCAGATGCATTAGCAGGGAGCTGGATCAGAAGTGGAGCAGCCGAGACTTGAACCTGTGCTTACATGGGATGCCGGCGCTCAGTGCTGGTCTCCCACACGGATGTCCTTGAGCCATGACCTGCTGGCTCTGAGGTTGCACATCAGTGGGAAGCTGGAATCAAAAATGGAGCTAGGACTTGAACCCAGGCACTCCAACAGGGGACGTGGGTGTCCCAAGTGGTGGCTTAGCTGCTACACCAGATGCCTGCTCTGTCTTACTAATTTTTGTTGATTGTCCAAACATCAATAAGGTCGCTAAGTCAGTAATGAAGAGTAAAATCCTTTTGCTGTACTTTGCTTTGTTCCTTTTCTTTGTGTGTGTGTATATATATATATATATATATATATTTTTTTTTTTTTTTTAAGATTTATTTTTTATTTGGTTCATTCCTGGTTCATTCCCCAGGTGGCTGCAATGGGTGAGGCTAGGCCAGGCCAAATCTGGGAGCCAGGAGCTTCTTCCAGGTCTCCCACATGGGTGCAGGGGCCCAAGCACTTGGGCCATCTTCTGCTTTCCCAGGCGGATTAGCAAGGAGCTGGATCAGAAGTGGCGCAGTTGGGACCTGGACCGGAGCCCACATGGGATGCTGGCACTGCAGGTGGTAGCTTAACTCATTATGCCACAACACCTGCACCAACATACTCATATTTTTTTTAAAGATTTATTTATTTGAAAGTCAGAGTTACACAGAAAGAGAAGGAGAGGCAGAGAGAGAAAAGAGAGGTCTCCCATTGGTTGGTTCCCTCCCCAGTTGGCTGCAACAGCCAGAGTTATGCCAATCCGAAGATAGGAGCCAGGAGCACTTGGGCCATCTTCTACTGCTTTCCCAGGCCATAGCAGAGAGCTGGATCAGAAGTGGAGCAGCTGGGATTTGAACTGGCACCCATATGGGAAGCTGACACTGCAGGCGATAGCTTTACCTGCTACGCCACAGCGCCGGCCCCCATACTGGTATTTTTAAAAGGGCATATTTACATATTTCTTAATCAAAAATGTTTTATCATGGTAAAATACACGTATCATGTGATTGACTGTTTCGATCATTTAAGGCGTGTGACCCAGTGGCATTAAATGCGTTCACGACGTGTACAGCCGTCATCGCTGCCTGTTTCCAGAGTGTGTTCATCACCCCAAACACGAAGTCCTGTGATTGCACATCCACTCCCTCTCCCAGCCTCCTCCCAGAGCCCCACCCACCCTCTCTCGGGATTACCTGTCACCTGGGTTCACCTTGAACTTCTTTCTTTGTAGCTACGAGGGGGAGAAGGTGCGGGGACTGTACGAGGGAGAAGGCTTCGCGGTCTTTCAAGGAGGCTGCACCTACCACGTGAGTCAAGCAGGGCCTGCATGGGGTCTGCAGGCTGGGGAGCCGGGGTGGGCACACAGGGCGGCTCATTGCGGGGACCTCATGCTGATCTTATTTTGAGCCCTGGTTGCATATTTAAGGTAAAAATACAGCTCGGTGTAACGCAAGTGATCTGAAATTGTAATTCTTCTTTTCCTGATTTTTCAAAAAAATTATTTGGATCTTCTATTAGATGGAAGATCCCTCTCTGTCTCTCCTTCTGTCAGTGTAGCTGTTGCCTTTCAAATAAACAAGTAAAATTTAAAATTTATTTGAAAGGCAGAGACAGACGGACGGAGAGAGCTCCTATCCAATGGTTCACGCCTCAAATGCCTGCAACAGCTGGGGCTGGGCCAGGCCAAAGCCAGGAGCCGGGAGCTCAACCTGCTCCCCACTTGGGTGTCGGGACCCAAAGACTTGAGCCGTGACCCGCTGCCTCCCAGGTGCGGGTCCTGAGCAGGAAGCCGAAATGACAGGGGAGCTGGGACTTGAACCCAGGCACTCTGATGGGGGATGTAATTTTTGTTTATTGTGCAAACCACAGCGAAGTCAGAGTATTGAATAAAATCTCCATCACCATCTGCTCGCCATAAATGGGCTCAGTTTGCTAGGTTCCTTTTTTGAGTATATTAATATTTTTACACGGGCATATTCATTTCTTTTCACTAGTTAATCTCAGTATTGCTGGGTGGGTTCCAAGTTTCATGTATTTATTTGAGAAGTGGTGGGGGTGAGACCACATAGAGAGCTGTGCTGTTTCACTCCCTAAATGGCTGTGATGGCTGAGGCTGGGCCGAGCTGGAGCTAGGAGCCAGCAACGCAGTCCAGAGCCAAATCACTTGAGGTGTCGCCCAGTGCCTCCCAGGGTTTTGCACGAGCAGGGAGCTGGTTTCCGGAGTTGGAGCCAGCCAGCAGGCATGGTCGCAGACGTGGGGTGCAGGTGTCCCTACTGGTACCCCACCTCCTGGGCCAAACACCCACCCGGGCAATACACTTGGAAGACCCTTGCAGAACTGCCAGGTGCAAGGTTTAGGGAACTGGGTACTGGTGGGCCCTCCGTCGGTCCTTCTGAGAACTGGACAGCAGAGCATGTTGCCAGCCCACCAGGGCTCTCCTGCCGACGCCCACCCGCAGACAGCACGTTGGTGAAGGCAGGCGGCAGGGGGCAGGGCTCCACATGGAGACCGAAGGCCGGGTCTGCAGGTCTGGCACAGAATGACCGGCTCCATTCCAAGGGTGCTCTGCTTTGTCTTGCAGGGGACGTTCTCAGAAGGTCTTATGCACGGCCAGGGGACTTACATCTGGGCCGATGGACTGAAATACGAGGTAAAGCGTGGCGGCCGACGGCTGGCGGGTGGAGCTTCATGGCCGGGTTCCCGCAGTCAGGCTTCTTGTGTCACTAAGGGAACTCAGCGCGGGGGTCAGAGGCCACGGGGCTGGCGAGCGTGCAGGGCCTACGAGTGTCCTCAGCATGCCGTGTGAACGTGAGGGCCCTCCAGGAGGTTCCTGGGGCATGGAATCAAAGGAGAAGTTTAGAGTTTATTTTGGTGCAGAAAAAATTATTTTAATCCACACATCCTGCGTGTCCATGAATTTTTTGAAGACCCCACATGTAGCCCCTCCCACTCCCTACAGAGACAGATGGTGTACCATCCCTCTGTGTCTTTTTTTTTTGTTCGTTTGTTTCAAAGATTTATCTTTTATTTAAGACAGTCACAGAGACCATCCATCTGCTGGTTCACTCACCAAATGGCCGCATCGGCTAGGGCCAGGCCAGGCTGAGGCCAGGAGCTTCATCCAGGTCTCCCACGTGGGTGCAGGGGCCCAAGGACTTGGGCCATCTGCTGCCTTCCCAGGCACATTGGCAGGGAGCTGGATGGGAAGTAGAGCAGCCGGGACTGGCACCCAGATAGGCTGCCAGTATTTCACGTGACAGCTTTATCTGCCACGGCACAGGGCCGGTCCCATCCTCTGCATCTCATCCAGCTCCAGCTCTGTTTACCGGCTTTGTGTTCTACCATGTGGGTTTCGCTGACCCCATCTTGCTGGGGTGGGGGGCGGGGAAACATGTATTTTTTTTTTTTTTTTAAGATCTATTTATCTGAAACGGTTACAGCAAGAGAGGGAGAGACATAGCGCGGAATCTTCCATCCGCTGGTTCACTCCCCAGATGGCTGCAGTAGCTGGGGTTAAGCCAGGCAACAGCCAGGAGTGAGGAGCTCCTTCCAGGCCTCCCACACAGGTGCAGGGGCACAAGCACTTGGGCCATCTTCAGCTAGTTTCCCAGGCCATTAGCATGGAGCTGGATGGGAAGTGGAGCAGCCAGGACGCAAACCAGCGCCCATATTGGGATGCTGGTGCTGCAGGGGGGCCCCTACCCGCTGCACCACAGCGCCAGCCCCGAGAGCCGTTGTTGCCGGCCCTCCAGTCCCCACCCCAGTCCTCAGGAGAGTTCATGGGCAGGATTCAGGCTCGCACAGAAGCATCCTCGCAGTGCTCAGCCACCTCGTGCCAACCGGCCAGTGGTCAGAGCAGGCTGCGTGGCCTCTTCCTCTGCAGACTGGCTGCTTCTGGGGGGTTCTGGTTCCTGGGAGGGAAGCAGAGGCCCCGGGCCCGGGGTGTCGGGTGCGTGCATTGTGCTAAGCCATGGGCCGGAACCTCGGTGCGGGGGTGGGGCAGGGCGTCCTTCAAGGTGGGTTCCAAGAACCAAAGTTCCTGAGGTCAGGATCTGAAGCCGCCGCCTTAGCACGTGGCCCTCTGGCTCCCTCGAGCTTCATCCGCACACAACCTTCCGGGGGCTGTGTTCCATCTGGGCTTCCACCCAGAGGAGGGGCTCGGGTGAGGGGCGCGGGGAGCAGAGGAGGAGGGCGGGCAGGGTATTCGCGGGGACAGTGGCCGCGCCTGCTTCCTGTCACCTCAGCCTTCCTCCCGCAGGGGGACTTTGTGAAGAATGTGCCCATGAACCACGGCACGTACACGTGGCCCGACGGCAGCGTGTACGACGGGGAGGTGGTGAACGGCAGGAGAAGCGGCTTCGGCATGTTCCAGTGCAGCACGCAGCCCGTGTCCTACGTCGGCCACTGGTGCCACGGCAAGAGGCACGGCAAGGTGGGCAGGGCGGCCACGTGCCGGGGAGGGCGGCCAGGCTCTGTTTCCCGTGGCCTGAATCGTTCCGGAGCTTCCAGCTCACGTCCGTTCACGGTGCCACATGGCTGCCTCCTACGACCCGCCCCAAGACGTTTTCCTCAGCCCGGAAGGAAACCCAGACCTGTCAGAGGTGCCTCCCTCTCGTCCCAGGTGCCCCAACCTTTTACAGCTCTGATACACCCACAGAAGCAGATGGGTGGAATCTGACCCACGATCGGAAGTCCCTGCAGGGGTCACCGCCCGCGACCCAGGTCGAGCTCCAACCACGGGGAAGCCAGGGCAGGAGCAGGTGTGGGCGACCCTGGGGCGTCCCGGGTGTTCTGGCTCCTCAGGCCTTTTCATCTGAACGGCACAGATGACCAACCCCAGCGCCTCTGCGCTTCGTGCCGTGCTGGTTTCCTGACAGGTGGAGCCCGCAGAGGGGGTAAAGCCAGACCTCAGACCCCCAGTGTCCGTGCACCCAGGGCCGTCTGGGCTCAGGGCTGGAAAGGGACTGAGGATGTAACCAGGCCCCGAGTCAGGAGACGAGCCGTGTGGCTGAGCCGTGGCCGCACCCTGGCCTCCTCACTGAGATGGCCGTGGCCCCTGGGCAGCGCAGGCTTTCCCGGACCGTGGGTTTTATGTCACACGCTGGGCAGGGTGGAGTGGGGTGGGGCGGAGTGGAGAGGGGAATGGCGACTTCCAGACGGGAGCATCTCTGTGCCTGAGAGCGTGGAGCAGGAGAGAAACCGCAGGCGGGCACGCAGGGAGGGACGACCCTGCTGAGAAGCCAGCTGGTGCAGACCCAGGCAACCCATGCCCCTTGCCATGCCCCAAGGCAGGTGTCAAAACCAGTGACAGGAAGGTGACCGTGGCTCCCAGCACGGAGTGGTCATCAGTGAGTGAGAAGGCACGACTGCCCACTCCAGGTGTTGCTAGGCCGTCACAGGCGAGTGACTTCATTGCATTCTCCCTTGATGGGAATACTTTGCCGTTTTCTTTTTTTTTTTAAAGATTTATTTATTTAAAAGTCAGAGTTACACAGAGAAGGAGAAGCAGAGAGAGAGAGAGAAAGGTCTTCTATCCACTGGTTCACTCCCCAGTTGGCCACAGAGATCGGAGCTGTGCCAATCCGAAGCCAGTAGCTTCTTCCGGGTCTCCCACGCAGGTGCAGGGGCCCAAGGACTTGAGCCACCTTCTACTGCTTTCCCAGACCACAGCAGAGAGCTGGATTGGAAGTGGAGCAGCTGGGACTTGAACTGGCGCCCATATGGGATGCTGGTGCTGCAGGCAGCGGCTTAACCCACTGGGCCACAGCACCGGCCCCTTGCCGCCTTCTTCATTGCAAAGCAGACACATACGGGCTTCCTGTCCTGCCGCGGCAGGTGCCTGTTAGGACCGCGTGCACATCAGGGAGCTTTGTTGTACCTGGTGACGTTCTCTATTTCAGGGCACCATCTATTACAACCAGGAGGGCACCTCCTGGTACGAGGGTGACTGGGTGTACAACGTGCGCAAGGGCTGGGGGATACGGTGGTACGTATGGGGGCCGCCGCCCTGGGGGTCTGTGGGTCCGGACGGGCTACGTGGGCTCCCCAGGGATGAGGTGTAGTGGTTCCAGAGAGCACTGTTGCTCTCTCCAGGCAGGGCACAACACTCAGTGAGTGATTTGATTTTTTTAAAAAAAATATTTGGAAAGCAGAGTTAGAGATGCAGAGACAGAGAGGGAGAAGGGAGGGAGAGAGACAGGGAGAGGGAGATGTCTTCCATCCACTGGTTCACTCCCCAAATGGCCCTCATGGCTGGAGCTGGGCTGATCTGAAGCCAGGAGCCAGGAGCCTCCTCCGGGTCTCCCACATGGGTGCAGGGGCCCAAAGACTTGGGCCATCTTCTACTGCTTTCCCAGGCCATAGCAGAGAGCTGGATCGGAAGTAAAGCAGCTAGGACTCGAACTGGCACCCGTATGGGATGCTGGTGCTGCAGGCGGCGGCTTTACCCGCTATGCCATAGCGCCAACACCACTTGATTTATTTTTAAAGATGTATTTACTGAAGAGTTGCACACACACACAGCGCTTCCATCTGCTGGTTTACTCCTCAGATGACCACAAAGCCCCTGGGCTGGTCCAGGCTGAAGCCAGGAGCCCAGAGCCCCATACAGGTCTACCGTGTGGGTAGCAGGGGCCCAAGAATCTCCTCTGTCGTCCCCCTCCCTGTCTCTTCCCCCTCCTCCACGTGGGTGGCGGGGGCCCAGGCACTTGAGCCATCACTGGAATCTGGATTGGAAGTGGGGCAGGTGGGACTCGAACCCGTACTCCCATGAGACGTGGGCGTCCCAGGTAGCAGCGTAACCCACTGCCCCACAGTACGCAGCTGAACAGGGAGTTACTTTGAGAAGGATGAAGAAACCCTGCTCTTCCTCCTCTGCGACCTTACTGAGTAAGGAGCCGGTTTCCTAAACTGACTCGTTCTGCTCCTAAAGGCCAACCACACCCCAGTCCATGGGCTTAAAGTGCAGGGCGGGCTGCCTGTGTGCTGGGGGCAAGAGCTTGACCCTGTTCTCTGGTTGCCCCAGTTACAGATCGGGAAACATTTACGAAGGCCAGTGGGACAACAGCCTGCGCCACGGCGAGGGCAGGATGAGGTGGCTGACGACCGGCGAGGAGTACGCGGGCCAGTGGGACAGGGGTGTCCAGGTGGGTGCGGCTGTGGGCGCAGGGTGGGGAGGGGAGGGGGGATGCCGTGCTGCCCCTCACATCCGTGCCGTCTCAGCCCGAAACGGGAGCTTTGCTAAATGTGGGAACTCGGGGGCCTACTGGTTGCTCTCAAACGCATTTCCTTGTTGATTTGTATTTTTAATCAAAACTATTTGAGAGGCCGAGAGATAGAGACATCCACTGGTTCTCTCTCCAACTGCTGATGGCAGCTGGTGGGGGTGGGGAGCACAGCCGGGCACCAGGCACCCAGTCCCAGCCCCCGTGTGGGCGGCAGGGTCCTGCCTAGTGGAGTCCTCTCCGTTGCTGCCCAGGGTCGCCTGCCCCTGGACGCGCTGCTACAGCGGTCTCATTGTTGGGCTCCTCCCGTGGTCTCTCACCCAGGCTGCCTGTGTGGAGCTCATGAGTGCGTGTGGCTCCTGTGAGCACCGGGACTGTCGCACCTTTGAAACCACTAGCTTCTTGTAGTTTGTCTTAGACATTGATCTGGTAAGCTGGGACCTTGATGATCTCATAGCATAGTTTCACGTTTTTGTTTATAAGATTCTAGGGCAGTCGCACAGGCACGTGTGGTCAACTCTGCACGTTTCTAATCCATGTGTGGTTCTCCCCTTGGCCCGTTGCTCGGCCAGGAGGAGGGCCCGTGCTGCTGCTGTTGTCTGCAGGGAACACTCCATGCGCCTTCAAGGGTGGCTTAGCTGTCGGTTTTTCGTAGATGCCCGCTGTCGGGTTCAGGCCGCCCTCTCTGGTTCTCCACCTGCTTCCATTGTTTTCTGTGAGTGGGTGTTGGGCTCTGCCTGGTGCTTTCCCTGCCCCGGTCAGATGGCCACGTGGCGTTCTCCAGGCTGCAGATGAGTGGGACAGCACCGACGGAGCTGCGAATGTCGAGCCAGCCTTGCGTTCCGGGGACGCCTTCTTGGTCCTGATGCTGTTTTCCCTCTGCACATCTTGCGGGATTCAGGTTCCTGATGCTTGGCTCAGCGGGGGTGTCAGTCTGCAGTCTCTTTCCCAGTGATGTCTTAGTGAGGTTCTAGTCATCAGGATGGTGTTGGGAAGTGTTGACTTCAGTTTTCTGTCTTCTGGATGTGCCAGGGAATCAGAGTAATTATAAAGTCCAGCGTCCTTAGTACACGATGTGCTATTTAGGTCATCTGTTTCTTTTTTTAAAGTGTATTTTATTTACTTAACCGCTGTGGCAAACACCTGTTCCAGTACTTTTTTTTTTTTTTAAGATTTATTTATTTCGTTTGAGAGACAGAGATTGATCTTCCATCCACTAGTTCACTCCTTAAATGGCAGCAATGCCCAGAGCTGCACAAGATGGAAGCCAGGAGCCAGGAGCTTCTTCCAGGTCTCCCATGTAGGCGCAGGGGCCCAAGCACTCGGGTCATCTTCTGCTGTTTTCCCAGGCCAGAGCAGGGAGCTGGATCAGAAGTGGAGCAGTGGGACTTGAACCAGTGCCCATATGTGTTGTCGGCACTGCAGGTGGTGGCTTCCGCTGCTGCTCCACAGTGCTAACTCCCCAGTACTTCATTTATTTTATTTGACAGGCAGAGTGACAGAGAAAGATCTTCCATCCCCCTGGTTACCTCCCCAGATGGCCACAACAGCTGGGGTTGGGCCAGGCTGTAGCCAGGAACCCTCCTGGTCTCCCACATGGGTGGCAGGGGCCCAAGCACTTGGACCGTCCTCCACTGCCTTCCCAGGTCCCTCAGCAGGAAGTGGGCTCAGAAGTGCAGCCGTGAGAGCTCTAATAGGGGCGCTCGTGTGGCCAGCGCCTTCTGTCTGCTTGAGTGAGCTCTGGAGGCGTGTGCTGTTTAATGAACTGGCATCGGCCTGAAGCTGTACGTGGCACTGCCTTACCGTTCTCGTAGGTGGCATCTGTACTGCTCCCCCTCTCTCCTGGGATCAGTCACGATCGCAAAAGGCCAGTTTTGGTTTCATTGGGAGCCTCTGATGTTTCTGTTTCCAGCGGGGTTCTGCTTTGGTGGTACTGCTTTCTGGAAACTTTGATTTGAGACATTTCTTCTTTATTTAAAAAAAATTAATTAAAGACACATAGTAATTATATGAGAGTACTTCAAAAACTCGCGGAATGGTGGAATTCAAAGATGAGTTTATTTTGGTGAGCCGATGTCTAAGCATGGTGTTTTCGTAACACGTACTTTCCATAATCATTTAAATTCGGTGTGTGAGGGAGGGAGCGCTCCCGTCCTCTGCTGCACTGCCTCAGTGCCTCCGTGACCAGAACTGGGCCAGGAACCCCACCTGGGTCTCCCACGTGGGAGGTGGGGACACACGTAGTTGACCGTCCCCTGCTGCCTCCCAGGGTGCACGTTAGCAGGAAGCTGCAATCGGGGGTGGAGCTGCAATTCAAACCCAGGCATCCAGTGGAGGCTGTGGGCGTCCCAACAGATGCCAGCTGCCTGCCCCTCACCCAACTGAAGAAGACCCCTTGTGTTGTGTGGATTTCAGAATCTTTTTGCTCCCAAGTAGATCTTTCTGTGTAATTTCCCTGGACTTTATGGAGTGTCCTCCTGTTCAGAGTTCTTGCACATCTGTGGGTGGGCACTTGGGTGGCTTCCCCCCCCCCATGGCTGTTACGGATCACGCTGCTGTGAACACGCGTGTGCAGTTACCTGAGTCCCAGCTTTCAACTTTTAAAAGAAGATTTATTTATTTATTTGAAAGAGTAACAGAGGGAGGTGTGGGGAGAAACAGGATCTTCATATGCTGGTTGGTGCCCCAAATGGCCACACTAGCCAGGGCTAGGCCAGGCCAAAGCCGGGAACCAGGAGCTCCATCTGGGTGTCCCACATGGAGGCAGGGGCCCACGTGCTTGGGTCGTCATCCTCCATCTTCCCTGCTCATTGGCAGGGAGCTTGGATGGAAGCAGAGCGGCTGAGACCTGAACTCGCACTTGGACGTGGGACACCGGTATCACAATGGCAGCTTAACCACAACACGCCCCCAGAGGCTGTGTTCTCTGCCCTTTCACACTGTCATTGTTTTTAGCCTAGTTCTTTAAAATTCTTATTTATTTTAAAGGCAGGGAGACAGATCTTCAGTTCTCTGGTTTACTCCCCAAACAGCCACAACAGCCAAGGCTGGGCCAGGCGGAAGCCAGGAACCCAGAACTCATCCGAGTCGCCCAGGGGGGTGGCAGGAACCCGAGTCCTTGAGCCATCACCTGCTGCCTCCCAGTGTGCAGCATCAGGAAGCTGGGGTGGAAGTGGAGCGCGAACCCGGGCCTGGGTATCAGATCCGGGACGTGGGTCCCAAGCGGGGCCCCGACTGCTGTGCCACAAGCTCACCCACGTGTGCTCATGTTGTACGGATCCAGGTTAAAAAGAGGAAACCGTTGCACGTTTCTGATGGCGATTTGCTTCCTTTCAGAACGGCTTTGGGACACACACGTGGTTCCTGAAGAGGATCCCCAACTCGCAGTACCCCCTGAGGAACGAATACGTAGGGCAGTTCGTGGACGGGCGTCGCCACGGTCACGGGAAGCTCTACTACGCCAGCGGAGCCATGTACGAGGGGGAGTGGGTCTGCGACAGGAAGCACGGCGTGGTGAGTACAGGCGTGGCCAGGGACACGGGGAGGTGACGTCAGACGGGCGGGGACAGCTTGCGAATCGAATCGCGGATGACTGCTGTGTTGAGGCCGTTACATGAATTTTAAGATATCTGCCCACATCTTTTTTTTTAATTTTTTATGTATTTGAAGGTCAGAGTTACAGAGAGAGGGGGGAGGCAGAGAGAGGGAGGGAGAGGTCTTCTGTCCGCTGGTTCAGTCCCCAATTGGCCGCAACGGCTGGAGCTGTGCTGATCGGGAGCCAGGAGCTTCTTCTGGGTCTCCCACGCAGGTGCAGGGGCCCAAGGACTTGGGCCATCTTCTGCTGCTTTCCCAGGCCACAGCAGAGAGCTGGATCAGAAGTGGGGCAGCCAGGACTAGAACTGGTGCCCATATGGGATGCTGGCACTGCAGGCGACGGCTTCACCCGCTACACCATAGTCCCAGCCCCTGCCCACGTCTTGTGGTTTCCTGTGTATTTGGAGTTTATTTGGTTGTGTGAGTGCACGTTAGGATGGTTTTGCTCTCCTGTTACAATTCAGCCTTATCTGCCATCTGTAATAGCGTGGGCTTCAGGGTTGGTTACAGTCAACAACTCAAACATCAGCACTCCCCTCCTGCACACAGTACCTCCCCCTACTGCCCCAAGTCAGCTTTGCCCTCGGGTTGTTTGTCCTGCTCTCCTAATTGCCAGATGGCTGCCAGGACTCCAGGCCTCACACCCACATCCCACACTATGCAGAAGAGGAGACAGCCGCTGTCCATGACTGTCTTGCATCTCCCAGAGCTGAACTGGGTCACTTGCCTGCCTTTGAAACAGTGATTTGTGGCCTGGGTTGACAGACACCAGGAGGGTCCTGTGTCGTGTGACGGGCACTCGGCTGGTCACAGCATCAGGCACGAAGACTTGGGCATGACAGAGAGAGGTGAGGAGGGAAGTAGGAGGGGTGGGAAGAGGAGAGAGGATCTTCCATGAGACCTGGAGCCCAACCACAGGAGGCGGCTTCAAAACACTCAGGGGGGCCGGCGCCGTGGCTCAATAGGCTAATCCTCCACCTTGCGGCGCCGGCACACCGGGTTCTAGTCCCGGTTGGGGCGCCGGATTCTGTCCCGGTTGCCCCTCTTCCAGGCCAGCTCTCTGCTATGGCCAGGGAGTGCAGTGGAGGATGGCCCAGGTGCTTGGGCCCTGCACCCCATGGGAGACCAGGAAAAGCACCTGGCTCCTGGCTCCTGCCAGGATCAGCGCGGTGCGCCGGCTGCAGCGGCGGCCATTGGAGGGTGAACCAGCGGCAAAGGAAGACCTTTCTCTCTCTGTCTCTCTCTCTCACTGTCCACTCTGCCTGTCAAAAAAAAAAAAAAAAAAAAAAAAAAAAAAAAAACACTCAGGGGAAATGGAATCAGAAGATAAGTTTATTGTGGTTCGAGAAAAAAAATTTTTATCTATTTGAAAGAGTTAAACAGAGGGAGGTCTTCATCGCTGGTTCACTCGCTGGAGCTGGTCAGCTGAGCAGAGCAGACTCCCTCCTGCAGGGGCCCCGGCACTTGGCCATCAGCTGCTGCTTTCCAGGCACTTCAGCAGGGAGTGGGGTGGGAAGTGGAGCAGCCAGGATTTGAACCAGTGCCCACATGGGATGCTGGCGTCACGGGGTCAGCTTATCCCGCTGCATCACAACACCTCAAACTGTTTTGTAAATCCACAGCCATGTGGGATATTTAAAGTGTTGATAGAAATGCGTAGATTTCAGGAGGATTTTTCTTTGTACCAGAATCAGCTTTCATCTTAGCGCCCCTTTGCTGCAGCCTCTGCGGAGTCCCCTGATGCGTAGGGGAAGCCGAGGCTTCAGAACACACCAGCCGGAAGCTCCGAGCCCTTGGCAAGGCCGGCGCCTGCCACCCCGGGGTCCCGGGAGCGCCGCCCGCTGCTGCAAGCGCTCGCCTTCCTGTGTGCAGGGCCGGCTGACGTTCAAGAACGGGCGCGTGTATGAGGGCCTGTTCCACAGCGACCACATCGCCCACTTCGCCGAGCGTGAGGCCGACGTCCTGAGCGGCCCCGAGCTGCCCTCGGAGGCCACCGCGAGGTGCAGGCGGAGCCGGTCCTCCCTCAGCGCGGGTAGGAGCCTGCCTGCGGTGCAGGGCGGGGGGCGGCATTCGGCTTGGCTGCGTCCTTGACCAGGGGCCCTGGGGTCAGGTCCCAGTCTGCTTCCCGTGCCTCCTGCTCACGCGCACCTGGAGGCAGCAGGCCGTGCTGGCTCAAGCTTGCTGGCCAGCCCCACCCTTGGCCCCTCCCTTTTTCAATTGCTTTGAAAAAGAAAGAAAACAAATTACTTTGTTTTTAATCCATGGAGTCCAACTTGCAAATATCCCTACTGCCTCTGTTTCTCAGTCTTTTTTGTTTTATTAAAGATTTGAGAGGCAGAGTTAGAGAGAGAGAGATCTTCCATCTGCTGATTTTCTCTCTAAAAGGCCACAGTAGCCATGGCTGGGCGAACCCAGGAGCTCCGTGCAGGTCTCCCACACGGGTGCAGGGGCCCAGCACTTGGGCTGTCTTCCCCTGCTCCCCCGGGTGCTTCAGCAGGGAGCTGGATTGGAAGGGACAGCAGCCGGGACACCTATGAGGGGTACCAGTGCTGCAGGCAGTGGCTTAGCCGGGCCGCCACAGCGCCGGCGCCGGCCCCTGGGTCACAAGCTGGTGGGAGGTGGCTGTCGCGGGACGCTGGCCCTGTCACCTCGCTCCTCACTAGGACCCCCGCCCCCATGTGCCCTCACCCACCAGAAATCATCAGGAAGCTGGACGGCAGCGAGAGTCACTCCGTGCTGGGCTCGAGCGTGGAGCTGAACATCAGCCTGCTGCTGAGCAAGTACCCGAAGAAGGAGCAGTCCGAGGAGAGGCGGCAGGTGGGAGCCTCCCGCCGTAGCCCCGAGGCCGAGAGCCGCGGGTGTCCTGTGTGGGGTGACGGGCGCCTGCCTTCTGGGGTCCTGTCGGGGCGTGGCAGCCCCAAGCACCCCCACGCATCCCCACGCTCAGCTCTGAAGGCCGAGGCCGCGCAGCCTTCCTCCCACGCTCGGTCTGCTGTGTGGCCCCACGCACGGCTGTCTGGGGCCTGCGGGTGCACGGGACACGGCTTTGCATGACCGGTGCCTGCAAGCTCCTGCGAGGCCCTCAGAACAGCGGGGTGACGGCTGAATTCTGCATCTCTGGGACGCAGGGTCTTGCGGGCCAGCCTCACCCTCGCCCCTCCTTTGTTTCGTGGACGTGGAATCATCAGAGTGCAAGCAGGAGCTGGGCGGGGAGACCCTGGGTCTCATGAAACTTCATCTCACTTTCACGAGTGGTGCCAAGTCCAGACTTGCAGCCTTCAGCCCGGAGCTGTGGGGTGGGCCCTGAGCCTGTCACGTGGCACCTGGAGCTCGTGGGGTAGACCCCACGCCTGTCACGTGGCGCCTGGAGCTCGTGGGGTAGACCCCACGCCTGTCATGTGGTGCCTGGAGCTCTGGGGTGGACCCCGCACCTGTCACGTGGCGCCTGGAGCTCGTGGGGTGGACCCTGCACCTGTCACATGGCGGCCGGAGCTCTGGGGTGGACCCCGCGCCTGTCACTTGGTGCCCGGAGCTCTGGGGTGGACCCCACGCCTGTCACGTGGCGGCCTCGGGATGTGCTCTCTCTTCCCAGGGACAGAGTGCCTGTCGGAAACAGACGTTCTGTCTCGTCCAGGGCGTTTTCATGCAACTTTGCCCTTTAAGTCGTCTAGAGCAGTGACTCACTGCCCGACCTCCCTTCTCTCATCTGAAAGGCAGCGTCACAGAGACAGAGAGGTCTTCCTTCTGTGGTTCACTCCCCCGATGGCCACAACGGCCAGGGCTGGGCCAGACCACAGCCAGGAGGCTGGAACTTCCTCTGAGTCTCCCATGTGGGTGGCAGGGGCCCAAGCACTTGGGTCGTCTTCCACTGCTCTGCCCGGGCACGTGAGCAGGGAGCTGGGTCGGAAGTGGAAGAGCTAGGACTTGAGCTGGCGCCTGTATGGGATGCCGGGGCTGTGGGCGATGGCTTAACCGTTCCGCTGCCGTGGCGGCCCCTCAGAGCAGCCCCGCAGCCCAGGATCCGTCCCAGTCGAGGCTGATGTGGTGTCACTTTTGCGCACTGCTGGACTTGGTGCAGCTTGTCATGGCTTGTGCATCGGGGGCTGTCCCACAGCACGTTACCCGAGCAGACAGGTGTCGCGGTTGGCTGAGGGCCGCTCAGCAGCCTGGTCCCCCGCAGGTGGAATACGCTGTCCTGAGGAACATCACGGAGCTGCGGCGGATCTACAGCTTCTACAGCAGCCTGGGCTGCGACCACTCGCTGGACAACACCTTTCTCATGACCAAGCTCCACTTCTGGCGGTTCCTGAAAGACTGCAGATTCCATCACCACGGGGTCACTCTTGCCGACATGGACAGGATACTGAGTGGTGAGAACCTCGGGCCCCTCACATCAGTGCTCCTGCAACCTGCCGGAGGCCCCGAGGCACGGGGCAGGCGGGTGCCGGGGCAGGCGTCCCAGCCTTCGGTGTGGGGTCTGCTCCCGTGGTGATCTCGTGACACCACAGCAAGCAGGTGGGACGTCCACGGCCCGGCTCTCAACGTTGGCCACTGCCTGTCCTCTTGGTCTTCAGATGTGTTACTTTATTTGAAAAGTGGGGAGAGACAGACAGAATGAGAATCTTCCATCCTCTGGTTCAGTCCCCAGATGGCTACAATTGCTAGGATTGGGCCAATCTGAAGCCTGGAGCTTCTTCCAGGTTGCCTACGTGTGTGCAGGGGCTCGAGCACTGGGCCGTCTTCCGCTGCCTTCCCAGGTGCGTTAGTAGGGAGCCGGGTTGGAAGTAGAGCAGCTGGGACTTGAACTGTCACCCATATGGGATGCTGGTGCCGTAGGTGGCAGCTTAACCCACTGTACCACAACACTGGCCCCAAAATAATAAATCTTAAAATCGTTGTGGCCATTTGGGGAGTGAACCAGCAGATGGAAGATGTCTCTCTTTCTGTCTCTGCCTCTCAAATAATAACTAAATATTTAAAAAAAAAAAAACTTTGAAGGTTTTAGTCCTTTCATCTGAATTCTGGGAAGCAGAACAGAAAACCTCAAATCATCTACTTTTAAATTAAAATGTTTAATTTTTTTAAAGATTTATTTGAGAGCCGGCGCCGTGGCTCAATAGGCTAATCCTCCACCTTGCGGCGCCGGCACACCGGGTTCTAGTCCCGGTTGGGGCGCCGGATTCTGTCCCGGTTGCCCCTCTTCCAGGCCAGCTCTCTGCTATGGCCAGGGAGTGCAGTGGAGGATGGCCCAGGTGCTTGGGCCCTGCACCCCATGGGAGACCAGGAAAAGCACCTGGCTCTTGGCTCCTGCCAGGATCAGCGCGGTGCGCCGGCTGCAGCGGCGGCCATTGGAGGGTGAACCAACGGCAAAAAGGAAGACCTTTCTCTCTGTCTCTCTCTCTCTCACTGTCCACTCTGCCTGTCAAAAAAAAAAAAAAAAAAAAAAATTATTTGAAAGTCAGAGTTACACAGAGAGCAGAGAGGCAGAGAGAGAGAGAGAGAGAGAGGTCTTCCATCCGATGGTTCACTCCCCAACTGGCCGCACGGCTGGAGCTGCACCAACCCGAAGCTGGCAACCAGGAGCTTCTTCTGGGTCTCCCGCGTGGGTGCAGGGGTGGGTGCAGGGGCCCAAGCACTTGGACCATCTTCCACTGCTTTCCCAGGCCACAGCAGAGAGCTGGATCGGAAATGGAGCAGCCGGGTCTCGAACCGGCACCCATATGGGATGCCGGCGCTTCAGGCCAGGGTGTTAACCCGCCGTGCCACAGCACTGGCCCCAACATGTTTAATTTTTTAGATACCCACTTCCCACCAACTTAAGTGCTTGAAAATGACTCAGGGTCCATTTAGAACCAGCAGCACTGATCAACTGCGGCCCAGACCCCTCCGAAACCCTGGGACCAGTCAGGTTTCCTGTCCTTAACTGTTCACGTGGTACTTATCCCTTCGGTGGCTGCTCCAGGAAGTGAGCACCCTGGCATATTCAGTTCTTTGAATTGTGTGCCAGCAGCAAGTAAGGGTAGGTTCTGGAAGATACTAAGCGTGCTCCCTGATGTTGGGATTTCAGCCAACGACGACGACATACCGTTTGAAGAAATCCATTCTCCGTTCAGGACGATTCTTCTGAGGGCCTTCCTGAACTACCTGCTGCAGCTGGCCTACCACATTCACCACCGAGAGTACCAGTGAGCACGCGGGCGGCGGGCGGCTCCCCCGGGCCCTGGGGCGGCCTCCTTCCCGCAGCGCCTTCGCTTCGGCCTCTCCCTCTCCCTAGACGCTGGCTGACCCTGAGCTCCCGCTTAGCACGAGGGAAACCCTTGACGTCAGAGTCATCTCGGTACTGGTGACGGCTCCTGGGTCACAGCCAGCTCCCCCCACTTAGGTCGGACTTCCCTGTTTCCTGGAAGCAAAAGTGATATACACAGGCCTCTCAAGGAGCTGATTCTGAAATGATTTTGGACCCACGGGGTGTTGCCAGGGTAGCCCCCAGAGCTGCTGCACCCCCTCGGGCCAGCTCGTCTCCCACAGCCCTGGCACGTTTGTCTAGCGCCGCACGCCGCACTGTGCACTGTGCCGTGAGCCCCCTGTCTCCCCCGTCCGTGACGGTGTCCTGGACTTTGTCTTTCTTTCACGACACACTGGTCAGTGATGCTGTTACGTGTCACACCGAGGTCGTGGGTCTGGGGACGAATGCGGGGGAGGCGCCGTGTCCTCCTCCTCGTGCCCTAGCAGGGGGCTGAGACACGGATCCAGCGATCCCTGATGGAAGAGGGGTCTTCCTGCTGCACGCTTACTGTTCTGTCTACGCGCTCTCTGTTAGAGCAAAGTTCCCCGGGGGTGGGGACTCGGGGCCGTGGCCTGGCGGGAGGCTGACGCCGCCGTCTGACTCGCAGGAACAGAAGCCCCTCGCTCTTCCTGTGCTTCACCCGGCTGATGACCGAGAACATCCACCCAAACGCCTGCCAGGTCAAAGGTGAGCTCACGGGGCACGGCCGTCGGTGGCCGTCTCTCCGTCCCAGTCTGGGGGATTCTCGTCTTCCCTCCAGGCAATCTGTTCAGCGAGCCGCAGCGGACACTGTACTCGATGAACTACATCGATAAGTGCTGGGAGATCTACGCGGCCTACTGCCGGCCCGGTGCCGCCCCGCCCCACGAGCTGACCATGAGCGTGCGGCACTTCCTCTGGATGCTCAAGGTGGGGCTCTGGGCTGGGTTAGGAAAGGAGACGTTCTCGCTGTCACACACACACGAGGAGAAGGACCGGGGCTGGGTTAGGAAAGGAGAGGTTCTCACTGTCACACACACACGAGGAGAAGGACCGGGGCTGGGTTAGGAAAGGAGACATTCTCACTGTCACACACACACGAGGAGGAGGACCGGGGCTGGGTTAGGAAAGGAGAGGTTCTCACTGTCACACACACGAGGAGAAGGACCGGGGCTGGGTTAGGAAAGGAGAGGTTCTCACTGTCACACACACACGAGGAGAAGGACCGGGTGAAGTCTCACAGCCGCTCTGTGTGTCCCGGGTCTCCTGGCAGAAGGAACAGAGCCAGGGCCGCCTGCACCAGAGCACAGGGCAGGGGCAGCCGACTTGGCCAGCAGGAGGAAGACGGGAGTGTGAATGAAAGTCATTTCTAGAAATGACTGCGCATCAAAAAAGTGACTTGTAAAGGTTACCCTGGTTTGAAAAACAGCCACGCCTTATTGACACGAGGTCTAGCAATCACGGGCAGTTTGTTCCGTGACACCTGTAATTTGCACATGAATTGGGGCTGGGGTCTTACCCCGCTGTCTCTGTCGTTCACTCTCCCCCTTCTTCCTCCCTCAGAGTACGGCCAGCCACCCTGGCTCAGACCGCAGCTCTGCACCGGGGTTCCTCTGGTGTAGAGGCAGCGAGAGCCTTGGCTGTGCAAGATCCAGGTGTTTTGTGCTGTGCCAGGGCCACGGGTAGTTCTGGGCACTTACACTCTGAGTGGCTTCACGCAGTCAGCGTGGCCCCTGGCCTGGACGTCTCCCACGCACCTTCCACTGGAAACCTGAACACAGCCGTCCTCGCCTCTGGCACTGGGAGGGCATTGCACACCTGGGTCACCTGCTTCCCCACTTCTCTGTTGATGCCAAAAAACAAATACCAGGGAACCTGGCTGCTGCTTAGGGAAGGGACAGAGGTTAATGAGTGCCGGCCCAGAATGCTTTGCAGAACTACCAGTTTTTAAGATGCTTTTTGTGGCACATTTTCTTCAAGTTTTCTGTTGACAGGCGCCGACATGAAAGTGTACAGCTGTCTAAGTAGAGGCAGTGATCTCGACTCTTCCACAGGACTTCAAGATGATAAATAAGGAACTCACGGCAACCCGGTTCGTGGAGGTGCTGGCAGAGGATAACCCTTTCATCCACGACGGGATTGACAGCAACCTGGAACTCGAGGTTCGTGAACAGGGGTCGTGGTCACCAGTGGTGCGAACCCAAAGACCTAAAACCACACACCCGCCCTCGACTGCGGCAGATTCATCTTAGAAGGCTACTCAGGGAACAGTGACTAATACACCAACACCTCTGTTCTCTTCTGTTTCAGCTGGTTTTCCTGGAATTCTTTGAAGCTCTCTTGAGCTTTGCGCTGAGCTGTGTTACTGAACGAATGACCAGATCCTACTTAAACGTCTCCTACGATGATTTGTGTGGAAACAAAGATGGAACTATCCAGATAGTAGTCAATCAGGTAACAAATAATGTCTTGGAATTCACAGAGCAAGGAATGGGTTTCATTAAAACTATGTTGGGCTTTTGTATTTTCCCACATTTTGAAAGAAGTGGGTTGGGTTTCTTTTTTAAGTTATGGGAAGCGCACTTTCCCGTCAGGATCCAGGAAACAGATTCCTGGCCCCAGGAGTGGGAGGTGTCGTGGAGGTCGAGGACACACAGATGTGTGGGGTGGAGGTCGTGTGTACACAGATGTGCGGGGCGCAGGTCGCGTGCACACAGATGTGCGGGGCGGAGGTCGAGGGCACACAGATGTGCGGGGCGCAGGTCGCGTGCACACAGACGTGCGGGGCGGAGGTCGAGGACACACAGACGGGGGCGGAGGTCGCGTGCACACAGACGTGGGGGGCGGAGGTTGCATGCACACAGACGTGCGGGGCGGAGCACTGGACTGTAACGGGGATTTCTTACCATGAGCCGCTTCGCTGTGTGTATCGAGCGTTGGTGGAGTGGAAGGCCGGTCCCGGGTCCGAGCTGTCAAGGAGCAGTTCCTGAGTGCACAGGAAGCGCAGCCAGGCCTGGAGGACAGAGCTTGCCCGTATGGACAGACTGCAAGCCCGAGGCCTTGGCAGAGCAGGCGAAGGGTTGGCAACTTAGGAAGGGTCCAGACTCTAGGACAGTTGAAAAAGATCTTTGTTGATCTGCATTCCCAGTGAGTGGGCTGGCCTGAGCCCTACACTGCCCTGGGGCCTCCTGAGCCCCACGGCCACAGACACTCGGACGAGGGAGCTGCTTGCTTGCCTTTGTCCGAGAGGCGTCCCTCCCCATGAGCCCCTTGGATTCCTCGTGGGGAAGCCGAGAGCTTCGTGTTCCCACCAGGTGACCAGGTGGGCCTCCTGGAGGAGGAGGACGTGGCTGATGGCTTTGCTGAGTCGTCCGAGAGCCTAGTCCTGGCCCAGCCTGGACCTGGGGCTCTTCTCTGAGGGAGTGGGTGTCCACCTCGATGTCATCCACGAGTCCAGCAGCAGGGGTGTGCCGTGCTGCAGAGGGAGAGCAAGCTCTGCAGACCCTCAGAGACCGGACAGGTCACCGCAGAGCGAGACGGCATCAAACAGAAACCCAGTACCACAGCACCCAAAAATAAAGGCAGACGGAGAGTCCCGTCCAGTGGTAGTAGGCGGCCCGTTAGCAAAGTCTGGTCCTTGTCAACAGTGCCGAAACCGAGGACGGAGGCTGACCTGGGTGGTGGTGCTCGGTCAGGGTGGCCTGGGGCGTCTAAGGAGTGCAAAAGGAAGGCTGTGCCGCAGGGGACGTGGCCACCAGCAAGTCGGGACTGGGCGCACGTGGGTGCCAGAGCCAGTCGAGTTCCGCACGCGCTGGGCCCACAGGATCTTCTGCACAACTAGGCAGCTACAACGCATGCGGCTGGGACCTGGAGGAGGCCAAGCATTGTGCTGAGCCTGGGAGCGCTCCCTGAACCACGGCGCGGTCTGCTCGGCCTGGGGCCCGTGCCTACTGTGCCCCTCTGCACCCTGGGACAGCAGCAACTTCCGCTGCCTTCCTAAGGCCGCTGTCCGGGATTCACAGGCGAGCTTTGTTTCATCAGCCCAGCAGATAGCTGCTGTCCACCAGAACACCGCCAGGGGAAGAGGATGTAGCCAACTCAGTTACTTTCACCAATGCACCGAAGACCCTTAAAGCGACAGCATTAAACTGCACCCTGGATGAACGGGACTTTACAGACACTGTCAGAACATTTATCGGGGCCAGCGCTGTGGCTTCCCGGGTAAAGCCGCCACCTACAGAATATAAATTGTTCTCAACAGCACATGGAATGTTCTCCAGGATACCATCACGTAAACTAGGGCACAAAACATCTTGGCCTGTTAGAAGACTGAGAGGCGGGCAGGCCTGTGGTGTGGTGGTTCACGCACGGCACCAGACGCCCACAAGCTCCATCAGACTCTGCCTGGTTCAAGTCCCAGCTTCCCAGCCACTGATGCCTCAAGTGGCTGGGCCCCTGCAAGCCGTGCCGGAGACCTGGGCTGTTCTAGCTCCTGGCTCCCATCGGGCCCGCCCTGGCTGCGGCAGGCATCTGGGGCATGGGAGCTGGGTCTCTGCCTTTCGAGCCAACAACATTGTTAAGAATTTGAGATCACAATGAGTATGTTTTCCAGCCACAGTGCAATAAAGCTAGCAATCAGTAACCAGAAAAACAATGTAAACCACAGAAATGCATGAACATTAAACAGCTTACTGCTGAAGCCAATGGATGGAGAAGGAATTAAGAGGCAGGCGAAGTTTAGTCCTGCAGGTAGAGGCTGTGTCAGTCTTAGCACTGGCTTCTGACTCAGCTTCCAGCCAGTGCCGGCCCTGAGCGCCAGTGCCAACGGCTCAGGTGACTGCGTCCTGGCCACTGGTGTGGGAGGCCCGGAAGTGGAAACATGACCTGTTGAGACCTGTGAGGGCCAGCATTGTGGCACAGCGCGTTAAGCACCAATCCTGCAGTGCCGGCATCCCATTTGGGCGCTGGTTCTAGTCTCGGCTGCTCACCTTCTGATCCAGCTCTCTGCTGTGACCTGGGAAAGCAGTAGAAGATGGCCCAAGCCCTTGGGCTCCTGCACCCATGTGAAACCTGGAAGAAGCTCCTGGCTCCTGGTGTTGGCCTGGGCCTGGCCATTGTGGCCATCTGAGGAGTGAACTAGAGATGGAAGTTCTCTCTACTATTTCTCCCTCCAACTCTGACTTTCAAAATAAGTAAATCTTTGGAAAAAGATAACAAACCAAACCCCAAATTAGTAAAGAATTAATAATGAAGAGCAGAAATAAATGAGACTTAATATAAAAGAGAAATGAAAAAGGCCTGATTCTTCCAAAGAACACCAGCCCACATGGGATGCCGGCACTGCAGGCGGTGGCTTTACCTGCCATCTCACAACACTGGTGCCCCATTGTGAACTTCTGAGTATCCCTCATACCCTCAATACGTGTGCTGAAACAACACCTGGATACATTCAATACCACGTATCAGCGGGAAATAAGAAATGAGACCCTCCCACCTACCAAAAAAATGGGGGGGGGGGAGTGTTGGCAGAGCAGCTTAAAAACGTTGAGCTAACTAAATGCTGCCTACAAGAGAATTACTTTAGCTGCAGAGATAGAAACAGGATGAAAGGGAATGGATACAGAAGATGTCCACATCAAAAATAGTAACCAAAAAAGAACAGGGGTGACTATTAATATCAGGGAAAGTAAACTTTGTATCACAAAAGGTTACAAAAGACAAAGAACATTACATACAGCCCAGTACAGCAAGTAGATCTAGTAACTGCAGCTAGTAACGTGAAGCAGACACAGCACTGAAGGGAGGGAAAAAAAGGGGCCGGCGCTGCGGCTCACTAGGCTAATCCTCCACCTTGCGGAGCCGGCACCCCGGGTTCTAGTCCCGGTTGGGGCGCCGGTTCTGTCCCGGTTGCTCCTCTTCCAGTCCAGCTCTCTGCTGTGGCCCAGGAGGGCAGTGGAGGATGGCCCAAGTGCTTGGGAGGCCCAGGAAGAAGCACCTGGCTCCTGGCTTCGGATCGGCGCAGCACGCTGGCCGTAGCGGCTATTTGGGGGGTGAACCAACAGAGGGAAGACCTTTCTTTGTCTCTCTCACTGTCTATAACTCTACCTGTCAAAAAAGAAAAAAAAAACTGAAGGGAGAAAGAGACACTGGATTAACGGAGATTTCAATTTCTCACTGTCACTGATAGATAAAGCGACAGAGGACTCAACAACACAGGACACTTTACGTAACAGGAAACATACTCCTCTCAAGCACCCAGGTGAGATTTCTCCAGGACAGATCCTATGTTAGGACACAATGAAGTCTCAATTGAGGAGCTGGCACTGGGGCGAAGCAGGTTAAGCCGCCATCTGCAGTGTTGACATCCCAGCTGCTCCATTTCCAATCCAGCTCCCTGCTAATGGCCTGGGAAGGCAGTGGAAGATGGCCCAAGTGCTGGGGCCCCTGCATCCATGTGGGAGAGCCGGAAAAAGTTCCTGGTTCCTGGCTTCAGCCTGGCACAACCCTAGTTGTTGTGGCCATTTGGGGAGTGAACCAGCGGATGGAAGATTATTTCTCTCCTGACTCTGTCTCTGTTAGATTTTTTTTTTTAAAGATTTATTTATTTGAAAGAGTTACACAGAGAGAGGAGAGGCAGAGAGAGAGAGAGAAGTGAGGTCTTCCATTCGATGGTTCACTCCCCAGTTGGCAGCAACGGCTAGAGCTGTGTGTAACTGACTTTCAACTAAAATAGATAAATCTTAAAAAAAAAAAAATCAGTCACCGCCAGACCACCAGATACTACCCTGACAGCAAAAGGTGTGGTACCAGCTTCAAGACAAACATCCCAGTGGAACAGAATGGCAACCCCAGAAATAAGCCCTCGCATATGCAGTCATGTGTCACCTATGGGCCTGCGTTCCGGGAAATGCGTCATTGGTTGCTTCTTCCCACGACCATCACTGAATGCATTCCCGCGTGGCCTCTCGATGGGACGGGGCGAGGGCACACGAGGTGTGTGGATGTGTGTCTGCATGTGCCTGTGAGGCCACTGCTGTTGTAGCATGCAGTACTGTCCCGTAGTAGAGAACACACTAACCTCGTGGATAATACCGCATAGCCATGCAGACATGGCAACCCCAGCCTTCAGAATCCCTGTCGAGGACTCTGTGCCACACGCAGTTGTAACTGAGCCTGGCAGGCCGGTGCACGCCAGCGTCACCACCAAGTGACGCACCGTGCTGCAGCGTCAGAAGGCCCAGGGCTGACTCCCTGGTGCCAGGACCAACCGTTCACTGGGGAGGGACATGCTTTTCCATAAGGGATTCTGGGAAAACTGGATATTCACAGGCAAAAGGCTTAATTCCAAATGTGTCAGAGACGTGGACAGCAGCTGCAACTGGAAAACTCTCGGAAGGAAACCGGGAACAAGCTGCACGGCGCTGGATTTGGCAGTCATTGCTGGCTGTGATGCCAAAGGCGCAACCAACAAAATAAGGGGAAAGCTTGACCTTCGGAAAATTAAAAACTGTGGATCAAAGGACATTATCAGTAGATTGATTGGAAAAACCAAAGTTAACAGATAAGCTCTCTCCTCTGAAAACTGGGCATCAACTGACACAATCAGTGTGTGGCTGGAGAGACAATGCAAGCCACTTACCTGATGTAGCGTAGAAATATATAATATAATATAAAATATATACACACACGGCAGAGAACTCCGAAAACCCACTGACCAAAACAAAGCCAATTCAAGAATGGAGAAAGGATTTATGCAGATGTATCCCAAAAGCAGCACGTGAAGATACTGCGTCACCGAGCCTCAGGGGATCGTGAGTCAGAGCCACCGTGAGATACCACTTTGTACCCAAAACCAATCACGAGTGTTGGCGCGGCTGTGAGACCCGGCCCAGTGTGCGCTGCTGGTGGGAAGGTCGGATGGAGAACCACTGCGGGAAGCAGCAGTTCCACTTCCGGGCTAATACTGCACAGGCTGCAGGCCGCGTCTCAGCACACAGCCGGGACGTGCACGCAGCACAAGCCGCCTACACAGAATGGAATGCTCCCAGCCTTCAGACGGGAGGAATGCGGACAGGTGCCACAGGTAGGTGACCCCTGAGGACATCATGCTCAGTGAAATAAGCCAGTCACAGCAGGATAACACGGCGTGATTCCACTCAGACCAGGCGGTGACTGCCCCGAGACGGGAGGTAGAATGCCAGTTTCCCGGGCTGGGGGAAGTCGGTGTTTAACGGATACAGTTCCAGGGCTGGCGCTGTGGCGTAGCGAGTAAAGCCGCCACCTGCAGTGCTGGCATCCCCTATGGGCACCGGTTCCAGTCCCGGCTGCTCCATGTCCAGTCCAGCTCTCTGCTATGGTCTGGGAAAGCAGTAGAAGATGGCCCAACTCCTTGGGCCCCTGCACCCGTGTGGGAGACCCGGAAGAAGCTCCTGGCTCCTGATGGGTCCAGTTCCGGCTGTTTAAGCACTTTGGGGAGTGAACCAGCAGATGGAATGTCTCTCTCTCTCTGCCTCTCCTCTCTGTGACTCTGCTTTCAAATAAATAAATAAACCTTTAAAAAAAAAAAAAACCCACTGTGTAAGTGTTCGTGAGGTTTACGGTATGTGAAGAAGGACAGCAGGCCAGGGCTGGAAGAGGAATGGAGGATGGTGCTTTCTGGTTTGCACACTGAAGCAGGGCACCGTCCCTGCAGGCAGACTGGGCCAGGGCAGACACGCACTGCACGTCGTTAGAGACCAGTGAGCTGTGGCTAACACCAAGAGCTGAGGTTCCTAAGTCAGTAAAGGCTGTAAAGTGGAATTAGAAAAACTACGTAATCCCAAAGAAGATGGGGAAGAAGGAAGCAGGCAGCACTAACAGCGAGGCGCAGGCATCGCTTCAAATGTGGCCAGTGACAGGCAGACCTGTCTACGAGAAACTCCGCTGAAGGACACCCGTGGGGAAGCGACGTGCCAACTGCACTGCTGCAGTGAAGCTGCGGCAGGCGCGTCAGCTTCAGAGTAAGGGTTACCAGGAGCAGTGTCATTTCAGGGTGACGGGGGTCAGTTAACAGAATCCTGCACAGGTGCACCCATTGCGTGGGCTTCAGAATACAGGTGGGAAGTGACAGGAGAGACAGAGGAAAAACTGTCCGCGGTCAGGGACTCGAGCCAGCTCTCGGACACTGGCAGCAGAGAGATCAGTAAGCACACAGGAGACGAAGGACACGCTTCACGCTTGACCTAAATGACGACAGCGGCAGAGCCCATGTTGATTTCCCCTGTGTACCGGAAACACCGGGGTCATACAATGAGAGCAGCAGGCAGAATCCAGACAGACAGACCCATATGCACACGAGCAAAGAAGGCACAGATGGATTCCAACCTAATGATGCGAGGCCAAAGAATGCAGACCAGAAAAAGGTGCACACTGTGTGACTCCACGTATACCAAATTCTACAAGGCGTAAAGTCCTCTCCAGTGATGGCAATCACTGGTTGTCTGGGGATGGGGTTTCCAGGGGCACAAGGAAACTGGGGGCGACAGGCACGTTTGCCACGTGCGTCAGAACTCGTCAAACGGGCTGGCATCTGCCTGGCCGTGAAGCGGGGAGTCCTGTGTTAGTGCCTGGGTCTGATACCCACGTCCGGCTCCTTGGTTCCTGCTACCCACACAGTAGACCTGGAATGAGCCCCTGGCTCCCAGCGTTGATCCAGCTGGATGGGACTGACTGACTGTCCCTTCTCTCTCTTCACCCCTCTCCTCTTCCCTCACCAAACAGCACACTTTATGTGTCGTCTACTGTAACTCGACCAGACCGCACGGAGCCACACGTGGGGTCTGTCCGTCTGTCTGTACTTATGGAAACCACAAACGCTGTCTGTCTTTGCCCCATCCAGAGCGTCCAAAACAGGAGTCACAGTGCGGTCATGAGCCACGACTCGGACCCCGCTCGCTCCAGCAGCGCCAAGTCATCCTCCACCAAGCTGGCACTCCTGCCGGAAAGCAACAGGCTGTGGCGATCAGAGGTATGCGTCTACGCTTACGCGGAACCCGCACGCACCATGGAGAACAGCCTCCCCTCCTGTGTGCCAGGGACCCAGCCGTAGACACGACGGCCTTTCCCCCGGGGAGCCGACGGGCACAGCTGCTTACGGGCGCCAGGCATGTCCCAGGTCAGCTCAGTCAGGCCTGCACCTTCATCCAGGTCCTGTTGTTCTGTCCAGCAGGGAACCGTGCCCCTGGTCACTTAGCCAGGAAGTAGTGGAGACCCACAGGTGTGCTGCACCCTCACAGGGGGCGAGTGACGCGACGTGCATCTGGCCCTGGCACTTCCTCTGAGGCCGGTGGGAGGGCAGCCTCACCGCTGACACACCAGGAAGGAAGCTGTGGGATCCAAACAGGCTGGAGCTGGTGGACACGTGGACTGATGTGGGGAGAGGGGCGTGGGGTTTGAGAGGGAAGGGGAGGCCATGGGGAGCCCGAGGTTTCCAGCCTAAGCAGCCTGGAGCCTGGGGAGGCCACTGACTGTGGTGGGGGCGGTGTGAGGCCCCAGCTGCCTGCTGAGAGGCGGCACGGCTGGAAACGCCTGCGGTGCAGGGACGAGTTCTGGCTGGGACGGGAGGGCGGGAGTCAGAGCAGGCACCCGGCGGCTGCCAGAGCCCCGTGGAAAATGGAATTAGAAGATAGGTTTCTGGAGGGCATCGCATTGAGTGCGATGAGCCGGACACGGAAAGACCACCAGTACCACCTGTCCTCCCTCACACGTGGGAGCTTAAGCACACACAAGTACATACATGCACGCGTACATGCGTGTCCCTGTGAGTCAGTTCTGCTACAGGCTCTGGTCAAACTTTGTTTTAGATCACTGTCAAACAGCCGGTGTAGGTTGAATGATTTTGTGACTATTGTAAAGTTTATGGACGTGAAGCTGACGTGTTTGAATGATTACTGTTTATGTCTTTGCCTATTTTCCTGCTAAACTAGGATCTTTTTTTACTTTTTATTTGTTAAACTCTTTATTTAGTGGAACATTAAGCCTTTGACTATAATGTGAATTAAAAATACGTTATCTCAAAAATTAAAAAATAGGGAAAAAAGCTGCTTTTGGTGCAGAAAACTGAAATCTGTGCATACTTTTCTCATCATAAACATTTTCCTTGAAGTTTTTGAAAATTCCTCTGTCGTATGGATTTCAAAATTTTCATACCTAAATAAAACCTTTTTATTCTATTTCCCCATGAACTTTTTGAAGAACCCTTGTATATGAATCTAAGTACAATACTTTACAATTAACCATGTATAATTAATGTATTTAATAAATGCTTTCCCAAAAGCTCTGGGGGAGATTACAAATTGCAGGGGGGAAGCCCGTTATAGATGCAGTAACGCCGGTTCATTTCCTTCCTGGTGTAAAGCCAGTATTCATGAGGGCTAGAAGGGGTCAAATTAGCTCCGAGAATGGCCTCGTATTCTAGCCATGTTCCATGTAGACAACTGCTGTTAGTCCACAATGATGAAGTAATTATGTGCTTTATGTTTTTTTTTTTTTTTTACATAAAAGCCCAAGGTCAAGAGGTCTCTAAGTGATGAGAAAGTTTCCAAAATGAACTTTAAATCTGCAGGAAAAGGCCTCACGTTTTTGTCTGAAAATGGTGAGTATTAAAGACAGAACTTGAATATTTCTAACCGTGGCCCTGTATCTGTAAGCCACATGCGTCTACAATGTTTACCACTGTCCTGAGTTTTCTTAAGCCTGAAGATAATTCCGTAAAGCTCAGCTCGCAGCCCGAGGTATGACGTGATAAGATTCAGGGCGCAGAGCCAGTGTGGACACAGCCTCAGAATCAGACGTCAGAGACAGTAATGGCTCAGCGTGCACCAACGATGAGGATACTCCTTCGAGAACTGAGGGTGCTGGCTTTGAAAGGACAGTGTCACCCAGCCACTAGGAATTGAAAGCAAAAACCAACTGACAAAATCTCCAGCAAACCTCAAGTCCACTTCTGTATCATTCAGAGAAGGAGTACGGCTTCTTCTAAGACACAGCCTAGATGTGATTCACAGGCCAAACTATAAGCGGAGAAAGTTTACTAAGGGTTTTCACCATCAGGCAAGAAAGCCTCAACATGCAGAAAGGAGAAACAACAAGATAGATCTCTAAGCTGACAAACTACCAAAAGATGAGAACAAGGATTCAGAAGTCACAGGCGGAAAGGCAAGAGATCATGGAGGGTCCCGTAAAGAACACGGGAGCCACGGGGCAGAACAGACGTTCAAATCTGCGCGTCGGCAACATTCTCCAGAAGCGAACACCTGTGACCTCACAGCGAAAGGGCACGTGCAGACCTGGGAACACGGACCCCACCTGCCTCCCGACCCGGAGACGGAGTCACAGAGTCACCTCAGGGCATCCAGGCAGAGGCCAGATTCACCCCAGGGGAAGAGAAGCAGCTTCCGGACAGCAGCGCTTCCAGGCAGAAGCCGCCGTGTTGCCACCTCCCCAGGGCGGGAACGCGTGAGCAGGGACTTGACATCCAGCCTCCACAGGCGGCCATTCGCAGACAGCAGCTCGTCCTGAGAAACTGACGGCAGATGGAACGGACTCAGCCCAACCCAGCTACTGTCAGCGGCGCCCTGGAGCTGCGGTGAGCTCACCCTGCCCTGCCCGCCGCCCCAGCAGTCCTTCCCGGGCAGTGCACCGCTGGAAACAGCCGTCTCCCCCTGCGCGCCCCACTCCTAGAACAGACGCGGGAGAGCAGAGGCTGCGTTGTGGGCACGGCTGCCTTTCCAGAGCCTAGGCAGTGCCAAGGTTGTTTTACGGACTCCGTAACCATTTGCCGAGTTAAAGGATTAATGGATAACCCCACTGTCTACTCAGAAAATCAAAGTGCATCGATCAAAAGCGGGTGGACCCGGGACTGAGGAATCGGCCCGTCCCACGTGGGCCGCGTCCAGTTCCTGCCGCGTCCCCGCCGTGAAGGTGGTGGTTCTACAGCTGCGGCTGGAGGCCGGCCTCAACCAGGTCAAGGCCTCCCAGGCGGCTGCAGACCAGAAACGGCTCTGTGCAGAGCGTCCAGCGCCACCCCTCTGACTGGAGTCCCTTCGCACCCCGGTAGTCTGTGTCTTTGTGGTCAGAGGAATGAGAGGGCCCTGAACCGCTTCTCAGTCACTAGCGAATATTCATGCACGAGACATTTGAAGCCCGCACAAAGTGTCCCTTCACGTGCGCTGTAATATACAGACTTGTGCTTGTCAGTCCTTAACAGCCACCTCTCTGAATGGTCAAGAATTTCTGTTTCACCAGATGATTATTTAATACACACTGGCAGCAGCACGCAGTGAAATACTCAGTATTAAAGGGGGGCAGGTGTTGTGGCACAGCAGGCTAACACCTGCATCCCACGACACAGTGCTGGTTTAAGTCCTGGCTACTCTGCTTCCAGTCCAACTTCCTGCTAATGTGCCAGGAAAGCAGATGGTGGCCCAAGTACTTGAGTCTCCGCCATAGACAGGAGAGTCGTGGATGGAACTCCTGGCCCCTGGCTAGGCCTGGCCCAACCCTGGCTGCTGCAGGCATTTGGGGAGTGACCTAGCAGATGGAAAATCTCTGCTCTCCCCCACCTTTGAAATAAACCTTTAAAAACTGGGACTTGAACCAGCACCCATATGGGATGCCAGCATCACAGGCGGCAGCTCTACCCTCTATGCCACAGTGTTGGCCCTGAAATATTTTTTTTAAATTGTAGGACTTACATGAAGAAAACCACTAACAAAACCACAACAGACAAATGGGATTACATCAAACTAAAAAGTTTATCTAATGAGGGAAACAAACTATGGATTGGGATACAATATTTGGAAGCCAGGTATTTGACAACAGGTTAATGTGCAAAATATATAACAAACCCCAACAATTCGCTAGTGAAAACCAAATACCCTGATTTACAAAGGGACAAAGGAAGTGAACAGATGTCTACAGAGGACGACACAGAAATGGCCACAGGCATGAGGAAAGATGCCCGCTCCAGCAACCACCAGGGAACTGCAAATTAAAACCACAGGAGGGGCTGGCTCACTAGGCTAATCCTAGTGAAGACTTTTCTTTCTTTCTTTCTTTCTTTTTTTTTTTTTTTTTTTTGACAGGCAGAGTGGACAGTGAGAGAGAGAGACAGAGAGAAAGGTCTTCCTTTGCCGTTGGTTCACCCTCCAATGGCCGCCGCGGCCGGCACACTGCGCTGATCCGATGGCAGGAGCCAGGTGCTTCTCCTGGTCTCCCATGGGGTGCAGGGCCCAAGCACTTGGGCCATCCTCCACTGCACTCCCGGGCCACAGCAGAGAGCTGGCCTGGAAGAGGGGCAACCGGGACAGAATCCAGTGCCCCAACCAGGACTAGAACCCAGGGTGCTGGCGCCACAGGTGGAGGATTAGCCTTAGTGAGCCACAGCACCAGCCTCAAGAATGGTTTTCATCAAACAGGCGAAAGACAGCAAGTTCCGGTGAGGTACCAAGAGAGGGCATCCCTGTAAACTGTTGAAAGGGGCTCACTTAGAAAGCTAAAAATAGAACGTTATGATCCAGCAACCCCTCCTCCAGGTTTACCCCACCCCCACCCCACCCCAGGGAAACGAAGTCAGAGAGGCACCTGCACTCCCGGTGCACTGCAGCACCACGCACAGCAGCCGCGCCAGAGCCGCGTACACGTCCACGGGGGAATGAGTGATGGAGGCGCGCTGTGCACGCACCACGGCTGCTCCGCCAGTCTTAACCACGCACAGCAGCCCCCGAGTCGCGCCCCTGTCCACCGGGGACAAGGATGGAGGCGCGCTGTGCACGCACCACGGCTGCTCCGCCAGTCTTAACCACGCACAACAGGCCCCGAGTCGCACCCCTGTCCACCGGGGACAAGGATGGGGGTGTGCTGTGCACGCACCACGGCTGCTCCACCAGTCTTAAGGACATCCTGCCGTTCGTGCCCACATGGATGAACCCGAAGACACCATGCTACATGTGGTCAGCTAGGAACAGAGGGACGCACAGCTGTGTGGACTTACCTATGTGTGGACTCCAAAGCCGAGTGGAGTGGTGGCTACCGGGGCCGTGGGGAGATGCTGGTCCCAGGCAGGAAGGTTCGGGCAGGAGCACCACCGCAGCAGTACACTTCTTGAGCTCCGTTGCACACCATGATTACAGGCACTGTGTCTTTAAGCTGCTAAGGATGTTCACTACGGCATTGTTTACAACGTGTGAAAACTTTAAAAAGAAACCCTCGGTGAAGATGATGGCACGCCCATGCAGCAGAAGCACTGACACCCATTCAGAACCTTGTGTTACTGACCGCGGACACGGCGCAGGATCCCCGTTAGTTCGCTGTCTGCTCTGGCTGTGCGGTGTTGTCACCGCAGTGCTCGGCACGGGGCCCGCACGCAGCGGTGAGCAAGCTTCACACCTGCAGTTAGCCAGCAGCCTCCCCTGCCTGTCCCGTAGAGGCTCTGTCTGCACACGGTGGCCATGTGTGTGGACTCAGGACTGGTCAGTGTTCCTCAGCCTCTCGCCTCGCCTCTCCCCTGTGAGGTGGGGTGGTTATGGCTCCTCGTGTAGCTGGGGACACCTCTAGTCTCTCCTCTCCCCGTGAGGTGGGGTGGTTATAGCTCCTCTTGCAGGTGGGGACACCTCTAGTCTCTCCTCTCCCCGTGAGGTGGGGTGGTTATGGCTCCTCTTGCAGGTGGGGACACCTCTCGCCTCTCCTCTCCCTGTGAGGTGGGGTGGTTATGGCTCCTCGTGTAGCTGGGGACACCTCTCGCCTCTCCTCTCCCTGTGAGGTGGGGTGGTTATGGCTCCTCTTGCAGGTGGGGACACCTCTAGTCTCTCCTCTCCCCGTGAGGTGGGGTGGTTATGGCTCCTCTTGCAGGTGGGGACACCTCTCGCCTCTCCTCTCCCTGTGAGGTGGGGTGGTTATGGCTCCTTGTGCAGGTAGGACGCCAGGGCACAGAGACTGTTCACTTGCCAAGGTCACACAACTAGTAAGTGGCTGGGCGGGGCCTTGAGTCCAGGTGATGCGGCTCCAGTCCCGCGCTCCCAACCGCTGTGCCCGGGCCACAATCCCAGTGGCTCACTGCCCACACCCCCATGTACAGTTCTCACCCAAGACCTGGCTGCCACACTCTCCTCACACTCCAGAACCCGGGAGTCCCTGTGGATGCGCACTCACGAAAACCCAGCGCTGGCATCGTGGCTCCACCCCGCCCTCCTCGCTGGGCCCACCGAAGTCACTCCTGGGGAGGGGTGGGGGGACGCTGGTGGGACAGCTTCTTCCCCGTGCCTGTCCCAGCGCGCCTGCCGTGTGACAGCACAGGCCGAGAGGAGGACGAGGCTTACTTACCTGCCTGATTCAGGATTCAAACAGAAAGGCAAAGCGAGCAAGAGCCTTGCAAGAGGCTGGCTTGTGCTTCCTGAAGCGGAGACGTAACTTGATGAAATGTTGACTGCAGTCTCCAAAACCCAAAAGACTTAGCTGTGTGGGGCCT